CACGAAGATAGACAACAGGGTGACCTTCCCTGTCACATTCATAAGGAAAAAGTAAACTGCTAGTGAAAATTTCAACAGGGAAATTATAATCTTTCATTGATCTCAGGTTCATTTCTTTTCTCCAACAAAGAGCAGCTCTTAACGCCTTATAACCAAGATCAACTTTCCTTTTAGAAATCAATAAAAATCTCTTCACAAACCAATCATCATTCAACACTCGCTTATAATCAGTCTCATCGAATAAATCTGTAAAATAAAAAAGAAATAAAACCAAAGATAATCACAACACAATTACCAAAAAACAGAAACAAAATAGAAAACAAAATGGACCAGAAAAAAAAGAAAACAAGAATAGAATAGAAAACAAATAAACGTCACCAAAGGGATAAACAAGCAAAACGATAGTAATCAAATTAATCGGAATCCGAAAAGAAGGCCAATCAAATGAGACGGAAGAGAAATAATGAAACAATTTACTTAATAAATTAACCAAAATAACTGACCTGGATCTTTTCTGTAATCATCTTCAATAGATTGGCGAATCTGTTTAACTGCTTCACCACTTCGATTGGTCCTTTCCTTGTTGTTGGACATAATTCCCAAAAGAAAACACAGAGAGAACAACAAGTAGAATATAAAGAAAAGGAAAACACTTTTCTCAAAAGTCACTGTTCAAGTGAATCAACATTAGAATTGAAATTGAGTAATTAACAAAAATAAAAGTAAAAAATAAAGAAACAAAAATTGAGGAAAAAAATGGTTCCTCAATTTCATCAAGAACAAGGTAACATCAGGATGAAACGAAAGTCACAAGATGTTCGGCTTAGCATTTCCACTTTCAGCTTATTCTTTTCGGCTTGAGATTCGCGGCTCACTCATTCCATGCACATGTTACCTCATTCAGCTTGAGTGTCAACATGGAGTTTAAATGATTGTTATTGTTGTTTAATTGTTGCCATTTAAATTCAGTGATGTGATTAGAGTGTCACATTTATGAATTTATCAAAATGATTGACAAAAACATTGAATCTTTGGTTTGTTTTGCCTGTTGGAGTTTCTTTGCTTTCTATTCACTGTATTTATTTGGATCAGTTATTGATGGTAAGTGTTTATTTTGATTCTTTTGATTGAGTTAATTAATTGATTTGCTTTTTTTCTTGCTTATTTTTTCATCTAATTTAAATTTTCTTGGGGTTTCTTTAGTTATTAAAGATGATTTAGATTCGCGAGACCTTGAGAAAGGTTGGTTTCTCTCCAGGTATCGAGACGTTACTGACGTCGAGTGGCACATTTTAAAGTATCTCAATCTTAATTATTTATTCATCTTTGTTGGTCATATTCTTGTCTCACAATTAACATGGAAATACATTCCTCAGGTAAGTAATTGATATTCCTCTAATTGTTACCTTTGGGTTAGTATGAGTCACTTGAGAGAAAAACATTGGAGTGAAGCGGGAAAAGGAAATTGTTTTTCTTTCGTTTCTAATATTCTGTTGGATTAATTATTCTTTTAAATTGTTTTTATTATTTTTTTTCTAATTTCTATTAGCTTTCTTTATCTGTGATGATCACCTATGGAACTATTTGTATATGGATTGTCCTTGGAAAACTTGCAGTTGTTATTGTTTACCTCAATATTTTCGCTGCTTATCTAATCCATCTGATTAGAAAGCCACTTCTTTGTCATTTATTTTTCATCTTCGTACTTATCATGGCTCAGAGACCTTTATTCAGAGATCAGATTAGCCTTAGATTTGATCATGATCTTCGTAAATTGTTTATATTTGACATTCTTTTAAATTGGCTGAATGCTAAGTGTTTAAGCTTCTCATTAGACAGAATCGAAACCTCTGGACGTTGGGCTAATCCTTACGAAGACGACAATTTAACAATGATTTATGCTTATTGTCTTTACTTTCCCACCTTAATTTTCGGACCTATGCACCAATATTCATCGTTTTTAACAGTGAGTTTAACATCTCAAGTTGATTCGCTTTTCAATTGAAGTTTTCCCTCTAAATTTGTTCTCTTACTTTTAGAATATGGTTTTTCGAGTTGATTGGAATTCAAGGAAATTTATCTTATGCCTCAAACGATTATTCCAATTACTTATCTACGCTGTTATCTACGATATTCTGAACCACTACATCTATTCAACAGCATTAACTTATCGAATGAGCCTTGTTTGGAAACTCGACTCATCGACACTTTGTGCTTTCGCTTATTCTTTAATCATCATGTTCTACCTTAAATACTTAATCATGTACGGTTACTCAGAAGCTTTTGGTAATATGGACGGAATTTCCCTTGCACCTCCGCCCAAATGTGTCTCAACGATTCACTTATCCTCTGATCTTTGGCGACACTTTGACCGTGGACTTCATCTTTGGCTTGTCAAGTAAGAATGGCTTGAGAATTTACTTTAATTGTTACAATAATTTCTTTTGATTTTTCCCCATAGATACTATTACAAACCAATTCTTTCCCTTGGTAGTAATATTTTGGTCAAAATTTTCGCAATGTCCATTTGCTTTTCAATAGTCGCCGTTTGGCATGCACTTAGTGGCGATGTAATTGTTTGGTGTATGCTCAATTTCTGTGCTGTTGCAATCGAATTAACTGGAATTAACGTTCGACGATTATTTTTCAATAATTTTGAAACACAATTATCAACCAAAGCAATTAAAAGATGGAAATCACTGATTGCTGCTCCATTTTATATCATAATGATAATTACAAACACTTTTTTCTTGGCCAACACTCAAATTGGACTTCACTTATTTAAGAAAGTTTTATTCTCATTCCCATATCCAGCTCTTCCCGTTTTAATAATCGCATACACAGCCTGTCATGTGTCTATCGAATTGAAAGAATTTTAATTTAAATCAAAAGAGAAAACAAAACAAAGGCCAATACAAATCACCAACAATCAACAAATCTCATAAAAGAAAATCAAAACTTTCACTTCCTTGTAAACAAAAAAATCTCTCGCTATTATTATTGTTAACTAATGTCAACTATTCATTCATATTTAACTTTTCAAAATCTATTCACCCTAATCATTGGTAATATTTGTCATAATTATCAACATTCTATCTCAGTGACAATTAATTCATTAGCAATAAACTGATTAACTGTTAAACAAAATCTAAATTCACTTGATCATTTTGACAGAAAAGAGTAACGAGCGACCCCTTGCGTCGAGATATTTGAACTTCCACAATAACATTAACTCCTCTTACTTTTTGATTAACATTGAAATTGTTTCTCTTGCTGATTCTAATTAGTATTCAGTAATTAGCTTAATGTTGTGTAATAATCAATGTATGTTTCTCCTTTTTGAGATGTTTCCATCAATCGCTCTTGTTGCCTAATCTAATCGGAGTATTTATTGTGTAGATAAAAACATGAATATGATGTTGAAGGTTATTCTTACTTGTGCTGGACCTTCAAGATTACCTTAAGAGGTTAGTGATTAATAAATTGTCTCTGAAAAAAAGAATAAAATTTATTCTATTTGTTCATTGTTGCTATGCATTTGATTTTCTCTTTGAATTTTTTGTTCTATTCTTTTTAACCCTTTTTCTTTTTGTGTCTCTTTTTCGGTTTATAGAATTTGGTAAAAGCTGCAAGTGAATTACTTAATTATGAAGGATGTAGTATTATGGGTAAGTAAACGTTAATCTTTCGTCAATTGTCATTCTAATTGTAACCAAGATTAATCTGTTAATCTCTTCTCTTTCTTTCAGAGCTTAGCCATAGATCAGCTCAATTCAGTAAGATAATCACTGAGGCGGAAAATGATTTAAGGGAATTATTGTAAGTATTTGTGTTCTTCTATTGGTTTACAATTGAATTAATTTCTCTTTGGTTAACCTTTAAGGTCAGTGCCAGACACTCGTGTGATTCTCTTCTTTCAAGGAGGTGGAACTGGTCAATTCTCGGCAATCGCCATGAATTTATTATCTAATCCCAATGAATCTGCCGATTATCTTGTCACTGGTTCTTGGTCAAAAAAAGCATTTGAAGAAGCCTCAAAATATGGTAAAGTGAAACAAACCAATCCACCAACCAAAGTTTTCACCTCGATGCATCTACCTGGTATACATCACCGGATGCCAAGTACGTTTACTATTGTGCCAATGAAACCATTCATGGAATTGAATGAATTACCTAAAAGTGTCATCTAATTTTATGACTCGAGCTGTTGATGTTTCGAAATACGGTTTAATCTTTGCTGCAGCTCAGAAAAACATTGGAATCGGTGGATTAGCGGTTGTCATTGTTCGTAAAGATTTAATTGGTAAATCACTACCAATTACTCCAGTTACTTATGATTACAAACCGATGTTTGATGACAATTCACTTAACAACACTCCACCTTGTTTCGCGTTAGAATATATCGTTTTTCATTTCCAAATCATGATCAATTATATCAATTTCTAATTGTAAATCTTGGTTTGGTATCACTAAGCCTAAATACGAGGCTGAGATTCGTGAATATTATTGGATGAAGGAACAGGAGAAGAAGAAGAAATCAATTGAAGCCGAGGAATTTGCTGGATGGAAATCTGATGGTGATTATGTTGATTCTCGAGACTCAGTTGAATTGATTAGAAAAGATTTAGTGTAACTTTCACCTGAAACAAGATGACTTTAGGTCATCAGGATGGTACCAATCTCATTTCGTCCATTAATTGTGCTTAATTTACACTCCAATCCATCAATTTACAAGCTCTAATCAAGTGCTTTCCAAAAACCAGCTCAATATACTTTGCATTCATTTTTAACTCAAATTATTCACAACCAATTTAACTAACAATCAACTATCATTTCGAATGGTTTTATAGTTGCTAAGTTTTATAATTACTATTAACCAAATTTAAGGTAACTAAGCTTTTATCTTAAATTGTATTAATATTTACTAAACTCTAATTGTGTTTACCTTTTCTCTTCATCTAATTTTTTTGTTTCTAGTTCGCATTTGAATTGGGTAAGAGAATTAAAATTTTCTTTTCTTTCATTAGATGATTATATTGATGAACAGAAAATTACAATTATCTATGGATGTGTGATCTCTGAGAGAGTGGCAGAAATTATCATGGCGGTGATTATATGACAACGAGAAAAATAGTGGATTTTTATAATAACATTGCCAACTCTCTTTTCCCTCTTCTTTTTGTATATGTTATCTTCTTGTTAATCATATTCATCTAATTTTCTTTTTTATTTTATCTTCTTCTTTTTTCCCCTCTACTCATCATCTTTTATTCTCTGGTCGCTTCCCATCATCATCATCGTCAATGGCAATTATCGGAATTCTTGGTATTATCATTCAACTCTAATTGTGATTATTTATGTTTCTCCTAAAAAGTTACTACTTTAATACTTTTCCATCATCAAATGTAAACTGTGCCATCAACAAGGAGAAAAAAACTACAATCATCATCATCATTGTTAAAACAATAGCAATAATCAATCAGTAATTACACAATTCAAGTGAAAAACATGCTTGCAACTAATTTTAGTAAAATCAATCTCTGATAATTTTAATTGTTAACTTATTCTTGTTGCTTCTCTTATCACCAAGATTACTAATTGGATTACCTGTTGATTCAAATCGTCCACCTGATTGTCCTGATCATTGTCAATGTTTGAAAACTTCGGACATTCTTACCGATGGACCTGAGGGTTGGCAAATTGTTTGCACAGCAATTGGATTAACATCTATTCCTGATTACAATATTATTCAATTACCTCGACCCATTTACACCCTAGATTTTGATTTTAATAGTATAACTTACCTGAGTGTCTTTGAAAATGTTTCAGAGATTCGTTACCTTGATGTATCCAACAATGAAGTCGCCAAAATTGAACCTCGAGCCTTCACAAATTTACCTAATTTAATTATTCTTAATTTAAGTTACAATCAACTAATTGAACTACCAAGTTCCATATTTGAACATTTAGTTCACCTTAATTATCTTGATCTAAGAGGAAATCATTTAAAATATTTACCTGTCCACGTATTTTCATCACAATTATCTTTGGTTAGTTTAAGTATTGGAAAAAATTTCATCGATCGTCTGGAACTTGGATTATTTGATGAAAATCTTCACCTTGAAACTCTTGATCTTTCAGAGAATCAATTATTCTTCTTGCCTGTTAATCTATTATCCAATAATATGATCCTTAAAACGGTTGATCTATCAGCCAATTCTTTTGATAAAATACCCTTTGAGACTCTCCAAGGGATACCAAGTCTTCAAACTCTAATCCTCGATGAGAATCCACTTCGAAAACTAAATCATCAATCATTTCCACCTCTTCCGCATCTCGCAAATCTGAGCATTCAACATATGCCCTTTTTAAGGTCAATCGACGAGGTCACCTTTTCATACCTTTGCTCTCTTGAACGGATCACAATTGCTCACAATCCAATGTTGGTTTCAATTGATCCTGATGCTTTTCTGGATATGCATAAATCTCCTAATTGCTCCAAGTTGAAAGCTTTTCTATCTATATAGTTCTATATAGTTTTCTATCAAAACAGTATCTTTGTAATATTTGTAAATATTTGTAATTCTTGCTTTAATTCTTATTCTTCACTTAATTACTGTTACTTAAAATATACTCATGTTACTCAGAAGCTTTTGGTAATATGGACGGAATTTCCTTGCACCTCCGCCCAAATGTGTCTCAACGATTCACTTATCCTCTGATCTTTGGCGACACTTTGACCGTGGACTTCATCTTTGGCTTGTCAAGTAAGAATGGCTTGTAAATTTAATTTAATTGTTACAATAATTTCTTTTGATTTTTCCCCATAGATACTATTACAAACCAATTCTTTCCCTTGGTAGTAATATTTTGGTCAAAATTTTCGCAATGTCCATTTGCTTTTCAATAGTCGCCGTTTGGCATGCACTTAGTGGCGATGTAATTGTTTGGTGTATGCTCAATTTCTGTGCTGTTGCAATCGAATTAACTGGAATTAACGTTCGACGATTATTTTTCAATAATTTTGAAACACAATTATCAACCAAAGCAATTAAAAGATGGAAATCACTGATTGCTGCTCCATTTTATATCATAATGATAATTACAAACACTTTTTTCTTGGCCAACACTCAAATTGGACTTCACTTATTTAAGAAAGTTTTATTCTCATTCCCATATCCAGCTCTTCCCGTTTTAATAATCGCATACACAGCCTGTCATGTGTCTATCGAATTGAAAGAATTTTAATTTAAATCAAAAGAGAAAAGAAAACAAAGGCCAATACAAATCATCAACAATCAACAAATCTCATAAACGAAAATCAAAACTTTCACTTCCTTGTAAACAAAAAAATCTCTCGCTATTATTATTGTTAACTAATGTCAACTATTCATTCATATTTAACTTTTCAAAATCTATTCACCCTAATCATTGGTAATATTTGTCATAATTATCAACATTCTATCTCAGTGACAATTAATTCATTAGCAATAAACTGATTAACTGATAAACAAAATCTAAATTCACTTGATCATTTTGACAGAAAAGAGTAACGAGCGACCCCTTGCGTCGAGATGTTTGAACTTCCACAATAACATTAACTCCTCTTACTTTTTGATTAACATTGAAATTGTTTCTCTTGCTGATTCTAATTAGTATTCAGTAATTAGCTTAATGTTGTGTAATAATCAATGTATGTTTCTCCTTTTTGAGATGTTTCCATCAATCGCTCTTGTTGCCTAATCTAATCGGAGTATTTATTGTGTAGATAAAACATGAATATGATGTTGAAGGTTATTCTTACTTGTGCTTGTGGATTCATTAGTTGATCTTTAATTGTGAATGATTAACATGTTCACTGAATTAATTTTCTTTGTTGGTAATTTTTCACTCGATTGAAAACTTTCTCATCTCTAAACGAATTCATCTGATGACAATTACAACCATTCTCTTGATTCTTTATGATGTCAAACTGTTGAAGAGAATTGCTAACCTTGAGCCAAGTAAGTTAATTACTATTACTTAATTTCTTTGGTAAATATTGATTCTAATCTTTGATTTTTTTTCTCCTTCCTTTTTAATCAGCGAAAATAATCTATTCTTCTAGTCTATGTTTTCTACCTACTTGGCGTGATGATTTAAACACATCTGAGTCTAATTGTTTTGGTAATTGTTGTGCGACTAGTAAATTTGATCTCAACTCGGATTTTAATTGTATTGTCTCATGTAGACCATCATTAATCAGTTTCTTTAAACAATCCAATGTTTTCTTCACCTTTCTACCGGTCAAAATAATTCCAGAGGCAAGAAAAAAAGTAATTTCAATTTCTCTCTATGGTTATGCTGATCTGTATCTTAGAAACTCAATCAAAGTGATTCATAATTACAAGAAATTACTCCCCGATTGGATTTGCCGTTTTTATGTTGGATCAGATGTATCGCCTCTTTTAATTAATCGCCTTATTCATGAAGGTGCTGAGGTGATAATTGTTTACCAGAATCAGCCCAATGGTGATAAGGATAAGTCAAAGATTCCAAGTTTCCATGGTATGTTTTGGCGCTTCTTTGTCAGCGAAGATGAGAATGTTGATCGTTACCTGGTTAGAGATTCGGACAGTTTACCAATTCAACGAGAAATTGATTCGATTAATTCTTGGATTAGTGAGGCGAAAATGTTTCACGTTATGAGAGACCATTTTGAACATGCGACCGAAATTCTTGGCGGTTTGTGGGGTGGAATAGTTAATTTGAACCAATTCAATTTGTCTTCTCTTTATGAGATATCATTGATCGATGGATACGATCAATTAGATGGAATTTGGATTGATCAATATTTCCTTCGATATTATGTTTGGCCTATTGTTCGGGAAAATATGACCTGTCATGTTTCTTATAGATGGTGGGGAGTTGATTCAACTGGATGTAAAGATTTTCCAACTCAAAGAATCGGCAATCAATTTGTTGGAGCCAGTCAATCATAATGGTAATTGAATCAAATTGGAAAACATCATGATCATCAATGAAAATGAAAATTTTAACCATAAGACTGAGTTTTAATTACAATCTGATTGGTCAGAAAAATTGATCCGGAACCAAAGAATTGAATGTATCAAGGAAATCATTTTAATCACAGTTACACAATTGAAAGAAAATGATTATATTTCCGTTGATTACCACTGGTAATTAACCCAAGGTTCATATTTAGCCAAAATATTTTCAACGTCATCACAATCAAGATTTTTCTGTACATTGATTGTTACAGTTAATTGTATGTAATGGTATATTCAATCATTTTTCTGATCAACCAGAAAAGAAACTACAATGAAATTGACTATTTAATTTCCAACATTGAAAATGTTAATATCTGCTCTATGTTAATTACATGGATGATAAAAGTAATTCATTAATGATCTTAATTAATGGAAACAATTAACATATGATTAAGAAAACGATAGAAAACAAAACTTGCTCTTTTCACGATTTTCTCAACTCATTGAATTGATTTGCAGATGAGAAATTGTCTTTATCATGTTGATGAAATTCTGTGAAAAAGAAACTGTAACAATATATTTTCTCCAATAATTAGCGAGAAAAATTGAACAATTAACTCAATTTCTCACTAATTGTATCTTTAGGTGGCTTATACCTTCAAAATGACAATTGTTATGAGTCAATTGTTAGATGGAACCAATTACAATTATCTCAAGTTGATTATAAAGGAATTATGAGATCAGTTGTTATTAGGTTAAAGATTATTAATCGAATGAGATTAAAATTTTCTTCCTGATCAATCAAAAAAAAAACAGAAACAACAATTAGATACATTATATGATTTCCAACATGAAAGTTAAACTCTTCAGGTTTCTCAATCCTTCCTTACCTTTAAGAGTGTAATTTATTGATTATTGATCATTAATGGTTTTCAAAAATTGAATCTTAACACGATGCCAGAAGAGATCAATTATCAACCAAGTTAAAATAAAACAATTGATTTAAACACAATCAAAATAAACAATCAATCAAGATGATGATGGTCACCAAAGTGTCAGAAAAAATGTAAACACAACAAGTCTCATAGTCTGATTGAAATATAAAATACAATAAGAATTAAAGATTAACAATTACGAGTAAAAGTAGAAAGATTATACTAAGAGATTGATTGATTAAAGAATTGAATTAGATAATAATTAGATTAATAGTGATCAACAAGATAATACAATTAACACAAAAACAAATACGAAGATGGTTAAGATTGAAGAGGGAACATAATTATTGTTGGAACACTTTTCTAATTTAAGTTGATGATCAAGTGTTTCTCTGTTAATTACATGAATCATTGGAGAATCATAATTAAAGAACAAGTATTTAATTATAATTAGAAGATAATCTCACATGATTAAGGAAAAGAGAAAATGTTTGAAAACAGATGACAATTCGCTTGGAACTTAATGATCGGTCCCTTTTCTTTTTTTTTTGTTGAATTTTTTTTTTCTTTTTCTTTTTGCTTCTGTTGTTCTCTCTCATCATCTTCTTAATTTAAAATTCATTAACTTTATTTCTCATTATGATGTTGATTAAATTGTGTGCGAATAAGAAGATAATCTTTATGGACATTTGATATTCTCCATCAGTGATCCTCCTTTTCCCCATTCCACCTTTATCATTACAACAACATCTTCAAGTGTATTATCCTTAACATCATCAATTTGATTCTTCATCACCGTTAACCTCAGTCTTCATCTCTACTCTTTTTGCCAGTCAGTTTTTTTTTGTTGGTTCTTTTCTATCATCATCATCTTTTTCTTTTTTTTCCTTTCTCACTTTAACATCTTTTCTACATATGCAGTGAAAACACTATTCTAATCCATGGATCTATCCAGATAATCTTACTTTCTCTTATTCATCTTTCAGTTGTATGTGTGTGGGTTGTTTATGCCCCTGAATTTTATTCTGTTTTCGCCTATTTAGTTTTTTGGTTGAAATTCACATTCAAGAGAAAACAAGAGACTGAGAGAGATAAAGAGAGAATATTTACCTGAGATTATCTCTCAATAGGCTTGTGTTTCTATTCTGTTTTTGCTGCTTCTTTTTATCTCTCTACCTTGTTTCTTGTTTCTTGTTTTTGACATTATCTGTTAATGTACATAACCCCACCAACACCAACAACAACACTACCAGCAGCATCTTCAACTTAATCATGTCTTCAGCCAGTTCACCTGAGGTTAACAAAGAAGGTCTCAATAATAATAACAATAATAATAATTTGGCCAACAACTTTAATAACAATCAAATTAGAATGTCACAATCACAGTCACAAGAGTCACAAAATAATTTATATCAAGGACTTCGCCGTCATCAACTAAATCAGTCACAACAACAACAACAATCAATGCTTCCACCAGCAATACCAAATAAAACAATCAGTTCATCAATCAGTTTATCAAAAAGATTTTCAGAGTTACAAACTCTATTATCCATGGGACCAACACTTTTTGATGGTAAATCAATCAATTGTGAACTTTTATTTGATGTTCTTATTGCGGTTTACTATGAATGTCAGCGTGTAATTGCCACAACTCGTAGTAAAGAGCAGCAGAAATTTTGTGAATCGATTAAACCCTTTCTGGACAGATTAAAAGAATTACAATTAAAGGCAATCGACTTTGATACAATCAAAATAATTGGACGTGGTGCTTTTGGTAAGGTGGCCCTGGTTAAGGGTAAAGAGGATGGAAATGTTTATGCGATGAAAACGCTCAACAAATTGGAGATGTTGAAAAGAGCTGAGACAGCTTGTTATCGAGAGGAAAGGGATGTATTGCTCCATGGATCGGAAGCCTGGTTTACTAAGCTTCATTACGCTTTTCAAGATGAAACAAATCTTTATCTTCTAATGGATTATTATTGTGGTGGCGATTTGTTGACCCTTTTAGCCAAATACGATGAAAATTTTCCCGAAGATATGTCCCGATTTTACACCGCTCAAATAGTCTTAGGTTGGTTATTTTTCCTCACAGAATTAACTCTTTTGTTATCACTATTATTCAATCAATATTTTATTACACTACAGGTTGTTAATCAATCTATTTTTATTTGTATTACCAAGAAAGAATATTTTTGTTGCTCATTAATATTTTCCCTTTTTTTTGTTCCTTCCTCTCTCTCTCTCTCTTTCTCCTCCCTCACTTCTTGATTCCTTTCTGTTGAAATCATCATCATATAGCACTTTCCTATCTACATGATATGGGTTACATTCATCGAGATGTAAAACCTGATAACATTTTAATAGATTCACATGGTCACATCCGATTAGCAGATTTTGGTTCATGTACTAAGGTTACACAACTTCGTAAGGATGGTCACTTCACAATAGCCGTTGGTACACCGGATTATATTTCACCCGAAATACTTAAATCTATGGAGGGTAACCGTAATACCGGTTTACTTTACTCTTTTGAGGTTGATTGGTGGTCATTAGGAGTGGTCATTTTTGAATCATTGTATGGTGAAACACCATTTTATGCAGAATCGTTAATTCAAACTTATTCAAATATCATGAATCATAAGCATTGTTTCAAGTTTCCAGTTAACGCTCAGGTAACTGATGAAGCAAAGGATCTCATTTCTAACCTGATCTGTGACCAAGCTCATCGTTTTAAACGTTTAGATCAGTTTAAATCTCACCCATGGTTTACCGGTATTGATTGGGATCACCTAAGAGAAATGAAACCACCCTATCAGCCTAAAGTAATAGGACCAGAAGATACATCTAACTTTGATATTGATGATTCAGCTCCACCGACAAATAATAAGTTTGACAATTTAATTGCACCTACAACCAAAGACTCTCTGCTTAATGTTCACCTTCCCTTTGTTGGATTTACTTGTACTTTCAATACGAGTAAAAGTAGATCACAATCATCTTCATCTTTACCCTCATCATCATCACCAACATCATCTGAACAACAAAATGGAAGTAAATTATCACCATCTTTTTCTGAATCCAATCCTCCACTTTGTGTAATTGATTCAGCTGGTTCAAGAGATTCATCAACCATTGGTAAAAAAATTGATCCCACTGCTTATGCTAAATTGGAAAATGAGCTTTGGATCGCTCGACATGAATGGAGTGAACTTTCTGTCAAGTTGAATGAACTGAGAAAAGAAAAAAATTCAATCTCTGCTACTTTAAGGGTAAAAGAAGAAGATTTGGAACGAAGTTTGGAAAAGATTATTGAATTACGACAACAGTTAAGAAATGCTGATAAAGTTAAACGGCAACAGTTAGAAGACATGATACAGATCCAGAGTGAACTTGAAAAGGAAAGACAGTTACGCCAGGAAATTCAAGTAGAAACAAAAGAATCGGAAGCAAAATTGGCTCATCTGGAAAAACAATTGTCAAATATTGAGAAACAGGAGCAGCAAAACAATACATCCAATATGTCTAATGGTCCAAATGAAAAGGAGAAATATTATCTTGCTCAAATTGCTGATTTAGAACAAGAAGTTCTTCGATTGAAAGGTGAAGAAGAAGAAAGAATCGCTTCCATAGCTCATAAATGTCATGTCGAGGAACTTGAGCAACAAGTTCTCCAATTACAACAACAACAACCCCACTGGGAGAGGCAAATAACTGAGATTATTGACTGGGTCGGAAATGAAAAGGAGGCACGGAACTATTTACAACAAATGGCCGCCACTATGACAAAGGAATTAGATACACTTAAACATCATCATCAACTTCAACAAATTCAACAACAACAACAACAAAATGCCAATCAACAACGTGCCAATGAAGCTACTTCTAATAACGACAGTGGCCATGGTTCAAGTGTCCATGCATATGTCCCAAAAGAAGCCGTTAATCCAAATTATACAACTTGGCAAGAGAGAAGATCAGCTCGTGTTGATAAACAAGAATTGTTACAATTACAGTTTGAATTAGCCAATGAAATTGAAGATAAACAAAGGATACAAGATGATTTAGCCAAAGCACAGAAAGAGATTTCTCTACTTAATGGAGATTTAGCTGAGTTGCGAATAGAAATTGCGAAATTGAAGAATCAGCAAACATTCAAAAGGCTGAGTAATGATTCATCAATGTTATTTGGATCATCAGTTAATTCTCGACGAATCTCAGCTGGTAAAATGATGGAAGAAATTGAAATGCAACTTGGACGAATAGGAATGACCTCACCAATGGGTGATTCGGATACAAGTGACATCGAATCGGAAGATGCTTCTCCCTCATCATCAGCTGGTACTCGATCTCGAGGTGCTATTAGTGGTGCAGGAAGTTCAATGGAACCTCAATTATTATTATCACAACAATCAAATTTCCCAAGTAAACAACAACATTCATTTATTGTTCGCACTTTTGTTGCACCATTGAAGTGTTTCCATTGTACATCTTTGATGATTGGTTTAATTAGACAAGGTCTCATCTGTGAAACCTGTGGATTTGTTAGTCATATTGCCTGTGCCTCTCAGGGTATTCAACTGTGTCCCTGTGATGACACAAGCCAACGTCCTCAAGGAATTGATCCTTCACGAGGAATCGGTACTGCATATGAAGGATACGTTAAGATACCAAAGGCTCGGGGTGGAGTTCGTAAAGGCTGGATCCGTATGTTTGTCGTTGTCTGTGATTTTAAGCTTTTCCTTTACGATCTTTACTCTAGTAGTGATAATAATTATCCTTCCCATGGTTCTCATGGAAGTGGTTCTGGGTCTGGAGTTGATGGTACCCTTAGTGGTCCAACAGTTACCCCGCCGGTTTCCGTAAACACTGTTATCGATATGAGAGATGAAAGATTTTGTATAAGTGGAGTCCAAGAATCTGATGTTATCCATGCTAATAAGAAAGACATACCCTGTATATTTAGAATCACAACATCCATGGTTTCAAATAGGGTTGATCAAAATTTTACCCAATTAATGTTGACCGATAAAGAGGTTGAAAAAAACCGATGGATTGATGCTCTTCACGAACTACATCGAATCATCCGACGAAATAAACTTAGTTATCGAAATGTAAGTAACTAGAAATGAAAAATATCGAATTTGATTGAACAATTTTTTCTTCCCTTTCTTTTCGATTGGTTTATAGCCGCTCAAAGCTTATTCTGTCCTGAATTCCTACCAAATATCTGCCCTTCGACATCACAACGACATCAATAGTTGTTGTGTTATCGATGAGACTCGACTACTTATTGCCTGTGATGACTGTCTCCTTTGCTGTGACCTGGACATTTGCACGGCAAGACGATTAACAAATTCCAAGAGAATCGTTCAATGTCACTACTCTCTGAATGATCAACTGATAATTGTTTTAGCTGGTAAACAAAGACATATCAAATTAATACCAATCAGAGGCCTTGACAACGATGGTATTGAATGGATAAAAATACCTGAAACCAAAGGGGCAAATCTTTTCGCTGTTGCCAATCTCCCCACCACTACTTATATTTGTGTTGCCATTAAAAAGACTCTAATCCTTTATGAGATTACCCGTAAAAGAACCCGATATAATCTATGGAGAGAAATCCAATTACCTCTTTTAATACAAACTCTCTCAATTGTGGACAATATGGTTTCCATTGGTACCAAATCTAGTTTTGTTGTTTATCAGATTAACCATCGAGAACAACCTCCACTTTGTAAGTTTTTTTTTCTCTTCCTCTTTTATATTCATTCATCGATTTGGTTTCCACAATTATTTAATCTTCAATCTCATTTTTCTCCCTGATTATCATAGATTTGGTTAATCAAGAATGTCAAGAATTATCTTTCTTAATCCAAAATCCAATTGATGCTTTACTTTCAAGACAAATCAATGAAAATGAATGGATACTTGTTTTTGCTCGTAAGTTATTTCTTTGGACCTAAATCGCGATTGTTCTGATTAATGTAAATTTCTTTTAAATAATCTAATTAATGGATGAAAATTTCTCTCTTTTTTTCCTAGCCTATGGAGTTTATGTTGATTCATCTGGAAAACGTACACGACCCATTGAACTTCAATTCCCATCTCAACCAAGTTATGTTGCCTCCTTGGAAACCGAGATAAATAATAAACAAGTTCAATTACTTTTAGCCTTTGCTCCAACTCATATCAATGTTTTTGATCTTGAAACCACCGAATGGATTCAAACAATTAACCTTAAGGCAACCAAACCTCTCCATCAACACGGTAAAGGTTATCTTTTAGGTTTAACCAATGCCAATGATTTCCCAACGCTTGTCCAATTTGTACCAACAATCAATGGGTCACATCTTTTACTTCAAGCCAAAGGTGATGATAGTAAACCCTTCTTAGTCAATGGGTCCACTGTAGCCCAGCGGATTATTCAGACTGCAGCAGGAGTCACTGGTGATGTACCAAGAAAGGTAATCAAATTATAAAATTATTTTTAAACAAATCAACTAATCGTACATTTTATAAATTGTTTACAAATAGACACCAAGATTACCAATCAGTGGTCCGTCTGATTTCAGCCATATCTCACATCTTGGACCTGGCGAGGGTCCATTTAGTTCAAAGATTATCGATCGTAAGTATTACTCATGTTTACTTTTACTTACATCTAAATTAATAATCCAATCTTAATAACTTTTCTGTTTCCTTAATAATAGTTAAATCGAGCAATATTGCATCTAATCAATCAAAGAGTGTGGCCAATCGCGATACCTGTGGACCTTCTCGTCGAGATTCTACCTCCAGTAGCCAGTCATCAGTCAGTCCCTACAAATTTTAGAAAATCCCTTTTTTACAAATACATTAATTACTGTGTATATCTGGTTTATTTATAAATTTTCTTCTCACTTGATTTGTACATTATGGAAAACACAAAATCCTACCCCTTCTCTCGTTCCCACCCTGGAAAAGATCAACCAAATTTCCTCCCTCCAACGAAAGCTAATAGTTACCAATTACACATCAATCTCAAGCACTACCATTTCTTAGGAAAAGAAACAAAGACAATTTATTGAACTCACAATCAAGCTACGAAAAAAGATGCATGTACTATCATCACACCAACTGATATTGGATAGTCCAAATTGAAGCTTTAACAACACACACACACACATACACACAAACAAACACAATTAATAATAACAATCGTTTAATTGTAACAAGACAACAAAACAAAAACTAATGAAAATAATTAAGGTTTACAAGTCACTCTTTTCATATCTTTACCATATTCATCTGAGATCAGTTTTTCCCCAATCATCAAAAGCCTTCCACCGATAATTTCCTCCTTTAATTAACAAGAACAAACAATTAACACCATGAAAACCTCATCATCATCATTAACAATCATAATCATCAAATTGGCTTAATTAATAGAGAGAGAAATGATTTAAATTGCGCCTTAAATTTTCCCTTTTTTGTTTAACTGTTAATTTAATCCAACAAAAGAAATTACCATCGAGAGTAAACAACATTTAACACTAAACATGATTAAATTGAATTGAATTAAACGAGAAACTAATTTAAAAAATTGTTTCCCAATTAATTAGCAATTTCAATTGAAAGGAAACAATTTTCTATTAAAATTTAATTCGGTTGGATAACAATCAGACTGCCAAATGAACAATTCTCATCTCGACAAAAAGTAATTGATCTTAATTATGTTTTTCCCTTTACAAATGAACAACAATTAAATTACAACCAAGGTAAAATTTAACAACAATTAACCGATAAACCAGGAAATCAAAGTTAAAATCAAATTTACAGTTAGAAAATAATGATGATTTAATAACAAGAAGTACAATTAACTTGACAAGTAAATCGATTCAATTTAGATTATTGAAGGGAAAAGGTTAAATAATAAAAGTTAATCATCGCTAATCGTAAACAATTAAGTTACAACTTTAACCTTAATCGTCAAATTAAAAACCAAAGTAATTGAAAGTTAAATGGTTTGGTTGAGTTGATTGACCATCACGAGCAACAATTCATAACCTTCATTCAAGGTCATTTTATATTCATTTCTCATTTCAGAGTCAATTATCTTGAGGTCAAAGGGTAAGTGACCGATCAAATTGATGATACTGATTGTTGTTTAATTGTATTTATACTTTAAATTGATTAAAAAACGTTAAACTTTCCTGATTCCTTAATTTCTCTGAGTCTAAATCATAAATATTTCATGAAAGTTTTCATTACGTTGACATCACATTGTTTTAATCTAAATTCTGAGAAAAAAAGTGTTGACAATTTATTTAATCAATCAAAAGTCGAGGCATCAATATTAATACAATGGATTAGTACTGAGCGAATAATAAATATTGATAATAAGGCGATAATCACACAGCTATTAATCAATTGATTGATTGTCATACAATATACACAAAATAATACACTGATAAAATGTAATATTGGCCCAATAATTACAATAAGATTTATAATTTATAAGATGATAAATGTTATGATCTTAGCCCAGAGAATCAACAAAATGTAGACACAGTGATTAGTTAATTGTTGATCATTTTAATCAACTAACTTTTTTCTTCTCGAGTTTAATTTCTCTATGTAAATCTATTGATTAACATTGATTTTAATTGAAACAATTCAAGGGCATATAAAACGTTCTCGATCTTTGAATTTATAAACTCATTTGTACTTTAATGTTCAAGGGTCTCGAGATATTAGGACAATTGTTCGTAAGAGTTAAAAAACGCCCGAATCTTTTTAATCAATCGTGGAATCGATCAATCAATTACCAAAGATCAATTATTTAGAAATCGGGGAAGATTAAAAAAAGAATATATAAAGAAGGTTAAACAATACTATTATTAACTAACTCGATTTCAAATCTATTCTTTTAATTGTTGTTAATTTATTCCAGGAAATAATCATGAACCATTTCTTAGCTGTAACTTTTGTCGTCGTCATTTCATCATGTAAGTATTAATACATTTACTTATGTCAACCGTACTCATTAGTAAATTTGACGATTAAATTTTTTTTCTCTGGGAATCTAAAGATGAATAGATTGTACTAATTGTTTCGATTTCTTTTTTTTTCTTTCGTTAGATTATTGTGATGCTCTTTGGAGTGGATCTAAATTTGGTGATTGGGCTAAAGGAAAGGCTCCTTGTGAGGTTTGCATGTCTGAAGTCATATCGGATATAACTGATTTGAGATTAGCTCAAAATGAGTTCTTACCTGAACTTAAGGAGCGTTGTAGTAAATACCCAACTCCTGAAGGATCTTGCGATTCTTATGTTAAAGTATTCGAGGCTTCATTTGACCTTCTTATCGAACGGCAAAGTAGAGCGCAAGGACTCTGTGCTTACTATGGTGTCTGTGAAGCTAATTCAACCCTCGACATTAGTTTACCAAATCTTCCCGCTGCTCCAGTTACACCTAAACAAAATCCTCCCAAAGTTTATGATAAGGCCGTTTGCAAGGAATGTAAAGATATTATCGCTGCGGTCACTTACATGGGCGCTGGAAACTATGCTAATACTTTCGCTGCTCTAGCTGAAAATGGTTGTTTGTGGTGGATGAAAACTGACGCAGTTCCAAGTGAAGAAGATTATAAAAAATGTTCCGACCTTAACTCTGTTTATTTCAATTCAATCACCGATAATATGATCGACAAAACTACTCAGAACTATTTGTGTTGGGATCTTTTCGATGTCTGCGAACCATCAGAAAAACCAAGTGAATTGAAATTACCATACGGCCAAAAATCAACCCATTAACCAACTAATCATTTCTTAATTGAAGAATCATAATGATAATTGACAATCAATATCAATTGTCTATTCCAATTGCTATTGAAAAATAAATAATTTCTCTGCAGTAACAAACTATCTCACAATTATTCTGGTTCTCTATCAACCAAAGAGTTGAATATGATTACTGATTATCTGTTAATGTATTTTTTTCATTTACGATTCGTGAACTCGTTTGAGGTTAGGCCACGAAAAGAAGATTGAACTTTGTCGCGAGTTCGAAACAAAAGTCGAACCTGATCTATCAGATTCGAAGTGAATGAAAAATCAAATTTTACGAAAAAAACGACAGATCATTTTCCTTTTTCATCGGTGATTATGATTAACTTTCAATTACAATTAAACTATTGATTATGTCTTAGTTTCAATTGTCAACAATCAGATTAATCCTTTGCATTTCTGTTGTTAATCAACTAACTTAAATTAAAAAGCAAGTTGAAAAACGGTTCATGATCATCAAAGTAACAATTAAAATCAGTTAAATTTTCAGAAATGTGAAAATCTAATCACATTTTTCTGCTTTAAGTTTAATTAGTTGAAAAAAGTAACAATTAAAACGTGAATACTAAATGAATTATTATCCCAAGGAACATGAAAATTGTGTGTTAATTAATTGTGATCAAATTTAACAAAGAAAAGTTTAAATCATGAAGGAAAAATTTGTCAAATCAATTGACTAATTTAAGATTGGTGTTAATGATTAACGGTTGGTGATGATTACGATGAAAAATTAATACATTTTGAAGGTAAGGAAAAGTTAATTGTAAGGAAATGATATAATAATTATAGCAATTCTAATGAACAGACGAAGCAAAGTAATCAAGCGAATCAGAATGTTAACAATTAACTGAATTAAAATACAATAATAAAGGTAAGCAAGTGAAAAGGAGTTGACTAAATAAGACATGAAACTAATTTTCATGTATTGTAACTGCAGTCAGTTAATTGTTAGTTGGAAAATCAAATCATCTTTATCTTTGCGAATCAACAATTTAACAAAAGTCACTCACAATTAAAACTCTTCTTGTTGATTCAGACATTTGCAGCTATTGACATTTGATCAGTTTCATTCAAATTGTGATTGTGACTATTTTATTGGATTCGTTTTGTATTTTTGTTTCTGTTGATTCTTGTTTAATTGTTATCATGTTTTCATCAACTGAATTAAATGTTGATCTTGTTGCTGATTGTCTACCCGATTGGCCGAAGGGTCCGCTTGATGAGTGGCGGTCAAGGGCAACCTTTGATTGGAAGATGATGAAACTTGTTCTCGAAGGTGATTATGTTATTCGTTATAAGAATCAAATTTGGTCCATGTTAAGATCAGATCCCGTTTTCCATCAAAATCCTTGGGACGAGTATAGTCGAGATGAGGAGAGACAATTAACTTTTGCTCGATTGAAGCATTTAGTTGATTATAAATTGTCTTCCGAAGATGAAGATCTAAGTCAACCTTTTAGGATTCCAACTTTTGTTCAGGCAATTGGTCAGTTTTCTTGGTCTTTAATTGTTAAACGGACACTTTCCTATGAATATTTTGTTCTTGCCTGTAAATCTGATAAAAGCGGCCGCAATTCAGAGTTAATTGTCGATGTGATGAACTTTAAAGGCCTCGGAGCTCTCAGTATAACGGAACTGGCACACGGAAGTAACACCAAGGCATTGAAAACATCGGCAACTTTTGATCCAAAGGATCAGTGTTTCATTTTTAATACTCCAAACTTGGAAGCGACTAAAGTTTGGTCTGGTGTTTTAGGCCAGTCGGCAACTCATGCGGTCGTTTTTGCTCAACTCTACACAGAAGATGGTGTTTGCCATGGATTACACTCATTTCTTGTTCCTGTTCGTGACTCAACCACATTTGAAACCTTTCCCGGGATCGTCATCGGCGACATGGGCGCAAAAGTGGGTCTTAATGGGTTAGACAATGGTTTTATGACCTTCAACAACTATCGAGTACCAAAGTCAGCCTTGCTTAGTCGCAGCTCAGATGTTACAGCGGAGGGAAAGTACATCTCTCAGGTCAAAGATAAAAGCGAAAGAATCGGCTCAACTTTGGGTGTCCTTTCATCAGGTCGCTTGTTTATTATCCAATTTGGTGTTACCAATATGCAGTCAGCGTTGACCATTGCAATTAGATATTCAGCTATTCGTCGGCAGTTTGGTCCAGCGAATGGCGAGGAAATACCAATAATCGACTATCAAAGTCAACAATGGAGGTTAATACCTTATCTAGCGGTTTCATTTGTGTTCCATAACTTTTTTGGCTCATTTTATCGTGATTTCGTTCAGTTTTACTTGGCCAAAATGGTTCGCGTTCCTGGCACCGATATTTCCGCCATGGGTGCTGAGATTCATTCACTGTCTTCAGTGGGCAAGGCAATGGTCACCTGGATAGCCATGGATACAATTCAAGAGTGTCGGGAATGTTGTGGTGGATATGGTTACTTGAAAGCCGCTAGATTTGGTGACCTGAGAAATGACCACGATGCTAATGTCACTTACGAAGGTGATAACAATGTCCTCCTTCAACAGACAAGTAACTATCTGATTAAATACTACAAGGAAAAGGTTGAAACGGGAAAACCAATCAGGTCACCTTTTGGTTCGGTTAATTTTATTGATTCAATTGATGCAATTATGGATAAAAAATCAAATAACAATCAACTTAATGATATAACCGGAGTGTTAAATGCTTACCAATTTCTTGTTTGTTATTTATTACGTTTAAGTTACTCTAAATTGTTACGAAAAACTGAACAATTAGGTGATCAATTCGCCGCTAAAAACGCAACTCAAGTTTACTATTTACGAAGCTTATCAATCGTCTTCTTTGAATTAGAAGCTCTTAATCGTTACCAATCATTTCTAATCAATTTTAATCATGCACCCAAAGAGATAATTAAAGTTCTCAAACAATTAGGTCTTCTTTATGGTCTTTGGTCAATCGAGAAACATTTATCGATACTTTATGAATCTGGTTACTTGTCACTTCCAAAGTCACAATCAACTGGAAGTGAATTGATTACCGGAACCCCGACGATAATCAAGGAATTGATTCTTCAATTGTGTTATGATTTAAAGGATAATTCAGTTGCTTTGGTTGATTCATTTTCTCCACCAGATCATATCCTTAATTCATCATTAGGATTATCCGATGGTAAAATTTATGATAACATATTTTCCGCTTTAAAAAATGCCAAAGGCGCTTTTGACCGACCAGAATGGCTCGAGGAATTAACTGTAAATGTTAAACCGAAGTTGTAATAATCGTAAATCAACTAATTAACTTAAATAAATAGTTCAAACTCATATGATATAATTTAAGAAATACATTAATGTGTAGCAATTACTTTTGAATAAGTATTACATTGTTAGATTATCAAGATTTAAATTGAACTTTTTTTTTCGGTTAAACGATTTGATTTCTAATCGTTAGCGCCTGTAATTGGTTGGTAAACTTTCTTGGCGTTGATTGTGATATAAGTCCCTTTTCTTGGACCCTGAACGAAGATCGCTGTTAATTGTTTACCATAAACACATCCAGTGTCCAGTCCAGTCGCTAATCGATGTAGTTGATGACCTCTTTTAGCGTCATGCCCAAAATAAACGTGATTAGGACCATTCCAAAGCGATGCCCATGGTTCACCCTCCTTTCCTTGTCTAACTGGGATATAAGAATTAGATGAATCATCTTTAATCAAATTCCTCATATTAACCATATCAAATGGTTGATTGTCTTCCAAGGGTAAACCAGGAATTAAACCAGCGTGAACAATTGTTATATTTAAAGCAGGTAATGTTAGAGTATAGGGAAGATTAATGAGGAAATTTAATTGTTGTTCGTTTAGATTTTTAATCCATTCGTAAACGGGTTGGGATGTTTTCGATTCTTTTTGCAATTTAAGATATTCTCTAATTACTTTCTCATCATGATTACCACGAATGCAGATACAATCCTTTGCTTCATCACTCATTAGGTATTCTAATACCTGTAAATGTTTCTCTCCTTTGTTTACCAAATCACCGACAAATATTTTCAATATTTTACTATTATTATCGCGATGAGCACTTTGGATACACTCGAACATCTCATCGAAACAACCATGAATATCACCAAGAATCAGAATCTCATCGTAATTATCGGTGAAGCTTTTTTCCAATGTCCGGTGTAACACTGGTGGAAGAGGAATATCCCATGGATGGATTGATTTACTAATTTGACCAGTGGAGAAGAATCTTGATCGAACCAAATAGAATAGATTAAATAGCATCCCAGACATGGTGGATGATTAGTTGATTGTCTGGATTAAGAAACAACAAGAAAAACACAAGAACAGAAAAGCTTTTGAAACAGAGAATTTCAATCAGCTGATTAAAGGATAACGTTTAAAGAGGAAGAGATGAAGAGGAAGAAGAGGAAGAAGAGAGAACAGCAAATCAGCTTCAACAGCCAAAGAAATGAAATATAATTAAGGAACAATTTGGAAAGTTAATTTGAAGAATTAAGCAAAAAGTTGTCGATTAATTGTGAATAGAAATAGTAAAAAAAAAGTTCGGATAATCAAAAGGCAGTCAAAGTCTTGATATTTTTCAGTTTGATTTTGATCTGTCGATATGGAGATTTCGAGACCTTAGATGGGAAACAATCAAGTGTCGAAGATAATTAACACGTTTACACGAATAATATGGACAGTAGACACATCGATACTTGAAATGGTTTTTGTAGAACTTCAATAATCTTTTATATTCTTCTTTGGCTGAATTGACCAAAATGGTTGAATTTTCAAGTTTTCGTTTAAGTCGTAACCTAAGTCGTTCTAATCGTTTAAGTTCAGAAGTGAGTTGATCATTTGAAGATCGAGAAGAAACTCTTGAATGATCTTCTTGGTTTTCTTGATCTTCCATGATTACAACAATTAATTAGACTAAAAGACGAGAAAAGGAAAGACTTGGCCAAAAAGTAAGGATATTATGAGGTTCTACATAAAGATAATGTAGAAGAACTAACGTTTTTGATAATTAAACTCAATAATCTCGATCTGATCAATCATAGAATCTTTGAGTTTAAAATCCTCAGACTAAATAAATTTATCTTGGTCGTTGATTAACTAAACCAGTTGATGATTTTTTCAGGTTGTTAATTTTACAACTTTTTAATTAGATAAATTGTGGAAAATTTAAATTTTGTTTTTCCGTTTCTTTCCTTTCGATTTGACATTTGCTTTTATTCGTTCAAATAAACAGAAGAAAAATCCTCGGGTCAAAAGTGTTTTATCCGATCTAATTACTTTGTCTGCAAACGGGAATGTAGATTCACTTCTCATAGGCCAATCAGGCATTGGATCAACAATCTGATAATTAGCAGCTTCAGGTGATTCATTCATTGCAGTTGAAATGACCACTTCATTTTCAAACATATCAACTGAACATGTTGAATAGAGTAACTTCTTGGCTCCCAAAGTGAACGCTGTTTTCAACATGAGAGTCTGAAAACCGGCGAGTTTACCTATTCTGTGAGTATCAACCTGATCTCTGGACATTTCGGGCCGCCCTGTTCCGGAACATGAAGGATCTAAAAGAAGGACATCAATATCTTCACCAAGATACTGTGAAGCAATTTCAATAAAATCACCATGAACTGTTTTACAACATTTAACACCAAGTCGATCCAATAGAACCTTCATTTCACCCAATCGATTTGAATCTCTATCAATTGATACAATTTGACCTTCGTTTTTCATACAAGCGGCCATAGCTGCGGTTTTGGTTCCAGGAGCACAACAAACGTCCAGTATGTTCATGTTTTCTTGTAATCCCATGGCTTTAACAGCTAATAAACTGGCCTTATCTTGGATGATTATCTTTCCCGATTTATAAATGTCCAAACATGTCAAGTATTTGGTGGCAGCAGGTCGGAATACAAGAAGCTCATCTTGAAAATGAAAATCTCTCATGAAACTCCTCATCTTTAAAGCATGACAATTAGTCACAAAACTGGAAAACAAATTTAAAAATAAAATTAATCATTTGAAAATTGTTAAAATTCAATTGTTCGTTACGTTTCAAAGCAATCACTTTTCGTTTCATTGTGATTAAATCCATTGCAAAGTAGAACTGGAATTATCTCTTCAATCTGAGTTTTCAATTTATTTATTCGCAAATAAATATGTGTTTGAGTTTCTTGCTGACGGGCTTTCATTGATGCTAATTTCCTTCTATGCTCGACAATAAAATCAGTCTCAGCAATTCCTTGAGGTAAAGAGTAAAGAGCAACTTTCCGTTCAAATATTAACTTTCCAAGTAACACCGATAACAAATATGGATCAAGAGCCTGTTGACTTTCATCAATACAGAACTTTTTCATCTTATTGATGGATTCTTTATTCTTTTCAGCATTGATAGCTAAAGCATAAATTGCTTTCTTTTCCTAAACGAAAAAAAAGAAAAGAATAAAGAAAAGAAAGAATCATTAGTAAATCGCTAAAAGAAAAAAATATTAGTTACCAAGGGAGAAAGAGAATCCGATAAATTGGAGATACATTTTTTCAAGCTCAGTTTTTTAGTATCAATTCGTTTAAGAATCAAAGCAGCTTCCCGATATTTAGTTTCAATTGTAGTTAAATCAGTTGTCATTTTTTGAACTGAAATAATTAACCAAACAGAGAAAAAAAATCTGATGAGTTTTGAGAAAAAATTTCAAGAGAAAAATATAAGATCAAGTAACAAATGGAAAAACAAAACTTAGAATTAACATAAGAACATTTTAAAGATTATAATCATACTCACAGTTAATTAACAAAGTACGTTACTTAATGAGGTATAAAAAAGAGCAAATTAAATTAATAAATGGTAACAATTAAGAGACAATTAATTGTAACATGTGAGTTGAAACATCAACACAAACAAAACGTTTTAAAGGTAAGTAACCATAGAAACAGTTCACAGCGGGAAGTTTAAATTCTATTCTCAAAAACAGATGGCGCAGCTATCGCTTTTCTTTTCATCATTCAGTTTGGCTCAAGAACTTAACTTAATCATGTATGTTAATTGTTAGTTAATTTCTCATTAAATTGATACAATTATTCTCGAGGATTTAATTTCATTCGTTGAACATTCACTCGATACATTTTTAATTGTGTTCGTATACATGAAACATCCACAAAAAAACCTCGAATTTCATTTGATTGTTTTGAATAATTTTCCGTGGACTTTGAATTTTGATTGTGACTATAGTTTGGTTATTAGTTTAAAATGTTTATTAACTTTCCTCTCAAGTAGAAAAAAAAATAACATAATTTGGATTAACACTTGACTAACAATTAATCTAATTGTTAATTAAATAATTAAGTTTAATTTAACTTAGTAATCATGATTAGATGATGATTTGACAACTAATTGATGATTAACTTGGTGATTAACATTGATCAACTTTGTCCATTCAACACTTTATATATTTTTACAATTTACTAATTGTGATTAAGTTGAACATGAAGATGGAGATGAAGATGAAGATGGAGATGAAGATGGAGATGAAGATTGAAATGAAGAATATTAAGTTAATTAAATACTCCGAATATTTCCAATGAAAAATATAAATTAAATAGTTTAAAAGTTAACTTGCTAAATTGTTGATTGTTGATTGTTCATTTTGTTTTTTACACTTAATCAATAACAATCAATTTTATATTTTTCTTTTACCATGTTTAAATTGGTCAATCTCAAACCTACTAATTTTAGTGAAAAAATAATTGTTAACGGTGAATCAGTTAATGGAATAAAGTTTTGTGAGGAAAGTGGATTATTACCCAAATTAAAAAGCTATGAATGCTTAGCAAAATGTGGAGGTGTAATGGTACCAACGAAAGCAAAGAAAACAAAACTCGGCTACATCTTCCGGTGCAAAAAGTGCCGAAAAAGTGTATCTTGGACACACAATACTTGGTTCGATGGTAAAAAGTTATCACTAATTGACTGTTTAATATTAATATATTATTGGTGTCATAACTTTGGTGTTGGACAAGTTTCAACACTTACTGGAATAAGTGAAGTCACCATCGTTAATTATTTTGATGCAATACGTAAGGTGTGTGTTGATGCTGTGGTTAATTCTGGACAAAAATTAGGTGGTGTTGGTGAGACTGTTGAAATTGACGAAACACATCTTTATACTCGCAAATATCATAAGGGTCGTCTATCAAGTACTGAGAAAGATCAAATTTGGTTCATCGGTGGGATTGAAAGAAGTACAAAAAAAGTATTTGTTGTTTTGACGAAAAAGAGAAATAAAATTAAAATAAATTGTTCAATAACAATTAATCATGACAGATGGTAAGTTATAATGATCTATTTGGGTTAAACATCAACACAAAAAATTACGTAGACCCTGAGCGGAAGGAAGTTCATACTCAATCTGTTGAAAATTTATGGAAGTTGATTAAAGACATTGTACCAAAATCGGCTAACGGAGAAATGAGAGATGATCATTTTTTCGAAGCCGTTTACAGAATAAATAATTTACGTGGCCTCAATATTACGGAGAAATTTATAAAAATTCTAAGTTTAATATCTACATGGTATCATGGACCTTTTGGCTCTTCACCTCCACCAGTATCTCCCTCATCTCCATCTCCATCTTCATCTCCATCTCTATCTCCATCTTCATCTCCATCAACTTCACTTAATCACAATTAGTAAATTGTATATATAAAGTGTTGAATTTAATCATAAAATTGATACAATTAATCACCAAGTTAATCACATTAATCATTAAGTTGGTCATTGGGTTGATCATCATCTTAATCTGATTACTAAGTTAAATTAAACTTAATTATTAATTAACAACTGATTAATTTTAATTTGTTGACTTCATTGTGATTTTTTTATAATTTTGCGGGAAAGACTTTGAACTCTTACTATAGTTTGGTTTATTATTTTCATTGATTAGTTGACATGCTAATATCTGTTACATATAATCGTTAATTGATTGTATTGTTCTTGAGAGAATTACTGTCATTTATTGGAAGGAATATAAAATCTCAGCTGATTTTATGTTCTTATCACGTGATAACAAACACATGGTTAAACCATGATGATTTACTTTTGAATGGAAGCATTTTTTTGTTTACATTTCAATCAAATGGTTTGATTTTCCTTCTTTAATTAGATGATGTGATTTGTGTAAATATTTTGAATTGAATTTTTTCTTTTTAATTTGATTTGTGTTTCAACAATGTTTTCTTCCAATTGTTGGCGGATCCGTGGTTGTCTTTGCTATCGACAATTGTTTTTATCATCTTCCATTAACAGTAAACTCAACTATTCATCAACGAAAACCTCAACCATGTTTGCTGAGAAAAGTGAAGATGATAAATTATCCAATTTACAACAACAATCAAGTGTTTCTCTAATGGTTATTGACGAGGAAGAGGAAAGGTTATCATCAATATTATCTTCTTTGAAAGAAATGGCTGCTACAACGGCCGAGAAAAAGTTACCCGTTAAAAGGAAAGGTGACAAAACTCTCGCTGAAAATCATTTACGAACGACGTTAAAATCTTATCTTTTTGCTTGTTTAAATGCTAATATGATCGATCGAGCACAGAAAAGTTTCACCTTCTACAGATTTTCTTTCAAAAAAGATCCTAATTTCAATCCTGTTGACCTTTCCATCTTTAATTTAATGATCAAAGGTTGGGCCGAGAAAGGAGACATCCGACAAATTAAACATCTAATCAACTCAATGAGACACAATAAAATTAAACCAGATATGGATACATATTCAGCCGTATTATTGGGACTGATTAATCAAGATAATATCGACCTTATTGAATTGGACAATTTACTACGAACCATTGAAGGAACTGGACATTTATTAGAAAATCTTCTAATCGATTCAAATCTGACACTTACCCAGAAAAGGAAGATTAAGAAAAAGTTACATGAATTATTACCGACAGTTAAATTTAGGACAACTCAAGATTCTTCAACTTATCCTTGTGATTTACTGAAAGAATTTGAAAAATTGAAACGAACCGACTATGAGGTTATCCCGGAAGATTATAAACACTTAATAAAAGATTGGTACCATGAACAGATCAACCATGAGCGTCGAGGTAAAGTGTTAATTAAATCAGTATTCAACGAGGATTCAGTTAAAATGGATAAGCACCGAGAATCCTGGCAAAAGTGTATCAAAGATTGGAGGAGTTGTGTTGGTAAAGGTTTTCGAGAGAATTTGAAAATTTTGAAGACTCGACTTGACACCGACAATGGAATCACCATATTACCTTACCTGTGTACCATGAAGCCCGATGATTATGTGGACATAATCATGGATTCATTTTTTGATTTTCTCCGATACAATTCCGGTTACTCGCCACCAATTAATTTCCTTTATCGTGATATTGGTAAAAGATTTGCCAACAAGTATTATGGTTATTTGAAGACTCGTCATTATCCTGAATGGTTAGATTATTATGAGAGTTTACTTGATTATTATCAAGATCCACGTAAATTGGGACAATTTAAGCTTCGTGGTTACATCAATCACTTAATTAATCGTGATGGTGGTAACATTAATCCAGATTTCAGTGATTTTCATCTAACCGATTCTCTACTCAATTTGATTGGAAAATTTTTCTTTGAAATAATAATTACAGAGATTAAATTTGATCCAAAAATGGTATCACCTAAATCAAAAGTTCGAACAAAATTTCCCGTTTTGTTTACCATTTATGGTTCAAGAGATTCGCATACACATGAAGAGATTCGAGTGAACAAAGTTTTTCGAACCTTCTATCAATCTCTTGGTACCCAAGAGATACCCTTCCAAACCAGCTTATTACCGATGTTAGTGCCTCCGACTCCTTGGGTTTCCATTCAAAATGGCGGCTACTTACTCAGTGAGTCAGATTTTATTCGTCCAGTGGGAAGTGACGAAGATTCATCGATAAGTCTTGATCTTGCTTCTCGTCACAACATTTCACCAATTTTTGATTCTCTTAATACTTTATCGATGGTCGCCTGGAAAATAAATACAAAGGTAAAATTAATAGGAAATTAATTTCCAATAAAATATAATTAATTATGTTTCCAACTGATTCAGATTCTCGACATTCTTGTTGGCCTTTTTCGTGATTGTGGTGATTTGAGCTTGGATATACCTCTTCATGATTCAAAGATGCCTCCACTTCCTAGTTTTGTTAAGTAAGTTTGTTGAAAAATTAATTGTTAATTGTGTTAACTAATTGTCTCTGCTATTTTAGTGCCAAAACTAATCAAGAGCGATTTGTAATTGTCCAAAAACGAGCCAAGATCAAACAAGAAAAGCAAGAAATGTATAGCCTTTGGTGTGAATGTTTATACAAATTATCCATTGCTAATTTCGTAAGTTTTAATTCAATTCAATCAGTTATGATGATTAATTTGGGTTTCGTTTCAGCTTCGCGAGAGGATATTTTGGTTTCCATATAACATTGATTTCAGAGGTCGTGTTTACACTTGTCCACCTCACCTGACCCACCTTGGTAATGACATTTCTCGGTCGTTACTCTTATTTGCCAAAGGAAAACCTTTAGGACCCAAAGGATTGGATTGGTTGAAGATCCATTTAATCAATTTAACTGGTTTAAAGAAACGGGAAACTATTCAAACGCGTCTCGATTATTGCAATGAAATAATGGATGAAGTTATCGATTCAGCTGATAATCCCTTAACTGGACGCAAATGGTGGTCAAAACAAGATGACCCATGGCAAGTGCTTGCTTGTTGCATGGAAATTGTTGCCGCTTCTCGATCACCCGATCCAGTTAATCATGTTACTCATTTTCCCGTTCACCAAGATGGTTCTTGTAATGGTTTACAACATTACGCTGCTTTAGGTCGTGATTTAAAAGGTGCAATCTCTGTTAATTTAGCAACATCAATTAAGCCCAATGATGTTTACTCCGATGTCGCTGAGTTGGTTGAAAAGGAAAGAGCCGCTGATGCCGCTGAAGGTAATCCAGTTGCAATTGCGTTAGAGGGTAAAATTAAACGTAAAGTAATCAAACAAACGGTGATGACTTTTGTTTACGGTGTCACAGTTTACGGTGCAAAACATCAGATTCACAAACAATTAAAGGAAATTAAAGATTTCCCTGAAGATTTAATCTGGAAGGCATCAATTTATTTGACCAAGAAAACATTTAAATCAATCGCCACCATGTTTGAAGCAACTCAAGAGATTCAGAATTGGTTCACTCGATGTGCTAAATTAGTGAGCAAAAATTTAGGTCTACCCATGGAATGGAGGACACCCTTAGGATTCCCTGTAGTTCAACCTTATTTCTCTAATAAGGTAAATTGTTGATTATACACACTCGTCAAATTGTTGCAATTAATTGATTCTTTTTCCTCTCCAACAGACAAGCCAAAAAGAGTTGGATCTAGTTTTTCGTAAGAAATTGTAAGTACCCAGAGAACGTTAGATAATTAGATGATTTTAATTTTGTTTTTCTTTTCTTTTCTTCCAAAATTGATTAGCATACCAAATATGATAAAACAACGAAATGCTTTTCCACCAAATTTCATTCATTCACTGGATTCTAGTCACATGATGTTAACAGCACTCGAATGTGAAAGACTTGGCCTTAATTTTGCCGCAATTCACGACTCCTATTGGACTCACCCGTGTAATATTGATCTGATGAACATCGTTTGCCGACAGAAATTTATTTCCCTCCATTCGGAAGATATACTTGGTGATCTTTCCAGTTTCATGTTAACTCGATACACACCTCAGGTCGAAAAACTTGTCTCAAGTCCAGAAATCGCCGCTGATGTTTTAAATCTATTTAAATCAGTTCCAAAAAAAGGAACATTCGATTTAAATCAAGTTCAATCATCAGTCTTTTTCTTCTCATGATCTCAATCATAATCATCAAATTGACCAAAATCTAATTTAGATGTTCAATTAAATTAATCAAAGGAAAAACAAAAGCCTTAATTGTAATATTAATAATAGAATCACAATTTATGTAAAAAAAAAGAAATTTAAAAAGTGCCTTAGTGTAATTAACTGAACTCGACTGAGTTCATACATTGTACAATAAACAATCATTAAAATTAATTCTCCTCATTGTAACATTAAACTTTCAATATTTTTCTAAATTGCACAATTAATATCAACCAATTCAATTAGAAATTGTCGACGTAATAATCAACTTCCTCTCTGTCTCTTTCTGTTTTTTTCATGTAAATTATCAAGAACATGTAACAATTTGTTTCCACGAAACATTAACCACTAAACCTTATGTTGAATCAACAATTTGCACAGAAAATTAATGATTAAATGATCATAATCAGTGAAAGAAAAATCTGATTAAAGTTAATTGTTTCCATTGGTCCAAGAGAAACTCAAACAAAGAGGAAACTATTATCATCAATCAATGAGTAAGTATTACAATCGAGAAAAATGATTGATAGAATGATAGAGAAAAGAAATTGATTAGCTCAACAATTAGCGAATTGTTGATTTAATTTAATTTCTATTTTGGCTCAATCTTTTTTCCTTCTCACCAACAATCAGCTGAGAGCGAGAAGAACCTTAAAGTTAAGAGGAAAAAGAAACCAAAGGTCAAGAGAGAAACTGATTGTTTCCTAAAGGAATTAAATTGTTGTTTCTTTGTCTTCATTTTCCTGTTAATTAGAAACACTTTTTGATTAAAATCTCCATCATAGATTAATTATTCTTTTCTAAACAATCTATTTCTACAACATAACTTAATTAAAGTGTTTTCCTTTTCTTTTTTATCTCTTTGTGTTTTCTTTTTCCTCAATCATGGTAACAGCCAACAAATTGCTCTTAATGTCAATCAATGTTACTGCTGCTTCCATTGGTTTGGTTTCTAGTAATTTAATCAATTCTAATGTGACTGGTGATACTTCCCATTCAAACCACGTACAATTATCTTCCTCTCATCATCACCACTCATCACCATCTTCTCTGGACAATAATCACTTAGCTGAGATGACCAGTGACCCAATGAATTCAAATGGAAACAATAACAACAACAATAACCATCATGTTGGTATGGATTCAATGATGAGAAATTATTTCCATTCAGCTTTTGGTGATACAATATTGATTAAAGGTTGGAACTTACAATCAAGTAGTGATGTGATTGTCGCTTGTTTAATTTTCTTCCTATTGGCTGTTGTTTATGAAGCATTGAAAAGCTTTAGGGAATTACTTTTCCGTCGGGAAGCTCGAACGGGTGTTTTTCGTTTGTCGCTTTATAATCCGACCAATGGATGTCCCGATGATTTGGTTGCGACCTCAGGCTCTCATCTAACAACATCTCTCAACAATCCAGAGGAAAACAATGAAACAGCCATAATCAAATGCTCCATGTGGTCCAAGGCTCATTTATTTCAATCGGTTCTCCATTCAATCCAAGTGATCATCAGTTACACTCTTATGCTTGGCTTTATGACTTTCAACTCGTTCATTTGCCTTTCAATTGTTCTCGGTGCTGGTCTTGGTTATTTCCTCTTCTGTTGGCGTAAATCAACCTTCATCAACGTAACTGACCACTGCAATTAAGGAACAATTAACCTCTACTATCTGTCACCCGTTTCCCAAATAGTTCAACGAGATGGACCTGGTGGACTAAGATAATTGTGGATCTTGAATGTCTTTAGTTTCTAATTGTTTTTATCTACAGTCAAGCATTTAAATTGTTTTTCTATTTCTATTGATCAACTTGTTCAACTTGTTCTTACCAATCTCTCTCATTTAGCCATCAAATTAATTGTGATTATCTGTGATCAACATTAGATGTAAATATCATTTATTATTATCAATCTTCTCAATTATTATTGATTCAATTGGAATGATAGACAAAATTTAACAACCATCAGCCTTATCAATCGTTTATTAAAGCATATCAATTGTGTATTTTAATTAGTGGCCACTAATTGTTGACAAAATTTTCAATTCTTTTTTTCTATTCTCACCAAATTGCAAACTAATCTCATGTAATTTAATTGACATTTATCCCCTTAAATCTGATATACAAAATATTAAATTATTGATAAGATCAAAATCTTAATCATAAAAAGCAAATCACTTGATAGATGTAAACATATTATCGTGTTAATTACCAGCAATTTAAATCTAAACTGAGAAACAATTAAATCGGTTACCATAGTCCAATGTTTGAATTAACATTTATTATGAGTTCTCTTTCTAAATTGTCACACTAATTAAGCTTTCAATGGAAACTGATTAGTTAATTTACTATTAAAGACTAGACTGATTCAGTAATAAACTTGATATCTTTTCAATGGTATGTCGGCTTTTCTGATCGGGAGGAATGACCTTGTCACAGGTACTCTTTTTTTCTGAATTTAATTAAAGTTGATTAGTGAGAATTAATAAAAAAAGACTAATCTGATTTATGGAGTTGATTTAAGTTCCTGTAGATGGTAAATCAAGATGGAAATTGATTATTTCCATTAATTGATTAACTTTTCATTTGACTTTTCAGTTGATTCCAACATTTAGTTAGGTACCAAAAGAAAAGTGACCTTAGTTTATTTTCCTTGATAAATGTTAACTAATTATGCAAAAATGATGACAATTAATCAATTGGTAATTATGTTGATTGTTTATTTGAATTTTAATTGTGTATCTTGTGGTTATTTAACATCGAGAGGATCGTTAAAGGATCCGCTTGAAAAATTGTTTCGACCTAAAAGGTTCAATGGGACAGTTTTGCTTCTTGATCGGGGAAGGTCAACTTTACGTGGCCGTTACACCTCACCGAGGTTGGTGAAGGTTGAATTAGATAAATCTCTTGAAAATTTGCCTCTTGAACAATATGGATTAGATAGTCTTCCAATTTGGTCGAAGCCGATCCTGGGTTGTTACCAGTACGATGAGCCCCGAAAAATTGAGATCACTCTTGAGATGTTCCGACGAGAATGGAGAGCGACACCTAATATGGTCGATGGTCGAACCTTAGATCGTGTTCTAGATGTTTGTGATCGACTTTTGAACAACTATGGGAATTTGGACAAACTACTTGGAGATCGAAATGAATCTTCAATTGTATTTCGGGAAAAAGGTAAATACCTTCAATCGGACGTCACAGGAACACCTTATCATGTGACATTGGTCAATCTTCTCGACAAACCCTGGACACAGACACAAAAGGTAAATGAATTGACCCTTTGGTCAGCAAAATAAAATTATCGAATTTTTTTCTCGTTCCTTTCGATTTTAGTGGCCAAGGTTCTGGAGAGATTTACCTGAGTGGGCAGGAAATTTAGACCAATGTTTCAAGTTCATCAGCAGTGATAATAATGAAGCTCGAAATGACCAATCACCCTTTAAGGAAATCAGATTAGTGGACAAACGAACGATGTGGAATCTTAATCATGTTTGCGATTTAATAACTTTGGTCAAATGGGACTGGTTTTCGTCTCAAAATGATCGAGATGTAAGATTAAGAATCGATCGGACACATTAGGCCATCAACGGAACACGAAAAAAAAATAATAAACACAATTAACTCTCATACACGCGAAATTGTAACACAAAAGTGAACCAACAATTAAAGACACAAATTTAGTCAATACAAATATTTAATCGCTTAATTAAGTATCTTTACATTACATGTATTGTGTTGTGTCATGTTTATTAGTTAATTATTGGGATCTCCAAGGGCCGGATCCCATTCGAGGTCATAATTTTTACCTTTCCGTGAAACCTTGACCTTTGAGTAGCCATAATTTTTACGAAATGGATTACGAAACTTGGAACAAGGTAAAAGTTTAACCACAATGTACAAGAAAACAACCATAATCATTGAGATGGTTATAATTAAAAGTATCGTTCCAATTATGGTGAATTCGTGATTAAACAGGAATGAGCATTTAAATTGTTCTGAGGTCAAATTGAAGACACTTCGATCTTTAAGGTATAAAGGATGATCGCAAATAACTCTTTCTTTTAATTCATTGGGCATCTCAAGTTGAATCATCCAATCAAGGTTACAATCACAGTTCCAAGGGTTACCAGACAAATCGACCATCCCAACCTTTGACCAGTCCAACAATTGACCGGACAAAGTGGTCACTGAATTGTGTCTAAACACAAAAGATGAAAGTTGCATCGGTTTATCGGTCTTGTTATCAAGAAAAGCCTTCGAATCGAGGAATCGTAAATTCTTATTATCACTCGCATAGAAATAGGTCAATCTATCCATCCCTTGGAATGTATGTGGACCAATTGACCGAAGTTCGTTTTGTCCATCCAATCGTAGAACTGTGACCTTTGAAAGCTTCTCAAATGCTGGATATCGAAGTCGAGTAAATCGATTTCTACTTAGATCAAGTAGATACAAATTCGGGATCTCCTTAAGTCCATTCGATGGAATCGAGATGAAATTATTTCCACTTAAATGTAAAGTCCGAAGCTTCAAATTGTATCTGAACAAATTGTCAGGTAATTCTTTCAATTGATTATCATTTAAATCTAATTCTTCCAGATTAGTTAAATGTTCAAAAGCTTCTTCAGGAATGACACTTAAACTATTTTTATTCAAGCACAATTTAGTTAATTTTTGTGATTCACGAAATAAATCCGAGTCCACAAAGCTAATTAAATGGTAGGAAAAAGAGATTAATTATCGTTGGTAAACTCTAACGATGATAATTATAAACATTGGACTTACTTGATTGAATTAAAACCTAAATCAAGTGATTTAAGATTAGACAAACTAGTAAATGTCTCCGAATCAAAAAGCCATAATTGATTGTGAGACAAATCAATTTCCTCGACTGAAGTTAAATTGCTGAAAGCTGATTCCAAAATGTTTCTCAATTTGTTCATTGAGAAATCAATTTTAATCACATTTCCATTGTCAGTTAATTGTTGGTCCAAATCGGAAATCTTATTGTAAGCAAATTTGATTGAGTTTCCAGTTGAGAAAAATAAAGGAACCGGAATTTTTTCAATATCTTTTGATGAACAATCAAATTCATCGCCATTAAAACATTGATTCAAAAAATCATCAGAAAGAGATGAATTTAAATTACCTGCAACAATCAGATTAACAATTAAATAATAATCTGGTTATCTTAAAGGAAATGTTCAGTCACTTACCTGCATTGATTTTCAAAGTAATTGTTGTTGTGATGATTATAATTAATACCAATTGTTTTAGATGATAATTCATATTGTATTATGAGAAATTAAGTTAATTGTCTTTGTCTTTTACATTAGTAATTGTGATGGACAATTTGATCTTGTATGTATAACCTTAATTTTTTTGGTTGATTAACACAAGGCAAGTGAGTTAATAAAGATGAACAACAAAATGGCGATGATTTAATGGTAAGAAATTAATTACAATTTACTTGATTCAAGTGTTTACTTTATCTTATCTTAACAATTAAGTTAAGACTAAATTAAGATTATGATTACGTTGATTAACAAGATACACAGGAAAAAGTAAACATTTCCAAATGGTCATAATCTGGAATAAAACCCAAGCCGGACAATCTAATTAGATAATTGATCGACCATTTATTGTTAATTATGTTTAATCACAATTGCGAAAAATGATACAATCAGAAAAAAGAGATAAGAGAGTCTAAAGAAAAAATCGATCTTTCTCATGGTAACCGAATAATTGAATATTAATTACTAGTTATTGGCATGATGAAAAGAAAAGACTAGAAAATTAAATTGCCTAATTAGAGTTAAAGGTTAATGATGTTGATTAATTATCGATGAGATTAGTTATCAAAAAATTAAAATTCTATTCAAACTTAGCGGTCACAAGATTTTCGACATTGGGGTCGCCACTTTCTATTCTTTTGGTAAATAAACCGGTGATCATGTGACAGAAAAATTATCTCATCAAAAGCAAAGAGAAATTTCAAATTTTAAATTTGATCGATTGATGATTAATTGTTTTCTAATTAATTAGTGGGTTATTTTTTCTTTCTAATTTTATTTTGCTTTTGGAGAATTGATTGGCTAGAATATCATGTAATAAACAATCTGTGTCTCTGTGTGATGGGTCGATCGTTTAGTCTACTATCTTATTCTAGAAAGGGAACAATCTAAATGACCAGGAGAAAAGCTTAATAAGTTTTCAACTTTAATTAGTGAGTTATTAATAATCAATGTAAGAAATTGGATAAATTGAATAGTAATAAAATAGAAGTGAAAGAGTCATGAATCGTTCCAAAAATTGTGTTTTTTCTCATGTGTGAATATCTCATGTGATGTCAGTTTTTTCTGGACTTTGGTGTAAAAATTTCTATTAACTAAATTAACATTGAATTCAATTCACTTGCAGTAATTGTAAGACTTGATTACAATTTTGGTTTAACTCTTTCACCTTCACCTCATAAAGCAGATAATATTGAAATCACAAAAGTGCCAATTCATTTGCGAAATAGTTGGGAAAGTTATTACCTGGAAGGGTTAATGATTGTAGGATTATTTATTTATTTTGTTAACTTTATCATTGGAAGAGATAAAAATCAGCGTCATGCTGATACTTGGTTTGAAGAATATCGAGAACTATTAGAGAACAATTTCTCTCTAGTTGGTGACGATGGTAAAAAAGAGATTGAAAATCTTGGTTTAATTAAGGAAACTGAGAATATTTTCACTCTTTGGTGTAGCGGTAGAACTTGTATTGAAGGAATGCTAATTGAATTACGATTCAATAAACGACAAGATCTAATCAAGATTCTATTTGATTAAATAATCAACAAGTAACATCATCAAATTGTAAATAAATCAGAGAAACATAATTAATAAAAGAAATTGCATCATCTATTTACTCATCAAAATAAACTAAGAAGAAAGAAAATCATTTTCTCTCTCATTCCAGATGAATGAACAATTTACTCGAGGTTAATGTTTGTGTGTTGATTTTATCATCATCATGATTATGATAATTTCTGCTTCTGAAATGACAATCTCAATTTTCTAATCAACCAACGTTTTTGATTTTGTTCACAATCAGCGAATGAGTGACAATACTATTGAACGAACTGACGATTTCTTTGCTTCTCTCTTCAATAATATTCATTTGCCAATTCTGAACTAAATTGATAAGTTTAACTATTCATAGAATTGAGTATTCACCGGACAATTATTAGAAAATCTTAATCATAATCTATTTTAAGATTTTTCCACCGTGTTAATCAATCCTCTCCAGCTCCTGATTTCAATTATGTTTTTTAGTTAGTTTTCTATTTTCTTTCATCCTGATTATTCAATCACAATTATCTAACAACAATTACAGCCTCTTGATTAGAAAAAGAATCAAATTGTCATCAAGTTTTCTCTCTTTTCTCTTTGTGTTTACCTTTGTGTTACTTGTGGTCAATTAAGTTTCGATTATTAAATCTAACTAATTAACTCTAAGTGTTTGTTTTGATTATTAATCTACAATTAAATTGTGTTGAACCTTGAAAATTGAAAGAGGAAAGAAAACAAAGTGAAAATTTTTCTTCTTTTTCAAAGTTTTCGTTTTTCTCTATTGACGTTTCCAGATCAAGGACAATTAAACTCTTTAAATTAACCATTTAACTCTTTGTTGTTGTAGAATTAATTTAATTGATAATCAGTGATTTAAATGGTTTCGCTTTCAAATTAATGAAACAACAATTAACTCGCAATGAAAACAACAGAAATCAACAGGTTGATTCTCAAGATTCTTGCTGATGTTTTATCATCTTAATCAACTTGATTATTAATTGTAATTATGGATTAATAAGACTTACGTTATCGTTTTGTGTTTCTTGCTGTGTGTTCATTGAAATCAGACATTTAATTATAACTATCGATAGTTGATTGTTAAAATATTCACAAATCATAACCTTTGTGATTGGAAGTTAATTGTCATCGTCAGATGATCAACAATTTTAATTACTGTTATTATATAATTGTTAAGCTTGTTGAGCACGTTGCCAGTTTGATAACAATTAACAAGGATTAGTTTTGCACTCAATTCCAGTTGATTGAATTAATGATTATTAACAATTAATCCAACTAATTGTTAACAATTTACTCATTAAAACCAACAAAAATTGGGGAGTTTCTGTTAGTTAATTTACAGGTTTTTCTTTGCACATTCAAGAATTAATTTGATTATGATGTGTAAATATAAAACCAGAAATTGAAGATAATTATGAAATAGTCAAATGATCAAGAGAGAAAAAAATTTGATTCTTTATTGTGTAATTGTCAAAGGTAAACAATCAAAGAATAAGTAAGAAAATCATCAATTGATCTCTTCTTATAATAATAAGTATATCATTTGATCAATTTGTCTCAATTAACATTAATAAACTACAACATTGGAAGATGATATCAAAGTCAACAATACAAACGATACTTTTAACAAGTTAATATAAACTATTTGAGGAGAAATATAAAAAAATCACTTCATTAAGGTTATGGAAGTTGATTGGTAACACAAGGTGAAAAAAGAATTAGTCAATTAATGGTCATTGATAAACAATCAAAAATTGATTGGTCAGAATTTTGTAGAGATGAAAATTGTAACATTTCCAATTGATAATCGGATAGAAGGATAATTGTAACTTTGTTAGGTTAGTTAGTTACAATGATCGGTCATTGAGACAACGGTGATTCGTTTCCAACAGAATAGGAAATAACCTTGACCAGCACCAAGAGCGATGGCCAAGCAAATCCAAACATTAAATGACATAAATCCCAACATAAGAGTATAAGAAACAACCACTTGAAGAATGTGAAGTAAAGATTGATAAAAATGAGACCAGGACCACATCTTACAAGAGACTATGTTGGTTGGTGATTGAGGTTTCGTTGGGTCACCTGAAGTTGGTCCACAGGCCTCCGGGCATCCGGTTCCACCTCCATTGCCAACAGTTATCACAGAGACAGAGTAACAACGTCTTGAGGCGATACGAGTGATTAAAAATTCACGATAACTTTTGAGACCTTCATAGAGAACACCAAGTATAAAGAATCCAATACAGGCAACAAGGGTAGACGAAGATGTCTTGAGAATCCAATCTTTGAACAATAAGGTATCACCCAAATCGGTGTGGAAATAGCCTTTCATCATTGACATATCCATGTCTGAACCGTTCATGTCCATACCCATGTGATGGTCCATTGAATGACCTGAGTCCATAGAATCCATATTTCCATCATGGTGATGGTGATGATTATGTTCATCAACATTTACTGTTGTCTCTTCACCCATAACCGGAAGATACAAGGTCACCAAAGACAATGTTAAACAAAGCAACAGCTGAGAATACATTGGTAATAATTACTGTCAATAAAGACGATTAGAATTAATTAGGAAATAAAATAAATTAACTTTCCAATTGTTTCAATTTAATTGAATTAAAAGAGGCAGAGAAAAAGATGTTTCTGTTAATCTTTAAGAGTCACTTTGACTTTTGGTCTTTTTAAATTTTCGATTGATTTTGATCCGATTGTTTGGCACAAAGAGGAAAATAATTAATCAACAGAGATGAAGATTCTCACCCTAAATCAATCCAGTTTTCTACTGATTTAGTCATAGTGAGTTAATCAATTCATTTATTTCTCACTCATCACAATTAAAAAGATAAACATTTTGTGTTTGTTTCGTTTTTCAATTGGTTCCAATTTTTGGCGCTTCTTTTGAAGAATAGAAAAAAGTTTATCAACTGGACAATTAACAGAATTAAAATTGTTAAAGATGTTTAGGTTAATTGATGAATAGAAAAGTTAATTCAATTCGATTCAGATTGACTATTAATGTGAAAAGATTGAATAAGTTATCAAAAGAATCGTTTTCATATGGAAATTATTTCATGTCTCTATGTTTGATTTGATTAGAACACAATTAAAGTTAATCACTTGTAATAAAAATCATCTTATTAGTTGGAGAGTAACAAGTTTAATGTGATCATTTGATTGATTGTAATTAACAACAACAAGATTAACAAGTGAACAACTGTAATTGTAACGTAATCAATAAGAAATTGGAACAAATTGATTACGCCTTTAAATTAACAGGGCAGAACTAATTGTTCAGTCTCAGAACAATTTAAGGTTAAATTGATTTGGTTAATTAAGTATTGATGGTGAATCAATTGAAATGAATAGAAAATTTTTAATTCTCATCAATTGATTGATGTTCATTGTTTTAATTGTTACCTTTTTGTTGTGAATTAGTTTTTATAACTTTCTTTTTGTTGTCATTACAATTAAATTGATTGTGATTAATGTTAATCTTGATTTTACAGAAAATGATTAATAGCATTTTCAATTGTTTACTCAGCTTCATGATTTATATGATTAATGAAATAATTTAGGTTGACAGCTAGTAGATTAATTAATTTATTGTACCAATTAAAGAGATGTAATTAAATTTTGATTGTCATTGTTTTCACTTAATTTACTTGGGAAAATGTATATTTATCAAATTACAATCAGAAAGTACATTTATTAACAATTAATTGATATAAGGTAACAAATTAAATTATATTGGGACTTACAAATTTGCATAAATTTTATATGGACTAAAATTAGTGAATTTGATTGGTAAAATATTTGATACAATTTAAAACACAGAGAGAGCATAATGATTAGAGTTAATGGTTGATTGTTGAGAAACAATTAAACGATAAGAAGGGTTGATTATTTGAAGAATTTTTTTTCCATTTGTTGGACAATCATTTCAGCGATTGCGAGTGAAGATGTTGCTCCTGGTGAAGGAGCATTTCGAACATGAAGAACATGATCTTTGAACGAACCCGTTCCTGAATCGAAGACAAAATCTTCAACTAAATTACCATTTTCGTCCAATGCTTGAGCTCGAACACCAGTAGGACCACGAATCACATCTTCCTTTTTAATTGAAGGAATATATTGTTGAAGTATTTTAACTTGAGCTTCGACATTTAAACTTCGATAAATTTCTTGAGCACCTTCTTTAAGATATTTAAGGGACAATTTAATTAAACCAGGATGAGTTAGAGAATCGATCATATCTCTAAGGTCAAAATCTCGATAAGAGTAACCTTCACGTTTGGTTGCGAGAATAGCGTTTGGCCCAAGCCAAACATTACCATCAAGTCGAGGAGTAAAATGAAGTCCGAGAAAAGGTAATCGTGGATCGGGAACTGGATAGATATTTGTTTTGATTTGATTCTTTTTCTCTCCTTTTAGTAAAAGATATTCACCTCGAAAGGGAACAATTCTTGGATTAACTGGTGATCCGGTCATTTGGGCTATTTTATCGGAGAAAAGTCCAGCGGCTGTGATGACCCAACGAGCTTCAATCTTTTCGGGTGCCGTTTTGTTGGAGATGATCACTTTTACTGGATTACCATCAACCAGATCAAAATTTTTAACCTCAAAATTAACTCTAACTTGACCTCCATTGGATTTAAAATCTTGGGCAAATGCTTGAGTGACCAAACCCCAATCAACGATTCCAGTGTTAGGTGACCACAAGGAACGAATTCCTTTAACTCCAGGCTGAATTGTGGTCATTCCTTCAGGTCCAATCATCTCCACACCAGGAACATTATTCTTGATTGCTCGTTCATATAATTTCTCTAATCGAAACAATTCACTAGAATTAACAGCGACAATCAATTTACCACAACGACGATAGTTAATGTTTTTCTCCTTCAAGTATTTGTAAATCTTTTTAGATCCTTCCACACACAATTTAGCCTTTAAAGATCCTGGTGGGTAATAAATTCCTGAATGAATAACACCACTATTAGCACCACTTTGATGAGAAGCTAATGAAACAAATTAGAATAAAAAAATGTAAACAATTAAGAAAAAAACACCGATGTTTACACGTGAAAGTCTCTCCATAGAAACAAAGAAAAGCCAATTGATATTTGCTGTTTGAAGACAATCTAATGATTTCCTTAGTAATTAGACTATTTCCAACAAAAAGAATCCAATTAACTTACCTAATTTCTTCTCTTTTTCGAGTAATATTATTTTAAAATCTCGATATTTGGCCGACAATAGACGAGCCGTTGCTGTTCCGACGATTCCTCCGCCAACCACAGCGATATCGTAGAGAGTTGAAGATGACGATGAAGAAAGAAGACAATTAGATGATTCAATTAATCTACCACGAGGTGTAAGTAGATTGTTAATCGTCTTCTGAATGACTAATTGTCGAGATAAATTCATTTTAATCACCAATTATCTCCAATAAAAGGAAATAAAAATAAGACAAGAATAACAGTTAGCCTTTTGTTTCAATCTCTCCACAGACAATCAGCTGTTAACGTAACATTATTAATCTATAGAAAAGATATAAATTATCATGGGAACAATTCCATTGATTTTCAGATTTTTGTTGTTTCTTTTTCGCATTTCGCTAATTCATTAGACATTCTAGAAGAAAATAATGTATAATTATTCGGGTTTCGATTAGAATTAAATTTTCGAACAATTTAAATTCCATTTTAAAATTGGCGCTTCGTTTGGAGATTTAAATGAAAACAATTTTTTCTGTCAACATTTTGTTTCCAATAATCTGACAATTTATTGATTGTCGTTTTTAATCAATGTTGTTACATTTATTTTATTTAATTAGCTTTGTAAATATTCATCTTATTAAGTTTCCTGAGAAGATATTGTTTCGTCTCTGAGATTTTTTCTCGTTTAAATTTTTCTATATTGAAGGTAAGTGAATCTCAGGCTTAGGCCGATTAATTTTTCTTCCAATATTTTTTGCTTTTGTCTTAATTAATTTAGTTTTAATTTTGTTCTTTAGATTTTTATAATCTTAAATTGTTTTGAGTTAAAAGTTCATCAGTCTAATTGTCTGATGTGATTGAAAGTAAAAGGTCACTTATATACTTTTAGGTTTTGTTTAATGTTTTGTTTATTTTCTTCATCAGGAATCTGAGCTGGGAATGGTTGGTTGATTAAAATGACTAAATTAGAGGAGCAGTTATTGATTTATCGTTCTGTTCAACGGGCTCGAAAGGAACAGGCCGAAAAAGAAGCTCGAGATGCTGCTGAGGCTCGAAAAGCTGAAGAAGCCAAAAAACAGAAAGAACAAGAAAAGGAAGAACAATCAAATCAAAAATCTAATTCTTCATTGTTAAATTTTCTACTTCCTAGTCCATCTTCATCAACAGTTCCTACCCGACAAGTTATTCCTCCTCAAAATCGTCAAGAACCTCGAATAGCCTATTTACGTGATGGAAATGACGATGATGATGGAATGGTAATTGATTATTTAGATGAAGATGAAGTTGATTTCGATTACAACTATCTGGATGGAGATGAATATGAAGATAATGGAAGATGGACCAAAAAAGATTACATTCTCACTTTTATCAAATTTTCAATCTATTGTTTCCTTCAAGTTATGGCCCTTAAAGCTGAATGGGGAGCAGTTTTTTTCATCGTTTCTCTCTTATATTTCATCTACTACAATACCCGAACCAGAAAACGAATGATCGGTGAACCAAGTGCTTATTCAGTGTTTAATGATGGCTGTGAACCAATTGATGGAGCAATGGATGCAAACAGATTAATTAATCAACTTACCCTCGGACAAATGGCATTGTAATAATCAAATGAACACAAAACAAAACAAAACAAAACAAAACTGTAAACAAAAATACCAACCTAAACCCTTTTATCGTTTTACTCGATTGAAACAAAAATTATGGAAAAAGAAAATCCAATTCCAACAATAATGTACGATAATATTCCCCAATGATATCAATCATAAAGTCAACTGCAATTAAAACAAAATCTAAATTAAAAATAATCGAAAAAGTTTAAATTTACCACCAAATCCACCGGAAGTTCTTTTCTCAGCCAACAGGTTTCGCTTTTATCGAAAATATCGGTCACAAGATTTTCGACATTGGGGTCGCCACTTTCTATTCTTTTGGTAAATAAACCGGTGATCATGTGACAGAAAAATTATCTCATCAAAAGCATTGAGAAAATTTGATCGATTGATGGTTAATTGTTTTCTAATTAATTAGTGGGTTATTTTTTTCTTTCTAATTTTATTTTGCTTTTGGAGAATTGATTGACTAGAATATCGTGTAATAAACAATCAGTGTCTCTTTGTGATGGGTCGATCGTTTGGTCTACCATCTTATTCCAGGAGACGACCTGCTTTTAGGTTTATCTCTGCCATCATCACATCTAATCTTATATTGAGTCTTATTCTTGAAGCTCTGGTTATTGGTGTTACAACTGCTGCTTCTCCCTCATCAAAATCATCGAATATTGATTCTTACGAGGACAATGAATTTGCTGAATTTGAAGATTTTGAAGAAGAACCTGATCAACCAAAGATTCAACGACCTTTAGAATCAGGTAAGAAATAGATTCCATTGCATGATTGAACTAAAAACTGTTCTTTTTGTCATCTCGTTCTTTTTTTGTTCTTTTCTCTTTACTTCTTCCTTATTCTCTAACTTGAATTTAATTGTCCTTGTTTCTCTTGAATTTCCTTCTTTATGTTTAACTTGAACTTTTTTTTATCGTTACCTTCTTTCCTTTTTTTAAGCTCAACCATTGGACGATTCAGGTGAAGATGATCTAATGGATACTGTTGTTGAAAATGAAGATGACGAGTTGGATGTAATCGAGGAAAATGATGATTTTGAAACAATTGCAAGTGATGATAAAAGTTCATCTTCAATACCTTCACCTTCACCTCATAAACCAGATAATATTGAAATCACCAAAGTGCCAATTCATTTGCGAAATAGTTGGGAAAGTTATTACCTGGAAGGGTTAATGATTGTAGGATTATTTATTTATTTTGTTAACTTTATCATTGGAAGAGATAAAAATCAGCGTCATGCTGATACTTGGTTTGAAGAATATCGAGAACTATTAGAGAACAATTTCTCTCTAGTTGGTGACGATGGTAAAAAAGAGATTGAAAATCTTGGCTTAATTAAGGAAACTGAGAATATTTTCACTCTTTGGTGTAGCGGTAGAACTTGTATTGAAGGAATGCTAATTGAATTACGATTCAATAAACGACAAGATCTAATCAATACAATTTCCAGTATATTTATGCCTTCAAATGATGAGATTGTAAGTCAACATTTTCAATCAAATTTACTATCTTGAAACAATACTAATAATTTGTTCCCGTTTCTAATTCCATAATAGTTGATTCGTATTTACCTTAATCAGGATGCAATGGATACATTTGTTTTCTCAGCTGCTCAGAAAAAAATAGCTCCCAAATTAGTTAAAGAAATGAATGATTTTGTAAGTGATTTTCTCTTTACTCTCTAATTCATGAACTAATCATTTTATTTCTCTTTTAATCAGGCAACTTTTTCTCCTAAAATAAAATCAATGGAAAAGTATGGAGTCTCTGAGACTAATTATGTTATGATGAATGAGATCGGTGAAGTTGCCGGAGCAATTTTAGATTCAAAGATTGTCAGTCTACTTAACAAATATCCCGATGCCATTCAATATATTCATATATCTGATCAATACTCTGGCTATCGTTTAAATGAGTAAGTAATTAGCTTCTACTGAATTATCATGTTGATTTAAATTTTATGATTCTTTTTTTTTCTTCACAGAGATGCCCCATTAGTCAAATTTCCCGATCGAAGAAGAATCATGATGTTCGGCTTCAAATGTGAGGAATTTAAATTTTCCATCTCTTAATTTTTCTAATTCTCAACTCTATCTAATAAAATTGATTTCTCTCTTCCATGATTAATGATAGATCCTAACAATGGAACCCTTACCCTCGAAGATGCTGCCTCTTTCAAACCTCTTCTCCAAATGGTTTTCTATCTAATTGAAAAAGTCCGTCGATTCCGACTAAGTCGTGAAGGTAAAAACAAGGCCAATAAGAATAGACAGAAACTGGAAGAATTGTTTCTGAAGGCAACACACTCTCAGCGACAAGAAGCGGCTCAGGCCAAAAGAGAGGAGAAAAAGCGAGCCGAAAAAGAGAAGATATTAAATGAAGAGGATCCGGAAAGACAACGTAAATGGGAAGAACGTGAATATAGACGAGAGATGAAAAAGAAAACATCGAAAATGAAGCAGATTAAAATCAAAGCCATGTAAAAATTTAATTTATTTCAATTTAGGAGAATTTATAAGAAAACAAAATTTATCAATTGGACTAGTTTATCAAACGTACCGAGAGAAACAATCAAATCAAATCTTCCTCGTCTTCTGCTTTTTTTGTTAATTTAAAAAGGAAAATTCAATCTAATCCAATGATTGCTAATTAATTCATTGATTTCAACTTTACCAGTTACTGTACTTTTTTTATGGATCTGAAAGTTTCAATGACTATTCCAACGATTACTAATTAATCAGTTTCTGATTAGTTGAACAACTTCAGTGGACAAGTTGATACAGTACAAAATTAATGGAATCAAATTTATCCAAGACATGCAATCAACCCGAAGAAGAAAAAAAAATACGGATACGTTTTAACAGAATTTAATTTCTTTGACAATTAATCATCTTGGATCAAAGGAATAACCAATAATTTTTTCACTGATTATGATTTAGTTACTATTGAATATCCTTTTTTTATCTAATTAGGTAAAATTGATTTCTAATCATACATTTTCTGTATGTTTTTGGTGTAAAACAAACAAAAACATAATTTCAATCACGAATTATTGTTTTAAATTAATCCGATAAAACAAACAATATATGAAATGATAATTTTAACAATTTAGATACAATTTTTATCCTTTTCTATTGTAATAATTGAGTTTATTGAGATTTCAATACCAATTGGAAGCGAAAGCAATTGGTTGAGTAGATTAATGATCAACAAAGTATCCCAGTCGACTAGAATTGTCTGATTAATTGAAGAAAAACAAACAAATGATAAACATAACATTGAAGCACAATAATTGATTAGTATAAAATACATTTCAAATTGATGATTGGTCATTTTAACTAGTTGATGAACCAACTATAAAACCATTCGAAATGATAGTTGATTGTTAGTTAAATTGGTTGTGAATAATTTGAGTTAAAAATGAATGCAAAGTATATTGAGCTGGTTTTTGGAAAGCACTTGATTAGAGCTTGTAAATTGATGGATTGGAGTGTAAATTAAGCACAATTAATGGACGAAATGAGATTGGTACCATCCTGATGACCTAAAGTCATCTTGTTTCAGGTGAAAGTTACACTAAATCTTTTCTAATCAATTCAACTGAGTCTCGAGAATCAACATAATCACCATCAGATTTCCATCCAGCAAATTCCTCGGCTTCAATTGATTTCTTCTTCTTCTCCTGTTCCTTCATCCAATAATATTCACGAATCTCAGCCTCGTATTTAGGCCTAGTGATACCAAACCAAAAGGCCAATTTTTCACCAATATAATCACACCCTGAGAATAAAGAGAAAGATAGGAAACCAATTAGATTGGAAAAATATTGAGACATATTAAAGAGAAATCGGTTAGATTGACTGAAAGAAAAATAAGATAAACACTAAACATTAGAAAATAAAATTCTACAAAAAGAATAAAAAACAATATAGAAAATGAAGGTTTTCTAAAAAAGAAAATGAAATAAAAGAAAAACAATTTTCCATTTGGGTGTTACCTTCGAGCAATTTAGTTCCAAGTGACTTGGTTAACTCAACGGCGGTCCAAACGATATTAGAATTGATCTGAAAAGTTGAGAAAACAAATCATAACAATTAGATGATGATGATGATCAATTAACAGGAAAGTGGGATTATCATTGTTGAGGAAACAAAGAGAGAGAAAAATCTTACCATGTTAACAGTAGTAATTGATGTTTCCATTAAAGAAAAGAGTTTGTCTTTGATTAAGGAAGATTATTTGTTAGACAGTAAGTTGTTTTTACGATTGTGGAGTGAGAACAATTGAACAATAATTAAATGAATTAATGATTAAAAGAAAAACAATCTAAAAGGAACGTAAAATAAAAGGAGTAATCAAATTGATCGCATTCAAAACCATGGAGACAATTTTATACTTTCAGCTGATGAGAAACACAAACTAATCAATGTTTACTTTTTATACTCCAATCAATAAATGACAAGTTTAACATTAACAGCTTACAATGACTCTCATATATTATTATTATTAATATACAGACAATTAGTTTTGATTACAATGTTGATTAACCGGTTACCAGAAAAAAATTACTCTCTCATCTTAACCAGCATATACACACAAATATACACACACAATTTTCAAGTGTATTCTGGTGAAAATGATAATAATAATCATCATCATGATAATCATCAACATCATCATAATCCAATATTAAGATAATGATAATATCATGTTTATATGTATTAGGAAAAGAAAAAGATTTTCTCCTAATTCATCTCTCTGTTAACAATTAAATTGTTATTTAATTGATTGGATAATGATGATTAAAGGGAAACAATTAAATGGTTTGATACTCACCAACTCGTATACAGTGAATGTGATTGGAATTACGAGATAATCGACAATCTTCAAAGGTACAAATTTCGTGTTTAAGAAACTTCTTATAACCATCTCGAGTTAATTGTTCATCTTTATTGTGATAAGTTTTATGTTTTTCTATGTAAAAAGATGGAGAGAGAGAGAGAGAGAAAATAAGTTGTCATAATGAGATCGAAATGACCAATGGTCAGATGATATATTCTAATGATAGTTACCAATATCGGCTTTATTTTTAATTGTATATCCACAAGAATCTCGAATACAATGGAAATGAGTTGTTTTCCTACCATAAAATGTACATGTAAAGTAAAGTGGGTAAACCTTAAGTAGTAAGTTTCAAATTTAGTGAGCTTTTCATAGACAATATATTCAATTTGAACAATTGAATTGAAAAGATCTGTTGACCTTTGCAAGGTTAATAGGAACTTGAGTTGCAAAAGGTTTGATATTTAGTTTGCTGATCAGCTGATTTTCTGTATATGTGTGTGTGTTTTTCGACAACCTGGTTTAAGACAATGGTAGTGGGTTTGTTTCATTCGGTGTGGACAGTTAGGAAATTTTTCCGAACAATCGTCCAGGGAGGAGAAACGGAGGAAACCATTTCGGAGAGATTCATCTCGCTTCTTATGCCATTTAAAATGGCGGATCATCTCTTCCTTTTTAACGAAAACCTTTGAATAACAATCTAAACAGTGAAAATGTTCACGATATTGACGATCCCTGCAAATATCAGATCCACAATCTAAGGCATTGGCATAACTGTTTGTTGGTGTCCAGTCCATTCATCCGATGTCCAGTTTGGGTCCATTTTATTTGAGAAAAACAAAATTAAAAAAAAGGTAAGCACATTAGCCTTTCCTGTGTATTAACAGTCAATCTACAGGTAGATACACATTATATTGGGTGGGGCAAAGGGGTGATTCTGAAAAAAGCAACAAGTTAACAAAGGGATAACATTGAGCTGAGTAGAGGTAATTGTTAATGTTAAGTTAAATTGTTCAAAAGAAACAAAATTGATTTGAATCATTTTCCTGTAATCAGTTAATTGTTGTGTTAATGGTAACAAAAATCATTTGATTATTATCCTTAATCAGTGTTTAAATTGTTTGCTTTTAGGCTTATCAATCTCTCGAGTGAGATAATAAAACTTTTTTTTACATTTAAAACTCATCTTAATTGTTGATCACTAATTTTGTTTAATTGTTAATCATTTCAACCTTTAAAGAATTGGTTTCTAATTAAATTAGATTTATATTCAATTTGGTTTGTAAAAGCTACTTAATTTGTAACTGTTAATTAATCTCAATTTATTACATGAAATTTAAGCTCAACAATTAACAATAACAAAAAGAAACAGATCAATTTAATAATTAACCTTCAACTTAATTAAAATTAACATTCTAATAAGATACTCAATGAATTTTAGTTTAATTGTAATTAAATTTAACAAGCGGGAACAAACTTTCTTACGAAAGTTTCTCGTAACTCTATGTGAATAGATTGATTAGCTGATTGTATCTAATTAACATAGAAAGAGACATTAACAAGTATTTACTGTCATCTCTTATATCTCTTAATTTTCAATTGTCTTCAATCAATTAATCAATAGCAAAACGATTGTAACAATTAACCATAAATGTAAAAAGTAAACAAGAGATGAGCTTTTGATAAACCATTGGAAAATAATCAGGTTCAAGTTGATATCAGAATATCAACAAATTGTTTCCTAATTTGATTCACTAAATTAACCTTTTCACTTGTCACAAAAACACACTGACAATTAGTTGATTGTGTTAAACTGATCAATCGGTGATCTATATTATTAGAAATGAGATGTTTAGATTTTCCAATCAGTTGCGATTCTCATTCACTTCCAAGATGATCATCAATTGTGAAATATCATCCATCAAATACAAAGACAATTTAATTATAGAATTAAATTCACCCACTGAATAGTTTTAATTGTTTAGAAATTTATTTTCCAACTTAATTTATTTTTCCAAATTTGGAATATTTTCTATTTCGACCAATAGATGTCCCCACATAGTTTCTGTCTTAACGTTCACTTTTTAGCTTTAATTTTGTTCAACGAAAATCGTTTTTCTTGATCTTTTTCAACGATCGAGATAAATTGTCGGCAATTTAAAGTGTGAATGTGTTGGGAGGGAAAAGAAGAAAAAGAGAAACTTAAATAAGCAAAAATTTGCGATCGATTTATGGGAAAAGATGAACTAAAAATCGATCAGTTTATCTTATTTTCTTGAAAAAAGAAAAAAAAACTTTGATAATTAGTAATAATTAAGAGATAATTAAAGTCAACATTGTGTTTATTGTTATTTTAACTAAACTTTCACCAGTAATTAAAAGCTAAAACAGTTTATTTACAGCCATAGACACGTTATCATCTCGTGTATTAAAGTTTCGTCGCTTTGAGAGATGAGATTAAAGAGAAAATCATTTTTTCATTTTCTAGTTTTTTGATTTGTTTTTATCTTCCATTTTCTCTCCCTCTCTCTCCTCACTCTCTCACTTTCTCACTCACTCACTAAGTTTCTCTGTGTATGAAAACCTGATCCTCAAATTGAGTTTAGATTGAGAATCATCATTGTAAACGGTTTGGTTTGAAACGCCATCAAATTGACCTTCTTATTTTTGATTGTGTTTTGTTCAGTCGTCAAATGTATTATAGTTGACCCAAAGTTTTCCAAGGGATGTTACCAATTCTTGTTGCCACTGAGAGAATTATTCAAAGTGATAATAATGAACAACATCAACAATCTCAATCACTACAAGCCCACCAGCAACACCATCCAGCCTCTAATCATCTCTACCAACCATCAAATTCACAGCAACAACACCAACAAGCATCCACATCACTCAGTGCAATTATCAATGAGAGAGCCTCAAGTAACTATCAAACCTTTAATAGTGACAAATATGACATCGGCTATAGTGACTCGGACTATCCAATTAAGGACGATGAAATTACCACCTATTGTACAAGTAAACATCCAAAGATCAATTTCTTTTTCTTTACCTCGTTCTATGTTGTTTTCCTCATGTTTGGTGCCATCATTTTCTTGATCATTGAACAACCAAGAGAAATTGAATCAAGAGATGATCTCATTTCTGTTCAGGAATCATTTCTTTCCAAATATCCTCATGTTGAAGGTGAGAAAAGACATTTTTAAATTGAATCCCTTTCAGAATCACCAATACCTTTTTCTTGCTCTTCCAATTGGTTCGTCACCTTCCTATTGATGTAACAATTAACTAATACTAAATACAATTAGCAGGCAAATACCAGTAGCTTAGAGAAACTTATTTTAATGTTTACCAATCATTGATTTACCTGTGAACCTTTTGAATAATTTGACTGGAGTAATTGACTCAATCATGTCTTTACATCAGTAGGGTTGGTTTACTATTCCAAATATTGAGCAATCAGAAATCAAGTTCATTTCTCCATCATCGTCACAACGATTGATTTTATCTCATTTTCATTGTAATTTCTGATTATTTCTCTATCGTTCAATCAGAATTGTCTTTTTTCCTTTTTTAAAGTCTTTCTTTTTTTCTCTATCACATTAATCCAGTGGAGGATGTAAAGCAATTAATTACGGTGATGTTGAAAGCTCAACAAGACGGTTATTATGTGCCAATTGTTGGGGACGATTTAGTTATTAGCGAAGAATCGATGAATGAATTGACAAAGAGTTCAGATGATAAAGATACAGATAAACAACCGTCTTCGCCATCAGATGAAACAGCTCAATCACCATCGCCACCGAACGCAACTACAAGTAAATCTACTTTACGATTAAGAAAACCCAAACCGATTGACAAGTCAACATCTTCATCGACATCTTCTTCACCAATTTTGTCTCTAAATGCAACCAACGAGGCCTTAGTTTCTTACGAAATAGCCGATGACCTAGAAAACAAGACGGCCAACAACAGGTCAACCATTAAATTAGCACCGATCAGATCAATAACCAATTGGCGATTCAGTTCATCCCTTTTATTTGTCACCTCTCTGGTTACCACCATTGGTTATGGTAATTTGACTCCTCTCACTGTTACCGGTAAAATCACTTGTATCGTTTTCTGTATTTTCGGTGTACCTGCAACTTTGACCTTCTTTTCCACCCTGGTAACAATCTTTGTCCGTGGTCCAGTTAAACGATTAGAAGCTTGGCTCATACGAATAATAATCTATCTTCATCGATCAGCTTCCGTTTTCACTGTTCGAATAATCCATCTTGTGATAATCACTTCGTTCCTAATGGTTATCTGCCTTTTCATTCCGGCCTATTTTTTTTACCTCAATGAGGACGAATGGACTTATCTTGAGTCGTTCTATTGTTGCTTCATCTCCCTGACCACCATTGGGCTAGGTGACTTTGTTCCAGGTATCGAAGGGCCAGTTGCCGATCTTTTGTATCCTTTCGTTATTGTGGTCTACCTGTTTTTCGGCCTCTCAATGATCATGGTTTGGCTCGCCCTTATTCATCGTATTCCACAATTGAATCTATCCGATGCTCTTGTTCCTGATGATAAGGAGGAAGATAAAATTGCTGAAGAAGAGAATGCTAAAAATCGAGAGAGACTTCGTATTCTAACAAATCAGTTGATTCTCCAACATCGACTCAAAAAAATTAGTTCAATTCGAATTGAAGAACCAAGTTCACAAATTAAGAACAATCAATCACTGATACCTTAAAGTGAAACATTAAGATAATCATTAACCCGACACAGAAAATAATTGACCATCAATCAAATGCAAAGAAACGGAAAAGCTAAAAAAGTAACAATTCGAGTCAAGAATTAACTAAATCATCGCCTAATTGAGATCAAATATCTTTATATAAACACGAGGAAGCCTTTGATTGGCACTATTTCCTCTTTCTAATTCCCCTATTACTCCAACTTCGTCCTTTTCACCCACTCGAACCATTTAAAACACCACCAACAATCAAATCAATTCCCACCAAGCCCTCAACCTCTCGATCCTCGTCCATTTTGCCCACTGCCCACTGTCCACTCTCCTTTCTCATCATATTTTTTGTCTCTTCTTTTCATCACATTTTATCATTTTTTTCTCTCTCATGTTAACTTTTCCCGCTTTTTTACAATCAATTACACCAAACAATCATCAATGAATATGATTTAACATCAAATCATCAAGAATCAAACATTAAATTGGGTCGTATTGAGAAATGAAAAACAAACTTAATTGGGAAATTCTTAATTATTACAATTTATTTGAAATTAACTCTATTTTGGGTTAAACTGAAACAATCAAACGAATACATCTAGTTGATTATTTAATCGAACGCTCAAGTTTAATTATTTTTCATTAATTTTTTAAATTCAACATAAGAAAGTTCCAACTACTTAATTATCAACATCTACTTAATTTACCAACAATCAATGATAAAAATAATAAATAATAAATTGCTACATAATAATAAAAACTAAAGACTAACTATAAGTTTTTGTTGTATCTCTAATTATTGATTAGGATAAAGTGTGATTAAGTTAATTGTCAACATTAAGGGAACAGAAATAGTCGGGGAACCAAATTATCTAGTTAATTGTGAGCTTAAATGATTATTATTTTGTGATTAGAAGACGAAAAGTTAATAAGATAATTTGATGATAAGAAATGGGAAGAAGATGATATTTGCTGATTCGATAGGAACTGGGAGTGATTGTCGGTGTGACTTTTCTAGAAGATGATAAGGAAGATAAAAGAGAGAGAGAGATGAAAGGAAAATGGTGATGGACTCGACGATTATGAGGTCCAAATCTCAGGTCACTTTTAAATCTAATCTCGGGTACAAAAAAACACTCGAAAAGTTAATGAGGATCAATTGTTGATCTTTTTCTGTGATTTATTCACAATCAATTTGATACTAATTTTCCAACTGTTATTGAACTCGAAACATTTGTTAATTAACATGATAATAACAGCACTTGTTGATTAATTAGTTAGCAATTTTAATTGTACCTTTGGTTAAATGTGCTCAACAAATTACCTTGACAAGGTGAAAATCAAACCTTGTTTGGTAATTATGTTTATTGTTTTCTTTTATGAGGAAATTGTTCAATTGTCGTTAATTAGATTACTTAATTGTTTCAGTTGATCATCTCTCTTCCCTTTAATTGTCATCATCATCATCAGTTAATTTCCCTTTTGATCTCATTGATCTGTTATCTGTTTAGTTGCCTAATTGTTTAGCTGACACCATCGTCTTATATGAAACATGAGACAATATATTAATTGTAGATATAAAGTAATCACAATCAAGTAACAATTAAATATTGTCAGATAATAATAATCAACGTTTGTGCTGATGATATTTACAATTTACTTACTTTCTAATTGTAACAATTAACAAGAAGCAGATGAAAGGCAACTTTGAAAAGTTTATCACCAAGTAAGATTATTATGGTTAATTGTGACAATTAAGATCTGTTAAGTTAATTGCAAATCAGTTTCATAAAGAGGGAGATCTGTAAATAACTAAATAAGTTAATTGTTGCTTTGCAATTTGTAACCATTTACAGGTTTGATACTAATAATTTGGATTGATCTAAATTGAATCAATTAGCTAAATCTATTGATTGGACATTTACATTGTCAACTATTGATCACCTTGATTACTGTCACAATCAATTTGACAATTTCAATTTTAAAATAGCCAATGTTTCAATTGTAATAATTTACTATTATTATTAAGTTAGATCATCAAAGTGCAGTGATAGTTAATAGTAAATTTAGACAAGCAAATTGTTTGAATCAATTGCGTTAATTGTTGGGTTGTTAGGTCAATCATCCGTTAATTGCAATCTAATTTTTATTGACACTCGAGATAAAAATTAAAATGAAAGTACGTCAATTAACAATTAAAGATTTTCCCATTAGTCTATTAGGTATATTTGATTGTAATCAAATGATTTAAAGTTATCTATCTAAAGGGTGTAACGATTAACTCAAGACAAAATAGTTGGCTGCTAAAAGAGTATCTTACCTGAGATTAGATTAAAATTAAGAAAAACGATTGATTTTAACGATCGATCTTCGAAGATCAATTGTTTATCTTCATTAATGATTAGGATTTGATGGCATTTTGGGTAAAGATTATGCTCAAGTTACAAGGATTCTATGAAAGGTTAGGGTATCAAAAAATTCAGCTGAAAATCCTACAAAATGGAAAACTAGTACGAACAAAATCTGAACATCCGTTCATGAGAAATTCTAAAATTCTGAGGTTTTCTGAGGTGTGAGAGTCGAAAAGAAAGAGAAAAAGAAATGCTGTCAATTCTATTGACATGATAGAAATAAAATGTCATTGGATTATTTTTACAAAGCTGATGAGTTGATAACAAAGTTTAACCTTCTTGGTGTTGTTTTCAACTGATTGGAAGTAATTTGATCACTTAATTAACTAATTATCGATTCATTCTGGTTAACGTAAACAATTGTGCTCATTGAACTTTCCTTATATCGCCTCACAATCAAAATATCAACGAGTTATTGACAAATTGAATATTTCGTATGTTTATCGAGATCGTTTTAATTATCGGGTGACCAAAAATGAGTGAGCATCCCAAGAATGGTAAGTCCTAGAATAAAGTTTCAAACTTCATTGGAAGCGCCATCGATCAAATATAAATAAATAATTTTTTCAAAATTTTCGAAGCTCAAATGCAACTGTGGTTCTTATTTAAAGACCAAATCGCGATTTTCTCTATGAGAAATTTATAATGGGGAAGTTAAAGAGCAATTTCCGTTAATTTTGACCAAAAATTTTGAGTCCAAAGTCAACCGTTCGCTTTTCAGACCACTCGATTTCTCGAGAACCGTACGTCCTAGAAAAAAAAGCCGAACATTTTTGGACTCAGCGTAAAATTCACTTTCTCAAAATTTATAAAAATGTGGATCTAAAACTTAAAGTTCGTGAGATACTCAATCATTTTCGGTCACCCGATATATTAACTGCAGGTTTATTATTTGATATTAAATAATCGTGAAGGTTAAAAAAGTTTGAACTTGAAAAGGGAAGTGACTTAAAATTTTCAATTGTTGATCCATTTTTTTTATAAATGAAATGTGACTTTAATATTTCTCTTCCTCTTTTACTTTCACTCTGAATTCAGATTTTGCCTTTTTCGGTGAACCAATTGTGTTTTGTTGATTATCAGGCTTACGATAAGCAGGGTCCCAATGTTGAACCTTAGCTGAAGCCAAAAGAACATATAAAATGGCTCCGATAACTATTAAAATCGCTGATAAGTAAAATGTTGAGTACCATCTCTCGGGTGTGGGATTATCGCCAACTAACCAGGCCACTGCTTCGTTCATTAAGATTTGTGATGTATCGGCAATCGTTCGAGCAAGGCCATTGAATGTACCAGCAAAACTTGGACAGATATCCAAATGATTGGAACCTGGACCAGCGATGTTTAGAGCACCAAATCCTTTCGCAATTGTGGCCAATATTACAACGGTTCCTATGTGTGGACCAACAAATGGAATTAAGAACAAGCAAGCAGCATAAACCCCATAACCTAAAGAAGAGAAAATATAACAAAATTAATTTACTCTATTTGATTCAATTCACAACAATTGATTCTTACCAATGAAGGTACAAATTTTTCGTAGTCTAATTGTGGACAATATTTCACTTGCTCGCAGCCAATCAACCAAATATCCAGCGGTGTAGTTGACCAGAATGGAGACAATGTAAGGAAGAGCAGTCATGACTCCATTCTAATCAGATTAGAATTTGTATTTTCAAAAGAAATTAGAAAAACAATCAACAGAAATTAATTGTGAACACTCACCGATTTGTAGCTAACATGGAGAACATCCTTGTAGAAAGATGATAATTGTTGAGAGAAAAATCCAGCGGTCCAAGAGTAGCAGAAATTAGCCGATAAAATGGCGAATATTGCTGGAGAAGCTAATAACGATCCCCATGGTAAACTTTTCTGTTAATTAAATCAACGAGAGAAATAATCAATTTCCTTAATGAAGAAAATAAAACAAAAACAAACAATCTGAAGTTCTAATGATCATTTGACTTCAATTCTATTAGTCGATTTGAGATCTGATTGATCACCTTTTTGAAAATCGTTGGTGACAAATTGTTTTGCTTTCTAATCAACTTCGATTAATCAAATTGATTTTATTTTTTCTATTAAAAAAGGATAATATCAAAGGTTAGTGATATGGTCAGTTGTCATTTAATTGTTTCTATTGTCCAGTGAATTTGTTTTACTTTGTTAATCTACTTACTGCTTTTCCTTTTCTAACTAATCTGTGTTGCATGATCTCAATTAATTCATCTTGTTTAATTAGCGGATGTTTTCCTGGATCATCTCGAATCATTATAAACACCACTACGCTCATTATTATAGCGGTTGCACCGAAAGAGTAAAAGACTAAAGGCCAACCACCTAGGAAATCGCCACTGACCATTAGACCAACGATTGGAGGAGTTAAAGCTCCACTGAAAAGAGCTCCTGATGTGATTATGGAACTGGCGATTGTTTTTTCTTGCTGAGGAATCCATCGAGTTAATATGACCTGCGATGTTGGCACTGCTATCGCTGAACATATTCCTTGGGCAAGACGAACTAAATAAGAATACCAATAGGATCGTCTAGCGATCCATGGAAATGAAAGGTTTATAAGTCCAGTTGTTAGAATCGCAATTGAGGCAACTTTCCGAGGACCATAGATTTCGGCGATTCGTCCACCGCAAATGGCCATTCCTAATGAACCCCAAATGAATGACTGAAGAAATCGACTCTTTTGTGAGTCGCTCCAGTCGACATGATATTCACGATGAGTATCCGATTCGTAGCATCCTTTGGACTTGAGACCTGTTGAATTATCCACCTTACAAGTTACATCACTGATCATCGCTACAACAGCTAAACTCATACACATTTTGATCGCTATTAATACAAATGATTGTAGGGCAATAATTGTTATCACAATCCAGCGAAGTTTAATCTTTCGCTTAGGTTTCAACGAATCCATGGATGAATAAATACCATTTCGTTTCCCTTCAATTGAATCTGTCATGATGATTTATATGATCACTTATAACATGAAACTAAATTATTGCTAAAAACACTTCTGATTACTTTGCAGTAAACTGGTTGAATATTTAATTTCATTCTGATCGTAACTAACGAAAAGATCCCGATCATCTTAATCAATGGATTAGTGAACGAATTAGCTAACATAGAAACAGAAATTAATCCTTATTGCCAACGTTCATTTAATTCATTGACTGTATAAATTAGACGAAGAATGAAGATTTAAAAACGCTGAATTATCTTCTAATTAATTAATTCTCGTTCTTTTTCTTCAAGGTTTGGAGTTAATCGTCAAAGTTATTTTCAATCCAACAGAGAGATTAGCGAAGGGACAAAACCACTTCTGATAAAAACAAAGAACTTTCAATAATCGGTTAATCAATGAACACAGAGAATAATAATCAAGAAACTAAACGTTTGAACTTCAAAACGATCTAAAATCTTTTAAATAGATACAAAGTTCAATTTTCAAACAAATAATCAATCAGAATTAATGTAATTCATCAAAATGTATTCATATGAATATATGATGATGTTATTCATAATGAATTTGTAACAGTGAGTTCGAATCATATTTTTTTGTCACCACCATATCGAATCAAGAACGACCAGTGCGACCATCGACCACAGCATTAGGAACAGAACCAGGTCTAGGGTCAATTTGATCGGCTATATTGTAGTTTGAATGATTATCAATTGTCATCTCAACAGCCTTGGTATATTTTTAAATTGTTGCCTTGATGCTTAAGCTTTTTGGTTAGGTCTAAGAACGGATTTAGTTGATTGAGATAACATTGATTTCTCAAAATTTCCCTAGGTGTTAATTACAATTAGCCAATCAAAAAGTTGAAACATTTCTACTTTTAAATTACAGTTTAAAAAAAGTATCGTTGTAACTGGTCTAATATTTGATTATTGATCATCAACAGTTAATTGATTTTGATAATTTATTACACTTCGGGAAAGTTGATTATTCATTGATTTACCAACAAGCACTGGAGATACTAAATCAAGTCCATTATGATCTTCCCGATGATAAGTAAGTGGTATTGATTAGTTGTATTGAGTGTTGTGATTAACGATTGATTATTATCATGATCAGTTTTCTTCAGGTCAACAGCGGATGATAAATGACCTTTAAGGGCTAAATTAATCTCGTTCAACGATTAGATTGAATATCTGCCTGTCTAATGGTTTTTCTTGTCTCAAAGACTCGAACTTACTGTTCAATCATAGTACCAACATTATTAGAACAAAATCTAATACACTGAACGGCTTGTGTACGAAAATACTGTTAACGGCTTTCGATAGTGTTAATCATAAAAAGAATCGAACTGAATTAAATTGTTGAGCTCGATCGAGACTCTCAACGAAATTAAGGATTGCAAATTTCTTTCTTAATTCTCAAGTTAACTTGTCTTGACATCCAGGATTTAGATTAACAAGACTAATCATCGATAAATTTTCTCAAGATCAGTAATCAATTAAACGGAAGATAATCATTTATCAGTTAAGTAATAAATAGAAAGTCATTAGATTATTGGTAGATTTGAATGACTGATTTGATTGTCCAAAAAATATCGAATGACCCAGAAAGACAATTAATGGGATAACAATTAAAACTTGGATCTTGGTCCAAAGTTAATAAGATAAACCTTTTTGGATATGTGATGATATATTAATTGATTAAGTGATCAGAGACAATTGTTAATAGCAAAGAGTAAAAAACTTTAAATGACAAAAAGTTATCACAATTAATTACTACGGAAATAAATGAACAATCAACAAAAGGAATAGCTAACAATTGTGGATATGATGTAACACTGCCTGGAAAATAATATTTCATTTCCCTGGAGTTCTGAATGATTCATATTGTCAATATATGTAATCGATCAAATGTAATTAATGAGAATAGTAATTGAAAACAATCAACTTTATTCACCGTCCGAGGGACAAATGCATTAAACATTTTAACCACCGAAGTGGTGATAAAATGTAATGGTGGTCATTACGATCATATCTCTTTTCTTTGAGTTGGAGTCAATTGTTTAGTCCAGAAAATCGGTGTGCAGGTCTACGAGTAAAGGCCACAGTCGCTCATATATTTGCCGTTTCCGATTTTGGGTATTCCATAGTAAGTTTTCATTGAAATGGTTTTCATTTTTAATATTACTCAAGGAGTAAGAAATTAGAATTGTAATTTGTAACCAGGGCGTTTAAGGACATTTATACTAGTATTTTGTCAATTTGTTTCAGTCTTAACTGAAACAATTATGATCGCTATTTACACAATTTGATGATTTTAACAGGTAAATTAAAGGTAAATTGATTGCCTTTTCAACTTGTGATAGTTATCATGAGACTCAAGAGGTGGCAGCTCTTTCCAGGGAAAAGTTAACTTGATTGTTTCTCAACAATTAGTCAAATTTTGCGATTCAATTTGATTAATTATCACTGAATTAATTGAATTGATCTGCTAACTATATATTTAGTCAAATATGAGCTGGTAAAATTTACTAATAGCTTGACTTTAAATGAGGAACTGAAATTAACGGATGATTATAATTATTTTGATTAAATTGCTGTTTCAATTAATATTTTTGATTATATTCAATATTTAAATAATTAATCAAAATTTAGTTAACTAATTTTTACATAGTATAGATTCACTTTGAAAGTATCAACTAATATTTAATTGATTAACTTGTGTCTCTCAGTTTATAAGCAAGAAAACTGTCAAAATTTTGATTGTCATTTTAATGATTAGTAAATCAATACAATTACCAAAATGTAACAACAAACAATTAGGAAAATTTTTGATTGTTCCTCTAGAGTGTGAATCGATTGCGATCTTGATGAAGGACGCAAATCGACTGCTATTGATTAAGATTTGGACAAATTTAAATAACTCTAATCATCGGAATAGCTTTGAAAATGAAATTAATTTTGTTAATTGTCGATTAAGTTACAATAAATTGGAACAGTTTTTTTATTTGATTTGGTTTGGCAAAAGATATCAAATAAAAAACCAAATTAAGTTAAGAAAGAGAAACAATTCCTCTCTTTCTGTTTGTCTGAGCGGATAAATGGACACAATCGCCTGAGGGCTTAAGGATAAAGAGCTTTTGGAAACTCGTTTTTCAACAGCTCATCTTTTATGTATATTTTAAGCTCAAAGTGAAAAAGAATCAACAATTTACAAGAGTTAGTCCATTTGTCTCTGGCTACTTGGATAACCTTGTTGTTAAATTGTTCTCATCTTGTATCATCATCTCATCATTCCAGCGATTGTTATTTTCCCTCCCAAATTGACCTGAAAATCTCGAGTATCTCATCAATCAGCTAATCATTTATCATGTTTTTCTAATTGCTCACAATCAACAGGAACACCAAAATCACCAAGGAACAAAAATGGTAAACTCTAGATTTCTCTGTTCTTATAATATAATTTTCTTTCGTAATTCGTTCAATTATATTTCTACTTTTCGACCTAAAAATATCTTCGTCATTAATATCGATCGTTAATTCAATTTCTACGAGTTCTTTTTTCATGATTTCTCTTGATGAACATCTTCCATTTTAAGAATAACAATTTATCTTATCATCTTTCAACATTTTCTCTTCCTTATTCTCAAATAATCTTCCTAATCTGATTACTAATTATATTTCTTTCTGTTCATTTTCATGTGTAAATATTTGTTATCATTCATCTCCTATTGTGATTACCTGTTAATCGTGTCTCGATCTGTTTAATTTTCCCTGTTAACTGTCAATAATTTTCAAGACAGTCGATAACCATAGTTCATCTGATTCATCTGAGCCTTCAGTTGAAATCAGTTGTCGAAATACAAAAGAACGAAAAATTTTGAAAATTTTAGTTCTTGGTGAAGTTTCTGTTGGAAAAACCAGTCTAATCAAACGATATGTTCACAACTTTTTCTCTCAACATTATCGAGCCACCGTAAGTCCACCAATCTGATCTGATCGCGAAAAGAAAAACAGATAACACAAACTTATCTCTTTTTCATCATTACTATTATCTGACATTTAGATTGGTGTAGATTTTGCCCTGAAACATTTAGTCTGGGAAGATGAATCGGTCATCTTATTACAATTATGGGACATCGCTGGACAAGAGCGATTTGAATCAATGAATCGCGTCTATTATAAAGGTGCCGTTGGATCTTTTATCCTCACGGATGCTTCTAATCCCGATTCTTTCAAATCAGCCATCCGATGGAAGAAAGATTTTGATACCAAGGTAACCATGGAGGATGGACAACCTTCACCATCCATTTTGTTGGTAAACAAGGTGAGATTCTCGTTTTCTCTTCTTCCTCACTTGTACTAATAATGTACTTATATTTCTAAGAAAGAAAGAGAAAGAAAGAGAGAGAGAGAGATACATTCAGACTTCTCTTCTTCTTCTTCTTCTTTTCCTTCTTCTTCCGTGCAACTGCACTGTACCATTGGTCTTGAAAGAAGATAAAGAAAAGGAAGATAAATGATGAGGTAGAAAAATATTTTCCATTTTTTTCCTGTCCATCATTTAGATGTGAAAAAATGTTCTATTGATATTTTTATATGTTCCTTTGGGAAAAACCGCCAGTTTAACAATTGAAATAATGTTTATCATATTTTGACAATTTATCTTCTTCAGTGTGATATTGAAAAGGTTGGAATCGCCAGTGATATTGTCCAGCTTCATAGTTTCGCCCAAGAAAACGGTTTCCTTGCTTGGGCTTACGTTTCTGCCAAGGAAAATATTGGAATCGACGATGCATCTAAGAACTTGATTCGAAAGGTAGTTAATTGATTTCTTTTTCTCTCTCTACAGTTAATCTCACGTTTAATTATCATTTTTGCTTTTTTTCGCTCAACAGGTTCTTGAAAGAATGGAATCAAATGAGCAAACGGAACTAGTGGAAGGTAATCAAACGATTGATCGAAGCGATGTCAAAGTGTTAACCAAAACCACGGCGGTCGATTTGGCCTCAGGTAGACCACAAGATGCTAGGGAGTCAAGTGGTTGTTCCTGTTGACACTTTTTAATTGTGACAATTAGCAAACTTAAAAATCCCTCCAATCATTAGGCAAACACATTCACAACAATCAAACGTCATTTGTTTCAGTCAAAATTGCTGAAAATCAACAATTACTACAAACTCTCAATCATTGACTGGAAATAATTTGATAAAAAATTAATTAAATAACAATAATAAAGTGAAAAAAACTTTAATTACGAGTGTAAATTAATTAATTGCTTTTCAAGCATCGAAAAGGATTTAAATCAATTGGAAACAATTACGATGCTGTTTAGTTGTAAAAAAGAGTAATTAACAAAATAATTTGATTCTCTAAGAGTATATAAAAAAATAATAATGATAGAAAACTTATCAAATCTAATCATTGATTTTTCCAGGATCAAATCAACTTCTTAATTGTGATCAATATTCAACCAATTAAAGTTTCGACTTGATTGAAGTTGGAGTTATAAACAATTTGTTTAGCTTTTCAAGTTTCACCTTATCTCCGGTTACATTGATTTTTCCGGTTGCGAGTCCCTATTAGTTGTAATGGAAGAAAGAAAATCAATTGTTAATTGTTAATTGTATTCACAAGAAAATTAATCAAATCAAAAACTTACATCGGCTAAAGTTAATTTCATCATAACCCATTTAGCAAAGTTATAATCATCAACGGTAGTAACTGTAACGGCTTCGGGGTCACTTCCTCTTCGGACCTTTGGTGCTTCAGTTTTCAAATCGATAACTAAAAAAATTAATAGAAAAACAATCAAGTTAATTAGTAGAGGGAAAAAAATCAAAGGTAAACTTAATCAGCATTCATATTATAATAGTAACAATTTTTATCGTGATTAAAATTATTTCATGGATGAGCAATCAAGAAAATAACATTAGTCACAATAATCAAATTTATACTATGATCAGTTAATTAGTGGACCAATAATTCAAATTGTAATGATTAATTTACAAACTGAAAATGTCAATTGATTGACAAATGCGTGAGTGTAACTTTGGTATTGTCTTTTGTTTTGTTTGTTGCTGATTGTCAATTACAATTTAACAATTGACACAATCATGACAAAGACAAATATTACACATTCTAGATGATTAAAGTTAATTGTCAAATTTGATTGTTTGGGTTTGAAAGAATTGATTGATTAATTGGTTAGCATTCTCACCCCATTGTGATACAATGTTTCCCTCTTTGGTTATGTTAAATTGATGTGAACCGGAGGCTTGATTGTGTAGACCAGGGATTCGGACAATTCGTTGGACCAAATCAATGATAACATATTCACTTCGAAGTCCAGGTTTAAGGGGCTGATCGACCAGAATATCAACGGCTAACGGTAATTCTGGTGTTTTACCCAATTTCTGGAACTCAAGCCACAGGGAATTTAATCTTTGCATCAACATGATGTTTCCCTTGATCTTGATCTTTCCCATCATGAAGAGACGCTGAGGATTGACCTTACCCACCATTACCTTGAGTAGGTCATCATCGTCCATGGTGATGATACAATCAGGCTTAACTCCTCTAGGCGCTTCTCGGTAACAAACAACATCGGCGGTCGATTTGTTATCAGCAGCTGATTGGATTAAAAGGCAAAACAATTAATGAAATTACGTTTACAAACAATTGGATTGATTAATAATTAAGTTCTATCAGTACTTACTCCATACACACGCTGGTTTACCGTTTTTAAGTACATTGAATTGAAAGATAACTCGCAATTTCCTCATGTATTCAGGTTCCTCTTGAGCTCGATTCATGAAAACGTTAAATATCAGATCACATTTATGTCCAGAGATTGGAATTTTCTAAGAATATGAGAAATCACATTACAATTATAATCCGTTGGTTTAATTGTCCTTTGAAAGGTTAATTGTTTCAACTCACTTCAACATCAGGATCCGATTCATAATCACCGGATTGATTTGATTGATTGTTTGACGAAGGTGGTGATTGAACATTTGTTGATTCTTCAGCCCAAAGTTGTTGTAATTTTTGAGCTGCTAAAATGTTTCCAGAGATTTTCAATTTCCCACTCATGAAAGCCTACAATTAAAAGAGGACAATTAATCAAATTGATAAAACAAAAAACGATTTAAGTCTTGAATGGCAATAATTATGAAAAAAAAACCAACAGAGAGACAAATTGAACAAGTAAAACTTTACCGTTAATTATTTGGATGAAATTAAATTTTTGAAAAAAACAAACAACTAAATTGTTGCTACAAAGTCAAGTTAAATTGTAAGAATGACGATTTGAAATCATCTTGACTGAAAATCTATGAGAAGAAACTAAATCAATGATCAATTAAGCAAATCAATCAATTGGATACACTCACGTATCGATTTTTCATTGATAATCGTTTTGTTTGATAAAACAAATCAACAATCAGTTGATCACAATCATAACTTAATAGTTACTTTTGAATTTAGCACAATTTGACCTGAATTAAGTGTGTGTTTAGTTGAATCATTTTCAAAATGATCAAATCACTGATCAAAACAAACTTACAATATGAATGAAAATCAAGCTAATCACTACAAAGGTGGAATTAATTTTTTCCTTGTTCACGCAATTAAAAGTGAAAATTTTAGACCAAAAATTAAACCTAAAACTCAATTAACTTAAAATCTTTTCCTTGAATTGATTCCAAATTTTCAATCTCAACATAAATACCAACTAAAGATACTTTCAATTCACTTAAGGCCATTTACCGAACCAGGTCAACCAATTGATTCAATAAAAGTGCATCAACGTGTAATGAGAGACGCTACTTGTAAGTAATCAACTATCAACAAGAATCAGAACAACAACAACAATCAAGGTACAAAAATAGCAATCAGACTAACAGACACAATAATAAGTAAACAATCAGCAATCTCAATCAATATAATCACTATGAGAAGACTAATAAACTCAAATTAACTTGATCGTTGAGAAAAAGTGAAAAAAGTAAAATCTAATTCTAAGAATTGGATCAATCGACAATTAAATTGAATCTAAATTAATCTTTAAAGTTGGCAAATCTATCAATCGGCATCTCGACAATTAATTTGAGATGATCAACAATTACCCTCATCGCATCTTCTTTGCCCTCGAATATCCGACAAACGGAATCATCTTCAATGGTCAGTGAACAATCGGGTTTTCCAGCCTTGGGTGGACCTCGATGAATGGCACCGTCGCCGTTTTTAAAGTCACAAGTCCAAACGGAGGCCGGTTTACCGCCTTTAAGTATATTCCATTGGTAAACGGTTTTAATTGTTGGGATAATTGTCTTCATTTCGGATAATTTTTTGGCAGCCCAGTTCTCGAAGACGGCATCAATACGACAATCGATTGGTCCTCCATTGGAAGCTAAATTGTTTGAGAACGAGAAAAACAAGGTCAAAACAAATTAATTTAGATAATTAAATGGTAAATTAAATGTTATTCTTAATGGTGTTAATCAAAAAGAGGGGAAATTTAATAGAAGTTAATTGTTTTGTTTTTCTTGGTTCTTTTTTAAAGGAAAAAACTAAATGAATTTAATTTATTATCTAATAGCTTTTGATGTTGTTGATTGTTGTTACTGATTTACTAATTGTTAACTGCCATTGAACAATCATGAACCTTTGCTGTAGTTGACCGGCTTTAAGTTAAGGGTTAATTGTTAGTTGAACAATGTTAATGTTTTCTAAGTTTATTATTAACAATTACATTTTCTTGTCTAATCGTTGTTAATCAAGGTGTTAATCAATGATTAGACTACAAATGATTTGCTAAGAAAAAGTAATCGCTTCAATGATTGGTAACATGATTAACCAAGCAAATTGTTGTTTTCGTTGATTGTGATTTACCTGTTTGGTTGATATTATCATTATGATAACATAAAAGGTTAATTGTTAATCATTCAAGGCTAAATAGTTAACAGGAAGAAGAATCGTCAATCGTTTTTTAAATTAATCACAATTTAAGTTGAACAATTAACAAAAAAAAAAGGAGAAGATAAAAAACAAAATCATAGTAATATTTAAGTCTCAAAGTTAATCAAGTCAAGAGATTGAATTAATTTGGAGGAAATCAAATATCAATAAATATGTCCGTATGTGTATGAGGCTATTGGAATTAGTAAATTGTTATAAAATGATTAAGCTAATCACGTTTGATTAATGAAGCGCAATGAGATGTTGGAGTGAAACAATTTGTGTATACATAATATAAGATTGCAAATGATTACTTGAGTACGTTTAAAGTAACACGCAATCAACTAAGTGATTAAACAAATAGTGATATGTCATAATAGAAGAGACAATATTTGTCTATATTAATATCAACAATTTAATTGTAATCATTGTGATTACAAATGATAATCAAAAGTTAATATTACAAAGCAAATTGAATTAACCTTATACAAGAGTCAATGGTTTGGCCTTTCAATGTTTTTCCTTGGTAATATTTTGTTAATCACTTGTAATCCAATTTGAATTAAGATAATTAGGTATTAATTTTTGTTTATATTCTTAATCACTATTGATGATCATCATCATCATTTGATTGTAATTCTGATTGAGGTCAGAAAAAAAAGAAAGTTAAATTTGCCTCGTGGACACAACAGTAAATGTATTTTTAGATGTTGATGTTTCATTTTCAAAATGGATTCTTGTTTGTTGTATATTTAAACATCAACAATTGACACAAATTCAATTAAATTGTTGATGTTTGAATTACAATTAACTATTCAATGACAATATGTACAAGATAAGATACACAAATGATATACAGAGTAATTAATAAACAATACACATAAAACAATCGCCGGTGTTATCAACATGGTAAATGTGAATGAATATCATGAAAGAGGATCAGAGAAACGTTTCAACTGGGTAACAATTAAATACTTACAATTAGCTGTAGTAGTTGAAGCCATGTTATCAATAGTTAAGATGTTTAATTGGTAATAATAATTGTCACTAATAAAAAGGAAAACAATTTAATGATGTTTCAAGTAATACAATCAAGATGAACATTCACCCACAACAAGAGATATAGAAAGTGAGTGAGTAGATGATGAGGAAGATGAGGATGATGAGAGAGAGATGGGTTTTCCTGGTTACTACAATTAGATTGTGAAGAAGAGGAAAACCAGAGAAAATAATAGAAAAGTTAATTGTTGTAACCACAGAATTAGTTGATTAGTAGATTGATCTCAATGATAGTGACTCAAGACACTTTTTGCCATTAATTCAGGTAGAAAATGAGTGAGAAGGTTAGTGAGTAAATGGGAGAGAGAAAATGATAAAGGGAGATTATCATCATGACGAGAGATGTTTAAATTATTAATTGTAAACCTGATTCGTCTTGACAATCAAGTAAACCGGTTTTCTATTTAGTTGATTATTTCATGATGAAAATGAACCATTGAAGATAATCAACTTGATAGAAAGTCAACAATTAGGTTAATTATTTTTGATTAGTTAACAAAATTGATTAATTGACATTTTCACTTTTTGTTTCAACTTGAAAAGTTTTCATCTCATAAATTAAATTATTTTATTAATCCAACTACAGATTAATCAACTCAATTTACTAATATTTTCGTCAACAATTTAATCACATAGACTTTTAATCTTATGATGAAAACATTTCACTGATTATGATGGATTTTGATAATATTCTGGTAATCAAGTAAATCGCAATAATTTAATCCAAAGATTTGCTTTCTAATCGTATTGGAGATTAGTAGAAATTTTCGCGAATTTTGTTTATTAACAGTTTTCGAACCGTTTTAATTAGAAATGAATTGTTGACCAACAGAGAAACTAATTAAGGTCTCATTTTTTCGTGATTTTTCTTTTCTTTTTGCTTAACGATTTAAAGAGAAAAATTTGAATAAGACAAAAAACAAAAACAAAAGGTGAGCTGATAATGAAGTTTGATGATGATGATGATTGTTTATAAAATTGCAGGGATTTGGAATTGAAAATTACATAACTGTTTACATCATGATTACTGAAATTAGTTATTTTTTAAAACAAAATTACACATACAACAGATCATAACGAGGAGATGGAGGAAGAGAAAGAAAAAGATAGAATGAGAGAGAGAAAGAGAGAGAGAGAGGTGGGAGAGGAGGATTTGTGCGATATTAATGAAGATGAAAATGATGAGAATGATGAGAGTGGAGGGAGAGGGAGGAAGAGAGAAAGAGGAAAAAGACTATGAGGAAATAACCCTTTGAAGAATCGAGTTGATTGTGTATGATTGGTAAATAATGGTGGGTATGAAAAGAGTTTTTTCTTGTTGTTTGTCATTGAATAAAACAGAACGTGAATAAGACTTGAAGAGAGGAGATAGAGAAGATTTTGAAAATGTTTTCGTTTTTGCTTTGTTTCCATTTTTGTTTTTTTCTTTTGCAATCTGGCAACATGTTTGTGTTTTTTATTGCCGAAATATCGGTTAACAATAATGAGATAATCATCATGGTAAATATATTAATTATAGTAAATGAAATCCACTCGAAGATGGTTTGATTTGTGTGTTGTAGTATGTTAGGTTTTTTTGTGTGTTTGGTTGGTTCATTTTTTGAAATTTTTTTCGGTTTCTTTAATTGTTGGTGATCAACGTTGTTTGCTGGTTGCAATGATACAACTTGTGTTTTCGTGTATATATTGATATTGGTTGTAGTACTTGATTTTTCTGTTGCTGTTTTAATTGTTAACGTTGTTGACATTGTTGATGTAGTAGTGGTTGTTTTTGTTGTTGTATTTGTAGATGTTAATGTAGATGATTTTGTTGTTGTTGTTGTTGTAGTTGATGTTAATTGGTTAATTGTATTGTAATTTGTTTTAATGGTTGGTTGTAATTTTAATATTTGGTTGATGATGTTGACTTTGTTTTCCTTTTCCAATCAATTCCAGATTTTAAGGAAACTGTCCCATGATCCTGTAGCTACGGCCATTCCGTCTTCCGTCACTCCTAAGCAACTAACTCGGTTGTCATGACCAGCCAATACACCTGAGATTATGCAGATAATAAAAAATGATTAGAATATGGTAATAATAATAAATGAATAGAAGAAAAAAAATTGTGTTGGAAATAAAAATCAGGAAAGAAACATGGAGCTACAAATAAGAGTGATTGATGGATTCGGTGTGAGCATTTGAAGAATAGGATGAAAGGAATATGTTGATGAAGAGAAAAAGTGATGAGGATGAAGATGATGAAGATAGTAGAGTGGATGAAGATGGAAAAGAAGTGGTGTAAGCAAAAGATGGAGAGATTTTGGGTATGAGATTGCGCGAAGGTAGTAAAAGGAAGAAGGAAGAAGGAGGGTGGCGGTGAACAAGGAGGAGCAAAAGGAGAGAAGAGCAAAAAAATTATGTTTATTTCACTGGACTTGTTGATTAAAATACTAAGTAATAATCAAGTGAACAACAAATCAGTGAGTAATGAATGAATGAGAGAGAGAGAGCGAAGTGTATGATCTTTAAAGAAACAAAAAGGAAGTAAAATTAAATAGACTTAAGATTCATGTTAAATTCAATTAGACACTGCGACTGACGTAAACATAGATAATTGAAATTCATGCTGAGAAATCAACACATAAAATTGTGAGAAAGAGAGATGAAAATTATTCCAAGATGAGGTTTGATTGATATTGAACAAAGTGATTGGGAAAATCATTCACTATTAACTAAACAATCATTATTAAATGTAAGAATATTCATTAAGATCTTCCTCAATTAACAAAAACAAAACAAGAAGCAGTCAATAAGAGAGAGAGAGAGAGAGAGGAGAGAGAGAAAATTAAGAAACAATGAAATAACTAAAAATAATAAAAATCTATAAAAAGAAATTGAGTAAATATAAATTGCTAATTACAATTATGAACCTGGTAAGTCTTGAAATAGAGATTATCTAATATTGGGTAATGATTAGATGAGGAAGCAATTAAATTGATTGTTGCAAATAATCAAGGATTTGAAAAAGGAATTAGAAAAAGATAACATCAGCAATATGGGAAAACAGTAAATACTGATATAAATCTAGATCAAAACCACAAATTTCGGTAAGATGAGCATTAATGGTTCGAGTTAGGGACCTGTTGGTATAGCGAACAGGTTAGCTTTCAGTTGGTACGATTAATTCATTGTAAACGGAGTTAAGGTCATTTCTCATTTGGTTGAACTAAACAAGGTTAGGTTTGGTTAGGTTCGGTCACTTAATATATTGTCTACTAGAGTATAACAGATGATTAAAATAGATTTTGTTCTAATCATTATATAAATTAAATTAGCAAATTAATCTATTAACTGGACATTGATGAGAATTGATTTTATCGACTTAAGCTTCTAACTCTTGATCAGTTATAGTTTACTAACCCCTCAATTTGGACTACAAGGTCCATTTTCATGAGATCAATTCCCTGGTCCTTCATTCTGAATGATTGTTTTGAAACAAAAAAAAACAATTAACCTTAACAACTCAAGTATAAATATTGAGTATCAATACTCAAGTGAGAGACCTTTGAGGACCAATGTGGAAAAGGGTTCCATGTGAACAGTAGTTGAACATGGGTCAGTCGGCCCTAAGCGATAGGGAGAAATCCCTAACCAAAGTCCGTAAGTTTAACTATCTTACATATTAATAATACATGATTGATCAACTATTATGATCAATTTTTCAATACGAAGGCCTGAACATCATTATACTCATAAGGTTCAATTAATTAACCATTTTGTCTCTCTACTCTTACTGGCAACTATTTGACAAGGGAGTCATCAACTAATAATCAAAATAATCAGCAAAATTTGACAGATACGAATCAGAGGGAGAGTGAGAATAAAAAGGTCGGAAAAATTGACACTAGAAAAAGAATATTGAAGAATCACAAGAAAAAAGATGAAAAGAAAGCAGAGAGAAAAAGATGGAGGATGCAGCATATAGAATAAGGATAACATAGTTAAATGATGAATCTGAATAAGAAGATTATGGTTGATGAAGAAGAGTGAGGAATGAATTGAATGAAGGTACTATTAACACCTAAGTGAATCAAGCAAATCTGATTAGTTGTTTTACAATTTTGCTGATAGTAACTAATCAAGTCTAATCAGTTTGACTTTCATAAATAAATATAGAAAGAGAGAAGCGCCTGAAGGAGGAAGGGTGTATAGAATAAGGAAAGTAGATAACATTGTGAAATGAGATGAATGAAAATTTGAATTGTGAAGATAAAATATTGGTAAATGATGATGACAGAAGTGTAAGGAAGTGCTGTTGATACGAATGAATGTAAATGATTACCGGCTCTTTCTGCTTTCATAGAGTCCCAAACATTACAGTTGAAATCATCATAACCGGCTAATAAAAGTCTTCCACTCTTGGAGAATGCAACAGAGGTAATTCCACAAATGATGTTATCATGGGAGTACATAGCCAATTCTTGGTCAGCTCTAATATCGAAAAGACGACAAGTAGCATCATCTGAGCCAGTTGCAAAGGCATAGCCATTTGGAAAAAACTATCAATATGAAAAAAAAGAAAAAAATATAATTAGTCAATTAATTTGACGAAAAAAAACAAACATATAATTGTTGAGAAGAAAAATGAAAATAATCAATTGAATTTCTGAAAATACTCACCGTGACTGCGTTTATGTCAGACTCATGACCAGGGAAAGTTTGCTTACATTGGCCATCTCGAATATCCCACAACTTGATTAGAAATGGTGACAATCATGTTAATTATCACATGAAAAGAGAAAAAAGAGAAATGAGAAAAAAATTAATGAATGTTCAGGGAGAAAGAAGAGAAAAAAAGAGAAAAGAGCTAAAAGATAAAAGGTAAACATCTTTGAGCATTTAAACAAGGGCGAGGCACACATTGAGTCAAGGATACTCAATGGAAAAAAGTATATTTGTGGACTGGAGAAAAAAGTGAATACCCCTCTGCGCAATGGAACAACTCTTCGAATAAAATTACATAATTTTCTTCCTCTGCGCTTAGGGGTAGAAAATATTTTCTCGATTTCACAAATTTGCTTTTTTTCGTTTCGATTTTTTTTCTTATTATTATTCTGGGTTCTCTTATCGTTTTGTTTAAAGGGTAGAAGCACAAGTTTGCACTCTAAGCTTTATGAGTACCTTAGCTGAAGCGTCACAGGCTCCAGAGACAAATGTACGATTATCAGGAGATAATGAAAGGGACATGACATCTCCTGTGTGTCCAGTAAAGGATGTACACTGTTGGCCAGTCTCAATATCCCAAAGAGCACTAATGATGAGGGAGGTAGAAGTGCGGAGAGAGAGAGAGAGAAAGAGAGAAAGATAGACAGAGAATATAAGAATTTGCCTTTGAATTACTGAAGGGATCAAGGAATGAGTTGCCTTACCAAGTCATATCTCCAGAACTAGTGACGATTTGGTTATCGTCTAAAAATCGACAGCAAGATAAATAACCAGTGTGGCCTGGTAGTTCACGACTAACTCGAACATTTCCTTCCCTTGTTTTTAAACTGTAGATCGAGCATATATTATCTAGACCTCCACAGGCAACATAAGAACCTGATGGGGCATAGGCACAAGTCATGACCCAGCTAGACCTCAATGGAATGGCATGGACTTTATTTGTGGTGTATGCGTCCCAAACTATTAATTTACCATCCTGAGAGGCTGATACAAGGTATCTGTTTCATATTGATCCAAATTGACAGACCAAGATTGATGAAGAAAAGATGTTTACATGAATGCAGTTTAAATGTAATCAACCAAATTTAGGTTTTCTTTTTCACTGGTGATGGTGGGGGTAAGAAAATTGCAAAAGGTTATTTGCTCATTAACCGATCAACTTACCTAGAATCAGATCCCCAATGCATGGCGTAAATTTTAGCTAAATGCCCACGAAGTGTTCTTCTAGTCCGCATTTGGATGCGGCCAACAGGTTCCATACTACTTGTAGCTTGGACAAGAGTAGTATCGCAAGCGGCTTTCCTAGCATCCTATGGAAGGCAAATAGTAAACCAATTATGTATTAAAACCAAATTATAAATAAAATAGAGGATAAAACATAGAGAAAAAGAAAGGGAGAGAGAAAGAGAAAGAGAGAGAGAAAGGAAGAGAGAAAGAGGAAAGAGAGAGGATAGAGAAAGAGAGAGAGAGAGAGAAAGAGAAAGTTCTATGATAGAGAACAAAAAGAAAAAAAGGTAATAAAAAAAATAATGAAATAAATACTTATTCTTACCCTGATTGTATTCTTCAAGGTTTCTGCTTCTTGTCTCAAATTATCCAATTCATTCATTTTGCGAATTTAATTGATGAAAAAAAAATGGTAGGATGAAGGTGATGGTGATAATGAGATGATGAGAGGAGAGAAGAGGAGAAAGAGAAACTAAGAGAGAAAGAGAGAAAGAGAGAGAGAGAGAGAAAAAGAGAAAAGCGAATATGAGTGTTTTTGTGTTTGTATATAATGTGAACGGTGAAATAAAAATGGTGGTAACGGTAAGAATGAAAGATAGAGAGAGAGAGAGTTTAAAGATACACAGAGACAGAGAGAGTGTGGTGATGGTGGTGGTGAACAGAGTAGAGAGAGAAAATAGGCAGATGATAAGAGAGAGAATAAGCGCTGTCAGAAAGAGTAAAAGCAGCAGCTTTGATTCTTACGCTGATCAGGACAGAGGATTAATGTTCATCATTCTATGTGATTTCCTATGCGTTACGCATAAAGAACAACCTGCTTGGCAGATACCAAATTTCGGCGCCACATTTGTATCTTTTCACACAGTTTCTTTTTCTCTCTTTTAATTGTCTCCGTTTGGAGAATAGAATTTTAATTTATTCTTTTCTCCATCAACGAGTAACATTCAAAGTCTCATCTTAGCTTCTAGGGTTTTCCCTCAGGTTCTGGTGAAGGGTTAGGGTCCTTTTCGTTTTTGTCTTTGTTTTGGTTTCTGTCGGTTTTCGGGTTTAGTTTGTTTTGTTGTTGTTGTTGGTTTTGTTTTTCTTGTTTTTCTTGTTGAGTATGTGACAATTTTTGACACTTTCACTTGATGTTTCATGTCCTGTGGGTTTTATTAGTTGTCATCTGTTTTACATCCGATGTTTAGTTTATGGTCAACTTTTTGTGTTACTTTTGTTTGAAATTGTTTCATTTTTAACTTGTGTTTGGTTATTTCAAATTTGTGTTTTTCTTTCTCATGGATTAACTGGATTAACTTTCTTTTGTTAATTAACAAGTGACAATTGAAGAGAACTCACCTTATTAAAGATTTAATTGATTTCATATCGATCCAAAAGTAAACAAATCGGATTCTCCAAAAACAAACAAAGAATCATATGTTTTAATCACGTGATTAGAAAACAACTTAGCTCATTTTTAATTGTTACCTGAAATTAAAAAATCGTCTCTTTAATTGTTCACATTTTTTAATAACTTTCAAGTAAGTAATTAGTTGAAACCATTGATCTATTAATAAGTGAAATCAAATCGCGTGAGAAATAAAACCCAATTACTATTGTTTTCTAATCTTTTTTTGATAACAATTTTATTGTTGCGGTAATTTGATCTAATTAGAAAATTAATCATTTGACCAATGATATAGTTATCGATTAACACCCAACCCAATATAAAACCAAGAGACAATTAATCAGTATCAATTAATTGACATTGAGATCTTACAAGTAACCACGACTCAAGGAGATATAACATTAAATTCAGTGATTTTCAAGTGATCAGTTAATTGTGAAAATGGTGACAAATTTTGTTAATTGTTTTCTGATTTTAAATCTTCTCAATGGATTTGTAAATGGTAATTTTGAACAAGAACGAGTTTTGAGTCAACAACCCGAACAAGTTCATCTTTCACTTGGAAGTGAGTATTGTTTTCTTCAGCAATTAAGAATCTTCTCAGACAATTAACTGATCAATCATCTTCCATTCTCAGGTAATCCAAGTGAAATGATCGTTACATGGACAACTTTTGATTCCATTGGAAAACCAGTAGTTGAATATGGAACCAAGAAACTTGATCTACTTTCAACAGGATCTTCAAGTAAATTTGTCGACGGCGGATCTGAACGGAGGTCAATGTTAATTCATCGGGTACTCCTCACGAATCTAGTACCTGGACAAACTTATAGTAAGATGATTATTCTTGAAAATTGTTTATTCTGATTGTCTAATTGTGTCCATTTAGTGTATCATGTTGGAAGTGAATTCGGTTGGAGTCCTATTTTTTGGTTCGCTGCGGTGAAAAATGGTTCCGATTGGAGTCCAAGGTTAGCGGTTTTCGGTGACCTTGGTAACGAAAATGCTAAAACTTTACCGCGATTACAAGAAGACGCTCAAAGTGGAGCTTTTGATGCTATTCTTCATGTTGGTGCGTTCAAATAGATTCTTAACTCGTTACACAATTAACTAATTCATTATTTTGATCTTCCTTCATCAACAGGTGACTTTGCCTACAATCTAGACACTGTAAGTATTTAGCTTGACCCATTTGATTATCTTTTTAGTTGCTTGATCGTTTTCGTTAATCAGGATAATGCTCGTGTAGGTGATCAATTCATGCGACAAATTGAACCGATAGCCGCTTACGTCCCATATATGACTGCCGTTGGAAATCACGAACAAGCTTAGTAAGTGTTGTAATTTTATTCCAAAGTTTTTTTAATTTCTATTATTAATTGATCTTTTTATTATCTTATTCTCAGTAACTTTTCAAATTACGTTAATCGTTTCTCAATGATGGACAGTAAAAGTGGACAAATCAACAATCTCTTTTACAGTTATGATATTGGTCCAGCTCATTTTATCACTTTTTCCACTGAATTTTATTTCTTCACTAATTATGGTCAAAGTCAATTGTTCACTCAATACGAATGGCTTGAAAAAGATTTAATTGAAGCCACTAAGCCAGAGAACCGCGCACAAAGACCTTGGATAATTACCCTTGGACATCGAGCCATGTACTGTAACTTACACTTCGAAAATTACACCGAATGTTTAAATCGAGATACAAACGTAATTTATTATCCCTCTTCATAAATAATAGTTGATTTTAATTCTATTTCAATTGTTCTCTCTGATTAGTTCCGAAAAGGCGACAGCAACTTCCCTGGACTTGAGGATCTCTTTTACAAATACGGTGTTGATTTAGAGATTTGGGCTCACGAACATCTTTACGAACGATTATGGCCAATCTACGATCAAAAGGTTTACAATGGAAGTACTTCCGAGCCTTATACCAACCCAGGGGCACCCGTTCATGTCACTACAGGATCAGCTGTAAGTCTTAATTGGTCAACTTGAATCGAGATTAAACTAATCAAGATTAATCCATTTTCTTACAGGGATGTTACGAAGGGATCGAATACAATGTATTAGAACAAGCTGATTGGAGTGCACTTCGTATCTACGATTATGGTTTCTCAATTATAACAATCAACAACTCGACTCATTTGACATTCGAACAATTATCTGCTGAAAAGGTTCAATTTCTTTAATTTTCTCATATACATTCTCTTTTTAATTAATCACTAATCTTCCATTCAATTACTATTTCCACAGAATCACAAAGTCGTCGATAGATTTACAATAATTAAGGACAATCATGGACCATATCCAACTCGAAACACCACTAAATCCTCAAATTAAATTTGAATCGACAATTAGTTTGAAAAGTTAATTAATGATTCAGATTCTTAATTTACTTCATTAATTATCAGCCAATTACAAAAGGCAACTAATTACAGTAAAATAAAAGGTATATAATAAACTATGAATTACTGGTTATAATTGTTTCCATTGATTTGATTTGCTCATAAATGAGTTTCTCTAATTAGTCAATTGTCTCAATGAACAAAGTAAAAATCTTATCAGTTTAATTGTTCATCAATCACAACATAATCAATTTGTGTTTATTTGTTGGTTCGTTATTGGGTTGATGATGGAAAATTCAAATGATTAGGTGATAACTTTTTTTCTAATCAATAGAAAACATAAATTGAATCAATCATATTCTGTCCTGAAAGACTTGAAGACCCAACGAGTTGAGATTATGAATTGAACGAAACTCTATCGATAAATTAATATAACAATCGACAAACAGATTAACGATTATCTTTATGATTAACTAATTAGAAACAGTAATTTGGCTGCGAATCGTTTCTAATCAAATGATTGGCAACAATTAACTTTACCCAGTCAATTGTTTCCAATCTAATTGTTTATTGGAAAATTCATCCTTCAATGGTAATAAACTTCAATAGATTATCAAAAAAAAAGAAATGATTTTCAATAACAATTATGATTAATTTCAACCCATTAATTGGTTATAAAACTATCAATAAACGTCAATTAATCGGTAATCAAGTTACCTAATAATTTACTTTTTGGTTAAATTGTGGTAAACTAATCTAGTTTATTGTTTTCTGTTGATTGTGATAATTTAATTGTTGTTATTAAAATCATCTTCATCAAGAAGAATACATTTACCTTGATCATCATTTGGTTTGATTTTCCATTGAGATCGTTTGAATAATGATGCAAAGAAAACACTAATTGGATATAATTGGATGCAAGCAATTAAGATCATGATGGTTCCAGGGGCAGAGTCAATGGTCAGACTAAACACCGAAGTGTATAAAAGGGTAAACCCAAGGGTACCATAGCTTTCGAGGGCAATGGACAACGTGAATACTTGAGCCGTTTCAGTTGGATCAACAATCGTGGTCACAAGTGACCTAACGGCTGAGGCTGGTAGACGATTGAAGGAACCGGTTAAAAAGCCAATAATGTAACCGGGAACAATCAAGATGATGCCACGAATAAGGAAAAATGATAACATCGAAAGCGATCCAATAATACCAATGATCGAATCAGAGAGACCTAATAATGATCTGAAAAACGAAGGTGCTAATGAGGTCATAAATGAAGGTACTAAAGTGACCAGGGAAAATATTGAAGTGTATTGATCTTCCGTTAGTCCATAGACACGCTGAGCAAATTGGTAGGCGATTCCGTCTTCACCCAAAATTGATGAGACACTAATCGCTCCTGAAGTGAGTAACAGGATTAACCATAATCTCCCATGATTGGGTCGTTTTTTCATGAAAATATTCACAAATTGCTTCAATCTTGATAATAAGAAAACGTCTTTAATCACATCAATGAAATTTGTAGATTTTTTCTCATCCTCAGTTTCCGGAATATGATCAAGTTTCACCGTAGATGCATAGATCAAACCGATAATCTGACTAATTAATCCTAAGATGAAAACACCAATGTAGTTTTTGGGCTGACCCTTGATCCAAGGATTACTGTCAAGGATAAAGCCTCCTGCATAAGTGCCACTTGAAAGAGCTATAAAAGACGACGAAATAATTAATCCAATGGATTAACATTAAACAGTTGAACTCACAAATTTGAACAAGAAACTCAATAATTGCAAATCTAATGATTACTAAATTGCTTGGAGTTGACCAGGAAACGTAAGTATAAGCAGCGCTGTAAACCATTCCCACTCCTCCGGTCAAAGCTAACGGTACATAAGACAATAAAATGTACCAATAATCTGAAAGAATCTACAATTAGTCAACTGTTAATTATTACTATTATTATGAAATAGTTGTACTCACGAATTGTGTAAAAATATGAATTAATCAACAAGATAATCATCGTACAACAAGCAGACCCTAAGGGCAAGGTGATCATCAGTCTAATATAATTTGGATAATTACCCAACCAATAACCAAGAAAAACTGATAAAATCAACGCTGGTCCATTAAGAATAACGAATTGATAATTTTTGAATAGATTTGCAGTTCTTAAAATTAATTTAGTTGAACTTTCATTGTAATGAGATTTGGTTAAAGCTGAACAATAATCATGATCACGATTAAGTTGATTAAGACACATTTTATCCTCCATTAGTTGGGTCACTGTTACTCCTTGGATCACATAACCAAAGGTAAATAACATGATAATCAAATCAATTTTCATCAATTTGATAAAATCAACGATTGAAACACGACCCATGGTTAATTAATATCCAAGAATAATATAAGAAAATCAATTGATCGTTGATTCAAATTAATCAAACAAAAAGAACGTCACATTTGATTAATTTAAGAACAATTTTCATCGGGTCGAAGTAAAAAAAAACTTTCATGAGAACAAGTAAATCAGATGAATTGAATTCTCCTAATTCTTACTAATGGAAGTTTCCGTTTCTTCAGAATTAATTGTGAATATGATCAATATTGATCATTTGAATTTCTACCAACCTTTAGTATCTAATCACTGAACTCCCTATGGATTAATTCATCGAGGGCGTCAGATTTTGTTCTGAAAAAACACATGATTTATTCAAGAGATTTTTCAATTCTCATGTGAAAGATTAAAATAGTTAATTGTACAATTTACAATCGACAAATCGAAAATAGTTTTCAGCATTTTCAATCAAAGTGAACACTCGATGCCGATCATTGTAATCGGTTTACTGGATTAACAAATATTAATAGTAATAACTAATAGATTAAAATTCAAATGAAAAATTAATCCTTTACTCCCTTAAATACATAGAGGAAGATAAACAAATGAAGTATTTTTTTAGTTAATTAACTCATATTGCAAATTTTCTTCTTCATTTAATTGGTCAAGTTTGTCCTTTTTCATAATTTACGATTCTCTGACTTGCAAATCGCCATTCAGAGTGTTCGGGATTAAAGAGCCCATCAAAAGGACCTTGAGAATTGACCAGCACGTGTTATTCAGATTGCATAAAAGTAAATTTCTCAACCAAGTAGTTTCGTTAAAATCCCGATTCGAAATTGTCTCAAATGATTATCCCACCTCTGTATTTGATTGATATTTAAACACAAAGATTATCAACAGAAGATTATCATCACTGCTTGATTAATTTCTGTTAATTGTTTAAAATTATAAACAATTGAACTTTCTACCTGTGATTGCTGATTGCTGATCAACAAGCGCTAAATAAAAGTTGATTTTCAGAATTTAAAAAATAACCAAAAGTTTTTGTCTCTACTATTTTTATTAATGATTGGTTAATTTTTCAATCTAATAAATCACCATTAGTTAATCAAATGTATTGGCAGTACAATCATCGATTATTGATTAAAATGTAACATGTTTTAATCCTAACAATCAACCTCACCCTTTAATCTAATCTAGATTAGAAAAGTTAATTTTTTCCTTCATTCCTTGTACATGTAAATTGTGATTGTTTGATTAACTTTTTTTTACAATAAAAAGATCATAATTTCCACCAATTATCAAATTATTAGCTCGAGAAGAGTCAAAGTATCAGGATGAATTGTTACATTGTTACGTGTTTATTGTTTCTCTCAATTGTTAACACAATTGGCAATGTTCATGGTGGACTGTTCAAATCTCGAGTTCGAACTCAACCTGAACAAATTCATTTGTCACTAGGAAGTAAGTAATTGGTTTCATAATTGGAATATTAATTTTCTCAAAACTTTTAATTTCTCATCTCAGGTAATCCAAGTGAAATGACGGTTACATGGACAACTTTTGATAGAACTGACCAGTCGATTGTTGGTTATGGAAAGAGAAAAATTGAAGAATCGGTTAGTGGATATTCGAGTAAATTCACCGATGGAGGGTTCGAAAGACGATCAATGTACATTCACCGAGCTACGATGACAAACTTAGAACCAGGAGAAACCTATGGTTGGTTTTTGTACTTTTTCTTTTAATATCTTTCATTTCTGACAATTGATCATCTCTTTTAATTTAACTGGTCAATTAGTTTATCGAGTTGGTAGTGATCTTGGTTGGTCTCCAATTTTCTGGTTCAAAGCGATTAAAAATGGTTCCGATTGGAGTCCAAGGTTAGCGGTTTATGGTGACCTGGGTAATGATAACTCTAAATCTTTGCCTCGATTACAAGAAGATGCTCAAAGTGGACGATTTGATGCAATTCATCATAACGGTGAGTTGATAAATTGTGATTATCTAATTAGTTTCTAATAATCATCATGATCTCTCATCTTATCAGGTGATTTTGCTTACGACTTGCATTCGGTAAATCTGACATTTGACTCGTAATTAAACGAATTGTGATTGATCGTTTTCTATTTTTTCAGGATAATGCTCGAATCGGTGATGAATTCATGAGACAAATTGAACCAATCGCTGCTTATGTACCCTATCAAACTTCAGTTGGGAATCACGAACAAGCTTAGTAAGTGTTAATAAATTGATTATTTCGATGGACCAACTGAATTGTTTTCGTTTTTTTCTTCTTTTTAGTAACTTTTCAAATTATGTTAACCGTTTCTCAATGGTGGACACTCAAAGTGGACAGATAAACAATCACTTCTACAGTTACAATCTTGGTCCAGCTCACATAATCAGTTTCTCGACAGAATTTTATTTCTTCATTCAATATGGATTGGGTCAAATGTTCACACAATTCGAATGGTTAGAAGCGGATCTAATTGAGGCCAATAAGCCAGAAAACCGTGAACAAAGACCTTGGATAATTACTTTAGGCCACAGACCGATGTATTGTAATACAGATGGTTTATTGTCAATTTTAGATGATTGTAGACAGCGAGAATCGGTGGTAAGTTGATTGTTGATCATTGATCGTAATTCTATTAGTAACAATTGTTATTCTTCAATTAGGTTCGTAAAGGTCTTCCTATTTTCCATCTTCTCGGACTTGAGGATCTCTTTTACAAATATGGTGTCGATTTAGAGATTTGGGCTCACGAACATCTTTACGAACGATTATGGCCAATCTACGATCAAAAGGTTTACAACGGAAGTACTTCCGAGCCTTATACCAACCCAGGGGCACCCGTTCATGTCACCACAGGATCAGCGGTAAATAGATCTGTTTATTTTCGTTTGACGATTCAAGTTAATTGTTCTGAGTTTACAGGGCTGTCCTGAAGGCATCGATCCATTTGTTTCCCATCCAGCTGATTGGAGTGCCGTTCGAATCTCTGATTATGGCTTCTCAGTGATGACCATTCACAATAAGACTCATCTAACATATCAACAATTATCTGCTGACAAGGTTAGTTTAATTGTTACAAGTATTTTTGTTTTCGACAATTAACTAATCAAACTTATTCTTCAATAGAATCATTCAATTGTTGACCAATTTACAATAGTCAAGGATAAACATGGGCCTTACAGGCATGTGATCAACTAAATTGTTAATGATTATGTTTCATGTGAAACTTAATTTTACCTTTTATTGGACAATTAAATTAGTTTAATTATCAATTTAATTTTGTTTTTAATTTCTCTAAAGAGAAAATAATTTTATTTCTTCTAACGATAACAATGTATGAAAGAGTAACATTTTTCCAGCTTGGGCAGACTTAATTGTGATTGTTTTTGGTTGATTGTCAATGGGTAAGCAGAAAATTAAGTTAATTTGAAACCAATGGAAAAAAAAGACACTTGGAAAGCAAGAAGAAAACACAGATTTATGAATTATATCATTTAATCATCGACGGCATGAAGATTTTCAATTTGATTTCATTTGAATGATCCAATGATTAACCAGGGATAATTTGTCTCGATGCTCCATAAGGAGTCATTTTGGCCTGAGATGCTCCGCTATTTGATCCCGATTGCAGGCCAATCATGGCTCGGCCTTTTTTCAATGTTTCTTCATCAAATTCACGTTTGTTTTCATCAGAAGTTTTGATTCCAATCACTGGTCCTTGATAACCCTTTTTCTGAGCCTAAAGAGATGAATAAATCGTTAATTCAGTTTTTAATTATAAATTAATAGCTAAGAAACGATTGACTAGGTAACAATTAAGTTAATCATATTCACTGTCAACTTTGAGTGGAAATAAATTTAACTGATTAGTTTGATTGACGTTTCATGGAGCAAGTATTGTATTACTATAAGAAATGGATTAAATTATATAAATTGTAAAACTAAACATCAAATTGTTCACTATGTTAACTCCAGTTGAATAATTGTTGAACTTTATTCTTGATTGTTGTTGTGATTATATCAATAATTGTTAACACTCCCTTGTCAACATAATAATAACCATTGGGAAAAACCAAACAAAGGTTGATATTATGTAAAACTAATCAGACTTAATCATGGTTTGTATCATATATTTTTTGAATGATGTAACCAATCAAAATTTAATATTCGATTACAATGATTAAGTTTAACCATGTAACCTGTTTCTATTACCAGAATTTATGCACCTCGGATAAATTTACTCACAAGTAAATGGCTGATTTAGTTGTTTCAGATATTACAATTAAATTATTGGACAATTTATTTCTATTAATAGTTCAACTATCGGGCCTCAAACATTAATCAAAATTTTAATGCAATGAAACTAATTGTTACCAAACAAAAGTATTTCAAGGAAAACAGGATAAGTCTAATTTATTTAATCAATCTTATTAATTGTGGTTTTACTTACCAGGCCTCCAAGTGAATGTAAACAATTAACAACCTAATTAAAAATAAGAAAATTAATTTATATTAATAATTATTAATAAAAACAATATTTACATCGTCAAGATGAAATTCATTATAATTAACTAGCTATTTATGGTAAAAAAAAGTCTTGATTGTTGTTAATTTAGTTCAAAGCTGTTAATTCAATGCTAATTGAAACAACAACCTGTTACTAGTTAATAACCAAATTAGTTAATTGATCAACAAAGACATTTAGATGGTTACGATTGATTTGTTGATTATGATTTAATGCTAAATTGAGAAGAGGAAAAGTGATTACGTTTTTCTATCTTTCTTTCAAAATCATAATCTTTCTTTATAATACATGTATAATGTTACTTGATTGTTGGTTAATTGCGATGATTAACTGTCAACTTACCATATAAAGGTTTTTACGTTCATACAAATCATTTACTTGAAAGAGATCATGATTTCGTAGACCATAAGCTTCACATGCTTTAAGGAAAAGCTCAATGTTTTCCCTCTGATGGAAAGAAAATGGTGAAAATTTTAATTGTTAGTGTTAATGTAAACAATGAGTTAATTGTGATAAGGGAGAAACAACAATCAAGTGAAAATTAATTATTGAAAAACAAACGAGAAATAAATAAATTCATTTCGATTCATTTATCTATCGTCGTTCTTGATGTTGTCTATTTAGTAGTTTGATTGTTCAACTTTTTTTCTGCTTAATCATTACAATTTATCAACTTCAAGGTATTAACAATCAAAATAGAGCCTTCATATCAATTTGTTTATCTAGTAGAATCAGTAAATTGTTAATGTTCAAAATTAAAGGTAGGGTTAAAATTTTATGGTTAGTGGCTGATTTTTCAAAGGTTAGGCACTGATTGTCATTTGGATGAAGTCAAATAACAATTTACTTTGTATCATCATGATTTAGGATGATTACAATGTTGATTAATCAAATGTATTTAGTATCAATGGGTTGGAAAATCCTTGAAAATTGCCTTTTAAATTATGTACTCTCAAGGTTTTCTCAGGCCACTTTGAGATCGCCTTTATCGTTATTAAGGTGATCTCATCAATTTTTATTCAATGAGAGAAAAAAACATTGAACTGATGATAACTATTAAAATTGCTTATTCTTTAAAATCAATTTGGGAAATAACAATTAGGACTCTAGAGAGAGAGAAAGAGAGAGAGAGAGAAAGAAGGAATATTTCAAGATGAATCAATATGTTGATAATATTGAATGAAATTGAGCTTAATTTCCGGTGATTATGGGAAAAGTGATTTTCTAGCTAATTGTTTTTCTTGTACATTGTATTAATATAAAGTGGTACAATTTACCAAAGGATAATTAGGTTTCTGATCAATGTTTTCATCATTAATGATTTGAAATAATCGTAAACTTAACAAAGTAAATGATTAAAATCGTCTTTTTAATTCTCTCTCGTCATCATCATTAAAAAACATTGTTCATTATTTTTGTGCAATCTAAATGATCATTGATAAGTTTCAAGGGCGACCTAGTCTATGGAAACCTTTGTTTTTTTTTCATGATTTACTAATTACGAGGCAAAAAATACATTGGAAAGGAAACATGGTTATAAGAAGAGTTAAAACTAACTAATTAACAATTAACAGTTACAATCATAAATCATTAGCGTCAGAAACTTGTCAAGAATAGACTCTCAATCTAAATAAATGGACTGAACTTACATGTATAAAAATAAAGAGTCTATGATAATATAATTATCGTTTAAATTTGATTTCAAACGATAATCATGAATTTCTGTTAACAATTGTGATGATAAATGGCGAAAAGAACATGATACAAAGTCGAAACAAAGTCAATCTCTCATAATTAAACTGTAATCTGAGTGAGTAATTAGGAAAAATTATAAATATAAATTGTGTGTTAATTGAAGAGATAAAATCCATAAATATTAACAGTGAATGAAACTTTTTGTATAATAATGGGATTGGATAGAGGGAGAGAGAAAGTGTTACAATAATCTTAATTGAACACAATTGATTGTGGTGAACACAATCAGTGGATCGAAAATTGTCCCCATTAAGAGAAAGAGAAAAAAAGTCATTTGATGAAGTGTTGAGATTAATTAATCAACCAGTAATCATCAAATTAAGAGAAAGAAAAATAAACAAGACAAATTGTCAAGTTAATCATTACTCTAAATGTTTTTGATTAACTTTGTCAATAAAAGTAAATATCTGACAGGTTGATTGGTGTGTTTCTCCCTTATGGTTATCAAATATGGTAAATATTACAGATGATGATCAAGGTTGTGGTGGGAGAGATGAGGATAAGGTGACACTCACCTCTTTAAATGGAGTTTTCATCTTATTAACCTTTCCTATTGAACCGGGAGCCAAACCATTGATTAAACTATAAGATGACAATTAAGGAAAGGGAAACAAAAAGACAAACATAAGTAATTAGATCATATGATGACACTTGGAAAATTGAGGTGAATATTGAATGAAAAAAAGGGGATGACAAGTAATTTTATCCACATGATTTCATCAGAAATGTATTTTGAAAAGAAATCAAACCAAAGGTAATCACAATTTATCAATAGACTTACTTGCACAAAGCTATACCGTCCTTGAGAGCCTCAGCAAATTCAAATTGATCCTTAATTCCTGTTGAGTTATCATTGTTATTATTGTCATCATTGTTGTTTAAATTAAATGACGTATTTGTTACAGCTTGAACCCAATTAAGAGCCTGATTAGCCAATTCAATATCAAATTTTGCTTGGGACTAGAAAGAAAAAGAAAAAGAAAATTGAAAAGAGAAAAGAAAAAAAAAATGTAAATAGAATAGAATATTCAATGGAAATGGAAAAAAAATGTTCCATCCAAGTGACAATGTTCCACATAAATAAATCATCTCAAAATGAGAATGAGAAGAAAATTAGCCATGAAAACACTTGAACAATTAGAAGAATATGTAGATGACACAATTAAATAATTGAAAGAAAAATAGAATCACAATTAACCAAACAATTAGGATGGAAAGAGAAATCAACAAACCTTAAGTAAAAGCTCACGACTCAGTCCATAAGCAGGTCCTTGGAAGGCCATCTTGTTGTCTCCTCAATGGATTAAACAATTAATAGATTCAATTAACAATTAACAAGCTGAAGATGAACAGAAAACAATTAAAGAGAATCAACAAGAATCACAAAGAATTGAAATTTTGACTAATGTCAATTACGATTAACAATCAAGTAACTTTAATCTGCTTATCAAAATGAGTTTTATACTTTTCCATTTAATGGAACCGCCTCTTTCCCTCCAGTTCCTTTCGGTGAAATATTCTCTCTCTTTTCTTCTCTGTCTATTTTAACTCTTCCCTCTCTTTGTTTTGGTCGTTTGATTTTCACACGATTGTTTTTATTTCTAATTGTTGATATTTGTTGGTGTTAATTGTTTCACGATTTTTGTGCCATTTTCAAGTGATTTCATTGATTCTCACATATTTTTAAATAAATTCTGATCTAATCCCATGTTCATGATGAATAATTGAGGGGAAAAGAATAGAGAAACAAAGAGAAAGAAGATTCCAATGGATTGAAATACTCTCAAGGTAGATTATGGATTATGTGTTAATCTTTGCTAAGGTAAGTGTTTGTTGTTTTATTGTTTCTCTCACCCATTGACTTCTGTAAATAACATAGGTTATTAATAATTATGTTGCTATTAATTAGTAATTAACTTTTAATCTTTGATTATTTTTATGTGTGTGAGAAAATATTAAAAGAGAATAGAATAAAAAAAATTTTCTATTCTCTTTGGTATCAAGATGACTTGTTCTCCATTTTGGATTATTGTTATTCTAATTTTCTTTCGTAAGTTTAGTGACTAATCTTAATACTTTTCCAACTTCAATCATCTTAAGATTTGATTGAACAATTAAGATGTTCTGATTTCTGAGTGATTAAAAAATTTTCCATGATCAGTTAGATTTAATGATTAAATTTTAATCAAATTGATTTCATTCATTTGAGGTAATTGTTGTTTGCTTCTTGCTCATTCAATTTCTGAAGATTGATTAATTAAATTGTTCGGCAATCATCTTTCACTGTTATTATTTGTATTATTTAATTAATACAAATTTAATTGGATTAACAAAAATTTTCCTTAAAATTTTCAATCTACAATAACAATCAATCAACAGAATAGTTTTGTTTATATTTTTAAATCAAATGATAAACAGAAATTGTTTCAATCAACATGATTGTTAATTGTTATTCCTATACGAATCTTAGAATGAAAAATCATTAAGACAATTAGATTAATTGTCAATCCTCACAGTTGTAGGTGTTAACATGTTGATCATTTTAATCAATTTTTCTTTCCAATCTTAACTTTACGTAATTAACTTGATTTCCTTAGTTAATCATCTTCCTCTTCTCTAGGGAAATCCAGTTAAATAATTTCTAAATACTTTTGATTAACATGTTAAGTTATTTCTCTCAGACGTCATTTACTCTCTCATCTAAGATAAGATTCTCTGAATTGTTAATCAACAATCGTTGAATCGACGACGTTGATTCACAATTAATCGTAATTAGTTGTAATCACTCTCAATAGATGGAGTTTAATGTACTTGAGTTTTATTTCTTCAACTAAATGTAACACTTTTTATCCAATCAAAATCAGTAGAATATTTTCCTTGGACTCTGATTGGCTGAAAAAGAGCAGAAAATAGTTTGTTTATCATTTTCCAAGAAATTTTTTCTCTTCAATGAAACAGAAACTCAAATTCGTAGTAGTACTAATTAGATTCGATTAACGGTAATTACTGTTTCAAGTTTTTTTTTAATTTTCGACTGGGTAAATCCAATTCATTATAAATTTACTGTCCCAATCGATTAACTGTGTTGTCACAATTAAGTGGAAAGTTTCAAATCTTGTTCATCTTGTGTTTTTCTGTAAGTAGAAATTTTTATATCTCTTTGTCTTTTCTTTGTTCCTCTCTACTTTCTCTCTCAATTAATCAATGTGGTTATTAACCTTAAGAGTTTCTTTTGTTTACATTTGGGTCAATCTTAGTCTTGTTTGGATTCATAATTAGTAATCGTTTTCTCAGATTTTCTTCTTTGAACATTTTCTCTCAAAATTTGTTGAAAATTTTCCATTTCAATTAATATTTTGTTACTTCACTAACCATTAATCATTTATTGTTATTTTGGTCTTTTTTCCTTGTTCTTAGTGACCAAGTCTCTGTAACCAGTTTCCATTTAACTTGTTCTGCCATTCAGAATGGGCAAAGATAAAAAACCTCCAGAGTATGCAGACGATTCATCTGATCGTCCACCGCCATATAATCCATATTACGACCAGGCCGGTGGGGCCAGCGGAGTTGCACCACCACCACCGCCAACAGGATTTAATCCACCTCCTTCTCATCTTAATCAACCTCCACCAGCATATCAACCTGGTCCTGATTTTATTAAAGCTCAAGGTCCACCAATTCCACAACAACCTGATCGATTATTATCTCAACAATCTGGTATTCCGACACATGCCCGACCCGCCACAGGTAAATATATCAATCGTTTTCAATTACATTTATTTACTTTTAACTTTCGGTGTATCCGATTTCATTTCTGTCTATTCCTTTAACCAATTATTGATTATCCATCAAGTGTTACATTTCAGTTAACATAATCTTCATGATCAATGAAGTTACTACTACAATTGTGTATTTTTGGTTTATAATAGTTTCGTCGATCCATCATTTTTACCTACAACTTAATTCTGATCTCTCAATACACATTTTATGCGTCATCATAATTGATTTTTATTACTCTGTTGATTAGTTTATTCATTTATTAACCTTTTCCAACTCCCCCTTCTGAAAACGATGATTATCTCTCTTACAAAACAACTAAATACTATCAGATATACAATTCTATAATTACTGTTTAATTGTTTAATCATATCGTTTTGTGAGTCACAATAAACAATAATAAGATAACTTTTGTAATTGAAACCCTGTACATTTTTGATTTCTATCGACTCTTCCAATACCATCTAATCACTACATTCTTAATTAGTAATTTTAAAAGTAATTGAGCTGTTTAGTTAATGCTCATGCTAATTACTTTTTACGATACAAAAGTTCAAGGTTTTTCGTTTCTGATTTTATTGTGATTGTATTAATTTTTCTTATTTTTTTCTCGTTAGCAACAACAGTGACCAATGTTCAAATCCACATCAGTGACGAATTTGGACCCTACGCTCAACATGCCGTTTGTCCAAAATGTCGGGAATATGTCGTAACCAAGACTAAATCTGTCACTGGAGCATTAACTTGGCTTTCTTGTATTGGCCTTTTTATGCTTGGTTGTGATTTTGGCTGTTGTCTAGTTCCATGTTGTGTTGATTCGTGTCGAGATGTTCAGCACAAATGTCCAAACTGTGGATGTCGTATTGGAAAATACAAGAGACTCTGTTAACCGTTACAACTATTGATATTCATAAGTTTCGAAGCAAAGATTTATAAACAAACAACTAAAGCTTCGAAGATATCAATGCTAAAACTGAGCTGTTATATTAACCATTTTTCAGTAAACAAAAAATCTTAGGCTAAAGACAAATGTACATGGATATGTGATATCTCGGCCTGATAAGTCATCATCTCAAAACAACATCATTTACATTGACTTGGAATTCCTGGAAATTTTCATCGTCCACAATTTCATCATCTCAAATTCAACTATACCCTGAAGGCATCACTATTATGCTCATTATTTACTTTTCTCTCTCTCCCATTTCTTTAGAATTTTTCTCCTGAATACTTCAACTGTCTCAAGGTTATGATAATAATTATTTGCTATTTGCTATGGAGACCTGGTAACTCTATCATTTTGTTTAACGCAGTTCTGCTATTAAGAGTCGCTTCCATGATTGAATAACCAATTTCAACCTTTTTCCTTTCTAAGAAAATGAAAACCAAGTGGAAGTGAAATTTTTGCCTGCCTCCCCGTTGAATGTTTACCCTTGATTATTCCAAGTATTCGATTCATTCAACCAATCACGGATACGCATTTGAGTACTGTTTTCACCTGAAGGAGATCGACCTTTCAATTTCCACGTTCAGGAAACTTACTTCTTACCGAAAAGACATTATAAATTGTTACTAATTAATCTTGCTTTAAAATGAATGGTTTAGAGAGAAATACATCTAGTCTGATGTGAATGAATTTTTGTATTGTTGAGCATCTTAGTGCCAATCGATGATTCTAATCATCAATTTTATTTTAAAAGTGACCATTTATTGAAATGTAAATAAAGTCTTGAATGACAAAAATTACTTTTAATCGATATTCGGCCATCTTGTTAAACACCAACCCATCATTGAAATTTAAATGATTGATTGACTGATCCACGGATATTTTCTTGGTCAAATGTGACCTTAAAAACAGCACCAGCATCCGGTTCACCGAGGAGTTGATCAGCTGAAGCCCCATGAGTAGCTGATGTCACAAAAAGTGTCCTGAAATCATTTCCTCCCCATGTAGCCGATGTGGTCTTACTTGAAGGAGTCTCAACGATACCAAGAACTTTTCCTGGTTATAAAGATGAAAGTTATAATTATCTACAATTTAATCAACCAACGATTACCTGTTTCTGGATCAAATCGAGTCACTTTTTTGCCATTAAATGAAGCGACCCAAAGTTTATCATGTAAATCAATCGTCATACCATCGGGAACTTCATTGTCAACGAAACTAGACAATAGTTTGTAGTCAACACAAACTTTACGATTACCTATGAGAAAGATTAATTAACAATAGCGATCAAAAAATGATACGAAATTAACTCACTTATGTCTCCCGTTTGAAGATCATAATCATAAGCCCAAACTTGACGTTCAACTGAGTCAATGTAATAAAAGGTTCGATTATCACTTGACCAGGCCAATCCATTGGAAATCGTTACATTGTCTTGTTTCAAAGATATCTGACCATCGCAATCAAGAGTATAAAGGTTACCAAGACCACGAGCGAATTGACCTGGTTTCCGTTCCCAGTTCATTGTACCAAACCAAAGTCTACCTTTAGGGTCACATTTACCGTCATTGATTCGAGTGTCTCTTCCTGAGTCAACCGATCCAATTGGTTCTAGTTTTTTCGTTGACAAATCTAATTTAACAAGCGATTGATTTTGACTGATGATAAACTTATTTTCTTGACCTTCTATCGGCACAATCAACGAAAGTCCAGAATCAAAGTTGAAACACTCAAATGATCCCGTTTTCGTATCGAGCCAATAACATTCACCTTTAATTATATCGACATGATATAAACGATCAGTTAATTCATCATAATGTGGACCCTCACCAAGATCAAGAGTATAAGGTGAGATACGATTGAGTTTAAATCTTAAATCACTCATGTTGATAGTAACAATTAAAAGTACACAAAGTCAAAAGTTACCAGTTAAAGTTAATTGTTGGCTAAGACTTAATGTTTTCTGAGTGTGAAAACCAATCTACAATATCAGCGATAATCAGAAAACTGAAACAAGGAAAGTAAATTAATAATAAATTATTATCATGAAACGTAATCAACACAATTAAGATTCACCAATGAAATGATTGGAGGGGAAAGTCTCCAAGGGAAATAATTGATTGAACAATTTAAGGTTCAACGTTTATTGATTAATTGCTTCAATCAGTTGATTGTTCAGTTGATAAATTCAATGCATCTGGTTGTTCAATCAATCAAAAAAAAAATTAATTGTTTCAATCAATTGTTTTCAAGAAAACTTAATGATAAACGTTGTCTAATTGTTGATTTACTTTAATGAATTTGTTAGTTCACAGAGTTTATTAAATATTAAACAATTTAACTATTAAATTATCAATGATTAAATCATTGACTTTCACAATTTTCAACTGATTTGTCCTTTCAGATAACAATTTAACAAAAAGGTTATCATTGATTAATTTTAATACTGATAAACAGTTAACCTGATTAACCCCATTGATAAAATACCCGAAATAGTTAAAAGCGTATTAGTTAAAGTAAATCAATAAGATCAATTAAGTTAATTGTCCAAGATAAGATTTAACTAAATCAACAAGTTGGAATCAGAGGAAAACAAGTAAACGAACAAAAAAATTAAGAGTAATTGAAAAAGAAATAAAAACCTTTAATCACTGGATCAATTTGACCAACTAATTGTTGTATAAATGTCGAAAAAAGGTTCACTTAAATTGATTAGATAAAAATCATTCGTTAATTAATTAACTGATCAACTTTTTTTCAAGAGAAAAACATATGATCACTTGTTGCACTTTCTTTCCACTAGATGGCGTTCAAATCGACGAATTACTTTAAACTTTTTGTCTTTTTAATTCAATTTCAGTTCATGTTCATTAGTCATAGTTAATTGTTGGCTCGGTTTTGTAATTTTCTTTCATTTTTAATTTTCGACATTTTTTTTGTTTTCATCAACAACTATGGACTCTAAATTTGGTTATCCAGATCTTTCACCTTCTGCCCCATCACCACAATACCAACAATTACCTCCTCCACCACCTTATTCAAGTGCGGAAAATTATTCAGTTCAAGCTTCACCTTATCCTGGTGGTCCATCTCAATCTCAGCCACCTTCTTATCCTCCTCCACCACCCGGTATGGCCTCATCGCCAATGTTAGGTAAGTTTGTCATCTTCTTACCGAGAGCAAGAAGATTAAACCTCAGGCCTAATCTAAAAATATGTCACATTGTTGTCTTGCTGAGTTTTGTATCAAATGAGAATGAAATATATTCTTTTTTTTTAAAAGAATAGAATTTCTGTTTTTTTCCTTTTTCTTCTTTCTCTTTCTCACATATTCTTAATCTCAATGACTTGAACATCAGATTAATGATTATGGATTAAAACCTGTAACATGGTGACTAAAAGAGAATAGAATTAAAAACTGTGAGAATAGAAATTCTCTTTTTCATCCCTTTCTTTCCTTCTCGCAACACAATTAGAAACATTTTCTTTTTTGGTAGTGACTCATATGTCAGACATTTTTTACTTTCCTTTTCTTTCCTCAAATCATAAACTGGTTCCATTCTTTTCTCTCTTTTTTCACCAACACTCACCATCAGCTACCAACTAACACTCATCTTGAAAAAGAAATGAAATCTACTAAACAGTTCACCTTAAACTCTTTCAACATTAATCAACTACAATTAACCTTGTTTTTCGTTTTTGTATATTCTTTTTAATTGTTGTTACACTCTCGCAGTTGATTGTTTCTCTTTCTTTCCTTTCATTTTTTGACTGTTTACTTATTTTTCTATGACGTATATTATTTAATGTTAGTTAATCGTATTTATTATCAGTATATTGTAATTAGTCAGAATAGATTAAAACCTGTCAATTGTGATTACCCTGTAAAGTTGCAATTAACGCTTGAAATTTCTTAATTGTATAAACATTTTTTTCTGTTCCATTCAAATTAATAACCAACACAGTTAAAATGTTAATCAAGCTCATTAACTCTTATGCTGGTTGTTGATTGTTACAATTCACTTTCTCTATTTATCACTTTGTTTATTATTTTAACATTCCCAATGTTTATTATTGTTTTAAAATTAGCTTTCTCATTTAGAGGAATTAATTTGTTTTCCTCATTGGGCATTCGACGAAATCGGAAATGAAACATTCTAATTCCTGAACCAAATTGAACTTCTCCATAAGATTTATTTCCTTCAGTTTTGTATAGATTTTTCCTTTTCTGATATTTTGATTGTTTTCATCATCATCATTATTATTCACCATCATCGTGATCATGCTGAATCACATGATGAACACTTTTACTCAATTAATGTTAATCGATTGGCTGGAGATGAGATTTACTGTCTCTAAAATATCAATCAAGGTTGAATGGTTTCTCGCAATTAAATTTAATCGTGCCTCGAATCACATTACTATCATCTGAGTCTTTAATTGCTCAATATTTACCAGAATAATGTAACTCCTCTTCATGATTATCTAATTTATCTTATTGATTTATCTTTCCTTTTTTTAATAGTTACCGTTGGTCCAGCAGGTTTCGGTGCGTATCCTCAAAATATGCTCTGTCCATCATGTAATCAAACTGTCATCACCACGACTAACCACAAAGCCGGTATTTTGACCTGGTTGGCATCGGCTGGTTGTTGTCTTATCGGTTGTTTCCTTGGTTGTTGTCTTATCCCTTGTTGTACTGATTTCACTCGAGATGTTGAACATTCGTGCTCGAAATGCGGTAGAAAACTTGGTTTACATCGACGAATCTAATTAATGATTTTGGATCATGGAAGATACAAGAAAAAAACTTATCATATCGAACATAATTGAATAATTACAATCAATCGGAATGTGATTATCAAACATGCACAAAAAACAGATTGATTTTCATTATTTGTGATAAAATTAATTTTGATTGTTAAAAGATTAATTTTACCATCAAAATTTACTATGTCGTCCATCTTATTGTATTACATTAGTGTAATTAATTTTTTAACCAATTTACAATAGTCAAGGATAAACATGGACCTTACAGGCATGTGATCGACTAAATTGTTAATGATTATGTTTCTTGTGAAACTTAATTTTACCTTTTATTGGACAATTAAATTAGTTTAATTATCAATTTAATTTTGTTTTTAATTTCTCTAAAGAGAAAATAATTTTATTTCTTCTAACGATAACAATGTATGAAAGAGTAACATTTTTCCAGCTTGGGCAGACTTAATTGTGATTGTTTTTGGTTGATTGTCAATGGGTAAGCAGAAAATTAAGTTAATTTGAAACCAATGGAAAAAAAAGACACTTGGAAAGCAAGAAGAAAACACAGATTTATGAATTATATCATTTAATCATCGACGGCATGAAGATTTTCAATTTGATTTCATTTGAATGATCCAATGATTAACCAGGGATAATTTGTCTCGATGCTCCATAAGGAGTCATTTTGGCCTGAGATGCTCCGCTATTTGATCCCGATTGAAGGCCAATCATGGCTCGGCCTTTTTTCAATGTTTCTTCATCAAATTCACGTTTGTTTTCATCAGAAGTTTTGATTCCAATCACTGGTCCTTGATAACCCTTTTTCTGAGCCTAAAGAGATGAATAAATCGTTAATTCAGTTTTTAATAATAAATTAATAGCTAAGAAACGATTGACTAGGTAACAATTAAGTTAATCATATTCACTGTCAACTCTTGAGTGGAAATAAATTTAACTGATTAGTTTGATTGACGTTTCATGGAGCAAGTATTGTACTATAAGAAATGGATTAAATTATATAAATTGTAAAACTAAACATCAAATTGTTCACTATGTTAACTCCAGTTGAATAATTGTTGAACTTTATTCTTGATTGTTGTTGTGATTATATCAATAATTGTTAACACTCCCTTGTCAACATAATAATAACCATTGGGAAAAACCAAACAAAGGTTGATATTATGTAAAACTAATCAGACTTAATCATGGTTTGTATCATATATTTTTTGAATGATGTAAGCAATCAAAATTTAATATTCGATTACAATGATGACCGGAATAATGTATCCTGACTCTACCAACATATCACCTATTCATCTCGAAAAGGCGCAATTCAAGTCAAAAAATGTAATCAACTGTAATCACTCTCAATAGATGGAGTTAAATGTACTTGAGTTTTATTTCTTCAACTAAATGTAACACTTTTTATCCAATCAAAATCAGTAGAATATTTTCCTTGGACTCTGATTGGCTGAAAAAGAGCAGAAAATAGTTTGTTTACCATTTTCCAAGAAATTTTGTCTCTTCAATGTCATTGAATCAATGGAACAGTAACTCAAATTCGTAGTAGTACTAATTAGATTCGATTAACGGTAATTACTGTTTCAAGTTTTTTTTTAATTTTCGACTGGGTAAATCCAATTCATTATAAATTTACTGTCCCAATCGATTAACTGTGTTGTCACAATTAAGTGGAAAGTTTCAAATCTTGTTCATCTTGTGTTTTTCTGTAAGTAGAAATTTTTATATCTCTTTGTCTTTTCTTTGTTCCTCTCTACTTTCTCTCTCAATTAATCAATGTGGTTATTAACCTTAAGAGTTTCTTTTGTTTACATTTGGGTCAATCTTAGTCTTGTTTGGATTCATAATTAGTAATCATTTTCTCAGATTTTCTTCTTTGAACATTTTTCTCTCAAAATTTGTTGAAATTTTTCCATTTCAATTAATATTTTGTTACTTCACTAACCATTAATCATTTATTGTTATTTTGGTCTTTTTTCCTATCATTTCCATTCAGAATGGGTAAAGATAAAAAACCTCCAGAGTATGCAGACGATTCATCTGATCGTCCACCGCCATATAATTCATATTACGACCAGGCCGGTGGGGCCAGCGGAGTAGCACCCCCACCACCGCCAACAGGATTTATTCCACCTCCTTCTCATCTTAATCAACCTCCACCAGCATATCAACCTGGTCCTGATTTTATTAAAGCTCAAGATCCACCAATTCCACAACAACCTGATCGATTATTATCTCAACAATCTGGTAACCTTACCTCCCACCGTCGAGCTGCTTTTCAATGTAGATTGGCTGCTCTAAGAGCCGCTCGCGGATCAGGTGGTTGGGAGAAATGTTACAACCTGTTGATTGAATCACTCGATGGCTATGGTTTAACACTAGATCCAATTGAATATGAAAAACGTATCCGTGAAAGGCGCATAGGATGGACAGGAATTCATGTTCAAATACTCAATGACCTTGTTCGAAGTGCCACAGAGATGGGATGCGAACAATTATCAATTCGTCATTTGAGTTTCCTTCTTCAATGTTTATGTGAAGTATTAACCCACCAGGAAAAAAGTGACCTTGCGCGAGAATTGGAGTCTCTTGGTTCTAAATGTGGCGAAGGAGCTCCAGTTATACTTACACTCGAAAATGGATTCACCATTCCTTCAGTTAATTTAACCAAATTTCCAATGGTTTCTTCCCTTAAGATTCAGAATCTTTTTGCTTCCCTTCGTCCAGTAAAACTGAAGCCTAAATCGATGGACAATCTAATCACAACCAACGCTTCAAGTCCTTTTATTTTCACTCCTATTCAAATGAGTCGACCGCAGCCAAGACGTAGGTCACTTATCTCCCTCTCTACAAAAACCATGGATTTCAAATGGATCCAAGGAGAAACTTGCCAAATAACTCTCCAAGTATCCAACTATTTACCTGTTGAATTACAAGTTAATCATATCGCCCTTTTAACCGACGGAGTGGCCTTCCAAACATACCCAACCTCTTTAACACTCCCAGCGGAATCAGGACCATTTCCTATTCATTTAACGGGAACACCTTTGAACAATGGAAAGCTTGAAATCCTTGGCTATTCAACCCACGTTCTCGGTGTTAAAAGTGACTGTCGCTGGCCTCACCTACCCAACTGTAATCGACTTAAATTGCCTGCTAAATATGTTGTTGAAGTTATTCCTCCGCTGCCATTAATTGACATTTCCGCTCCCGATTTACCCAAGTCAGATACTTTTACCTCACTAACCACCGACACCAATGCAATAATGTCCAATGTTAGCCTAACAATTTATGCTGGTCAAAAAAAAACTTGTTCCCTTAGGGTAACAAATAATAGTCCCAATAATGAAATGATTGAAATAATCTCGGTTAAAATTATCAGTAAGCTTGGTAAAGAAATTGAATCAAATCTAGTTTCCTGGGATGACAATGATCTCAACAATTGTCTTCCTCTTCCAGCTCAATCGTCATTTGATTTTAATATTGAAGTTTATGGTATAAGTGATTTCCTATCCTCATCAACAAAAAGACGAGCTTCAAGTTTTAAAGCTAAATCTGCTTCGGTCAGTGGAACTTCATCTCCAATCCCAATGTCCCTGACAAACACTAATTCGTTAGCCGGATCGCCACATCATCACCCATCTTCAACTACAGTAGCAAACACAACGGAAAATAGTTCATCGAAAAGGTCTCACATGTTGGGCTCGGCTGTAGCTAATTTCTTATCAGAACTTCAATTGGGCGGAAGTGGAGGAAGTAATTCCAATTCAAAACGAAAATATGACCTAGTCAACTCTAATACTCTTGAAGAGTATCAACCTCAGGTAAATTAATCACAACTAAATTTCCTTGTCATTTAAATTCTCATCAATTTCTCTTTTCTCCATTAACAGATCGTAGAGGTGATCCTTGAATTTGAATATAGCGGCGGTGGTGGCCTAGCTTCGGGTTATTGTCGTAAATGTGCAATCGCAATTAACATTGATATCTTACCTTCAGTATTAATCACCAAATGGGATGTACTTCCTGCAGAAATGTGAGTTAAATAATTACGACGATTCGAAATCAATTAACCTTTGGTTATTTTTCTTTATCAGGCCTTCCAATTGTTACCTTGTATTTGATGTACTCAATGCGACTAATTATGAAATGGAATTAAATTACAGCGAGAATAAGTCAATTCTAATTGAGTCACGAGAAACTTGTCGCATACCCGTACCCGTTGAACGAGTCCCGTTATTGTGTGAAAATGTTTCTCTAAACAATGAGAAAAGTTTTAACAATGAAAATTTATTACTTAAAAGGTGTAAAAACCATTTAGTTAATCAGGTTAATCTAAACTGGAATCTATTACAAGCCTCGATAACTGGACTTGCCTCCATGTCAGAAATTCCTTGGACAGGGAATCTCCTAGAGTCCATTTTAATGTCTTCTATTCAATGGGATGTGAAAGTTAATGGACAAGAACTGAAGATTGAAGAGGAACTTAACTATGCAATTGGAGAACCAGTTATGTTAACAATTGAAGTGACCAATATAAGTGGTCATATCTTGAGAAATGTTCAACTTTTGGTCGCTTGTTATCAAGATTTTCAGAATGGAACTAAAAATTATAAAATCGACATGAATCGATCAATATTGGGCTCGGATAAAGTTTATATTGATGAAGTAAGGGTTTTAATTACTATTATTTTAGCTTCTTCATTCAATTGACTATCGTTTAATTTTAATTTTAATTTTTTCTTTTAGATGTTAACGATGAAAAGTCACTGTCATGAATTAGGACTAGTCTTTTATTATCCTGGTTTATACAAAATTGAGATTCAATGTACAGGATCAACTATGGATCCATCTTCATCCCAACCAATTAATGAAGATATCAAGTTAATTGTTAAAGAAACAAATGAAAAATCAAGTCGAAACGTAACTTGTGCTCCATCATCTTGGAAATGTTCACCGTTAATTGAGATCAGTGTCGCATAGAAAATCATATATTTAACTATCAATGGAAATTTTTTATATTTTACAAATTAAATTATACTGATTATTAAATATTCAAAGTTTATCTAATTATAAATTGATTATTATGTGGCTAATTGTCCAATATAACATTTACATTGTACATTTCAAACTTTTAATACATGAAAAAAAATCAAAATTAGATGAAAGTGAAAGTGAAAGTTTGAAAATCAGGAAAAGTTTACGAATCTTAATCGGAGCAAAAAGTGTCTACAACACCGGGGGTTCCCAAGTGGTCTCCCTCCCAAGTACTAACCCGGCCCGAAGCTGCTTAACTTCGGAGATCGGACGGGATCCGGTGCTTTCAGCTTGGTATGGTCGTAGACGAAAGGAGAACCTTAAAGTGTGAATATAAACTTTTTGATTGGAAACAAAATTGTCCATTTGATTAGATTTTACTATAAATACCAAGTTTTCGGGCACATTTTGGACACGAATGTTCAACATCTAAAGTGATACTTGAAAAAAAGGGAATTAAACAGCAGCCACATATGCAACCGAATAGACAACAACCGATCGATACCAACCAGGCAAGAACACCAGATTTCTTATGGGTAGAAGTGAGCACTTGTTGGTTACATGTTGGACAGAACACATTCTGAGGATAAGGTCCGAAACTCACTGCACCAATAGGAACTACTGGACCTAGAAAATAAATTGTTTTCAAATAATTTAATAATACCAAATAGAGAATAGATTAATTATGAGTTCGAAAAACTTGCCGATATGAGATTGTTGCGGGATCGGTGGATGAGGTACCAAACTGTGCGAGGAAGGTGGTTGATAAGATGTAAACGTATTTCGAGGCTCAGGCTGAACAAATTTTCCTGAATTCATGTTGAAAACACAAGAGACAAGCGAGAGGTTCAATCAAATAAAGACTAACAGTTAATGGGATCTAATTATAATTTGGTTACATATTTATCAGTTTGAATAATGGAGGTAATTAACATCGTTAACGGTGTTGGTAATTAATATTTGTGTGAATAATCAATAAAGTTGTTAACGCGAAAAAGGGTTGAATTAGTAATTTAAAGTGGATTGAAAGTAAAAACTAGATGATGAAATATTCGGGATATTGTTTAATGTCCTTGTTGATTCAATTAATTGTGACAGAATTTATTTCGTTGGTATTAGGAAACAAAACTCTTGAAAATAATTTCAAATAGATTGAGTTTATTGAATTACTTGGATAATAAAAATTAACAGAATTAGTTTTATAAAAACAGGTTTCGTGCGAATTGTGGACACGAAGGTTCAATATGACGATGAAAATCTAACAAATTTATTTATAATTTAACTTCAATTACTATGGAACAATAAAAAATGTCAACTGATCAAGAATTTATCGAGTAAATTAATTTAATTGTTGTTAAACAATTCGTCCTCTCATTGAGCTCCGCCGTTTCTTGTGAGCGGTAAATTGACCATTTGTGAAGATCCAGTTTTGAATAATCGATTGTTACCAACTTTCTCAACAATTAACGATACAAATGGCCCAAGGATAATCAGTTGGAACACTAATCCAACATGAATCGCTAAAAATATAGCATAAAACATATGACCGATCTGAAATTGAGGATAAATGGAAAATGTTAGTGAGTTGTAACAATTAACTGATTTGTTTCTTTTACCAATTCCTTAGATGGTAATATGGGCCATTTCTGTGAACTGTAGTACCAAATGAACACGGCGACATGAACGTAATATGTTGATCGAAGTAAAATTACAGTTGATTGAATGAACTGATCTATTTTACTATTTCGACGAAGGTAAAAGTTTCGCGTACGTTGTTTGTTGTAAGTGTTGTTGTTAACGTTATCAATTGAAGGCGAGAGCTTATTATTATCATAGTAATCATTATTACGATTTATATGTTGGAATATTTTTTCACTCGAAACGAAGATAATTATCAACACGTAGAAAGACATTGATAGCAGTCGATAAAAAATTGAATAAATTGCCACAATCATTGGAGTCTTATAATTGTTCAGTGGTCCCCAAATAGTTGGAAGAAGAAATGAAGTGATAGCGATAATGGTTAAGATAGAAATCCATTTGATACGATTAACAGTCTAAATTGTAAGTCAAGGAAGAGAAAAGAATTAAAATTTAAAGAAAACCAAACTTTCTCATAGATTACCTCAATAGAATTCAATTTAAATCCTTTACTGATCAAGTAAACAACGAAGATCGGAGTTATATAAGACCATAGACGATTAATTGTTGGAAGGTGAATAAAGTGCATCCAGTTTTCAAAGTCACTTAATTACAATTAAAAATAAAAATAAAGAAAAACAAAGAGTAAGAAAAAGAAAGCGATCTTTTTTGTATAATATCTTATTAAACTCACAGTATACTGAATCCCCTGGTGATACCATGAGGTTCAAGCTCGTTGTAGTAAAATATTGAACTGATGTAAATCAAACATCCAACAATTAGGCCAACATTCAAACTCAATCCAACCATCGGTTTAGCTTTGTAAATGTAAATCAACGTAAACAAGATTATCGATAATTTCATCTCAGCCGCGATTGACCAAGTATGAGGTGCACACTACAATGATGATGAGAAGTAATAACAATTAAATCAATGTAATCAACCAGAAATTTCATTATCAATTATGCAACTAGTAGATTAAGCTAATTGAAACTCTTTCCAACCCTTCGTAAGAATATGATAATAGAGTCAATCGACTTTTCATATTAGAAATTGAACGTGAGAAATTATAATACTGAATCGAATATGAGTTCCATCAATGAGATTTTTGTTCCAGAGTCAATTTGTTTTTTTTGTTCAGATTGATTAATCCTGGAAAGTGCTCTTAATGCTTTTAGTGATTGTACAAATTTCCACGCAGAAGCACATGTGCCAAGCAGTAATTATTTAGTACAAACGTTATCATCGACGTTTGAAGCCCGATGCCAGAATCTGCATGTGTGCGGTCGTGCGAAATAAGATTGCATATTCATTCACATTCGGATTAGGCCTCAACGATGAACAACTAATTTGTCACAATGATTGATATAATTGTAATACAAAATAAAGAAGAAAATAAGTTTGAGATAAAAATATTAATAGTTTATTTGCGATTCCTATGACAAACTGTTTCAATGAATTATAATTACAGAATATAATTAATAAATGACAACATGAATAAATTAATTTAGGAAGAATATTCTTCCTAAATTGATGCAAACAATTAGCTGGAAAAAAAAGGTTTCTAATTTAAGAGCAACATTTGGGTGTTATTTCTCAATGTAAAGAAAAAGTAATGACTCGAATGGGGGAAAAAGTTTAATCAAGAGAATCAAAAAGTGTCTACAACACCGGGGGTTCCCAAGTGGTCTCCCTCCCAAGTACTAACCCGGCCCGAAGCTGCTTAACTTCGGAGATCGGACGGGATCCGGTGCTTTCAGCTTGGTATGGTCGTAGACGAAAGGAGAACCTTAAAGTGTGAATATAAACTTTTTGATTGGAAACAAAATTGTCCATTTGATTAGATTTTACTATAAATACCAAGTTTTCGGGCACATTTTGGACACGAATGTTCAACATCTAAAGTGATACTTGAAAAAAAGGGAATTAAACAGCAGCCACATATGCAACCGAATAGACAACAACCGATCGATACCAACCAGGCAAGAACACCAGATTTCTTATGGGTAGAAGTGTGTCAGCTTGGTATGGTCGTAGACGAAAGGAGAACCTTAAAGTGTGTACTTAAATAATAGTTAATTTCAATAATTTATTAACAGAATTTTAGTCGAAAAAATCCGAAAAAATTTGTTTAAATTGAACATTGAGAAAAAAAAGATTAATTGAATTCGATTTTGCGATTGACTCCAAGTTTTCGAGCACATCGTGGACACGAATGTTCAACATCTAAAGTAATATCTGTATAAAAGGGGATTAAGCAGCACCCAAATACACAGCAACCGACCGATACCAACCAAGCAAGTAAACCTGATTTCTGACTAGTTATAGTGATCACTTGCTCGTTACATGTTGGACAAATCACGTTCTGAGAATAAGGTCCAAATTTCGTAGTACCAAGAGTAACTATTGTAATATTAATAGTTGAATATAAAAAGAACAAATTGTTTTCCAACAATTAAACTAAGTCTCAATAGAAAATCAACTTACCGACTCGTTGTCCGTCCTGAGCTGAGGCTGTTGGTTGGGGTACAAGATCAATGGGTGGAGGTGGTGGTGGACACGATGGACCAGAAACAGTATATGGAGGTGGGGAAAGTGATTGATGAGTTGAAATTGGAAGTTCAGGGTAACCAAATTTTTCTGAATCCATGTTGAGTTAATTGCTGATAGATTGAAAAATGAACACAACACCTTAACTGAGAAACAATTGATGTGTTTTATTTTTTATATGATTTAACATTGATCAGTGAATCGTAATCAACAGTCAACGTAATGGTTAATCACTAGGCTGCCTTATCCAAAAATGAGTAATCAAATGATGTAAATAATTTCGAGTTGATTAAGATTACTGAAAAACTCAGATAATTGAGACTCATTTAACATTTAAGAGCTAATTAGTGTAATAGAAATTTCAATTAGTAGATCGACTTTGATCAGACTGTGACCACAGCCTTGGTCACAATCTGATGATGACCATTTATATATTAATTATTAGAATGATCTAGAAAATGATCATGAACATCTTCATTACTATTGTATTAATATCTAATAGATTGTATTCATTAGTACCACTTCCCTTCCCTTAGTAATAACATTAAAGTCGAAAGTTTATATAATTGTGAATATTTAGATTACAGTCACACTTCTCTAATTGCCTCTCTATTATCTCACAAATTCTGTAATTTCGCAATTCAATTCTTTCTCAATTAAGGACATGATATGTCACACTTTTTAATCTCACATTCATCAATTATTTTAGGACAATTTGTAATAAATAATTTGATGCGACTGTACATCGATCCGTTCACTTAATTTATTTAATTGAAGAGGCTGTATAAATGGTTACGAATTGTATGATAATCAAAATAAAAGTGTTTATTTCAAGTGATCGTTAACATTAATTGTTTAATTCAGTTTTGTCATCTAAAAAGTGGGAGCTAATTTTTCAGATTCGTCGATATAAACCAACTTTCGGTCCACAATTGCCACAAGAGTGTTCAACGTCTCGAGTAAAATCCGTGCAACAAGGGATTAGAAAACAACCAATGACACCACCAAGTAGACAACAACCCACTGAGGTCAACCAGGTCACTATTCCAGTTTTATAATTAATCGAAGTGACAACAGTTTGTTTACAAGAGAGACAGTACACATTTCTAGGATAAGCACCGAAAATTTTTGATCCATCTACTTCACTATCTGTCAATTTATTAATATACGTTGAAAGAAATCAATTGAGATGATTTAATAATTTAATTCATGATTCGACTACTAACATTTAGTGTTTATTACTCACCTGTTGATTGTGATCCATTTATTGGTTGTGGTGATGGAAATTGTTGCACATTAGAAGGTCTATTGTAAAGTGAATCGAATCGACCCAAGTGAGTTGAGACTCTTGGTGACCTGGAATAAGCTGGAGGTGGACAGTTAAAAGGGTCAACAGTGGCTAGTGGAGCAGAGGGTAAAACATTGTACTGATTCCCTTTCATTTTAATTTTCCCAGCACAGTCTTTGATAGTAACAATGATGATGAGAGGTAATAACAATTAAATCAATGTAATCAACCAGAAATTTCATTATCAACCAGCTACAGTGATTTCAATTATGCAACAATTAGATTAATCTTATCAATTGTAACAATTTATCGATTGTAATTTTCAAACATTCATAAAAATATGACAATTGAATCAATTGACTTTTATATTATCAATCGAAAATGATCACAATAACTTGAGAACCTTATTCAATCAAATGAGCAATTGACCAATTAAATTTTTCATTCAACAACCAATTTGCATTTTTTCACTTGAATGATTCAATGAGCCTTCGATTAGTTGAAAATAGGATTGAATATTCAAGTTCACATAGTGATTAGGACTCAACGACAAAGAACTAATTTGCCACAACAATTGATATAATTTCAATTTCGAAAATAGAGAAGAAATAAGTTTGAGGCGAAAATACTTGAAATTTATTTTCGATTCCCATGTAATATTTTCTGCATGGTTATCAGAGAAAATAGATGACAACTTGAATAAATTCTTCCTCTTATTGAGCTCCACCATTTCTTGTGAGCGGTAAATTTACCATTTGTGAAGATCCAGTTTTGAATAATCGTTTGTTACCAACTTTCTCTACAATTAACGATACAAATGGCCCAAGGATAATCAGTTGGAACACTAATCCAACATGAATCGCTAAAAATATAGCATAAAACATATGACCGATCTGAAATTGAGGATAAAATGGAAAATGTTAGTGAGTTGTAACAATTAGTTGATTTGTTTCATTTACCAATTCCTTGGATGATACTATGGGCCATTTCTGTGAACTGTAGTACCAAATGAACACGGCGACATGAACGTAATATGTTGATCTAAGTACAATTACAGTTGATTGAATGAACTGATCTAATTTACTATTTCGACGAAGGCCTTGAAAAGTGATGAATTAGCTTAATTTAAATTAATTAAAGTTATATTACACTCATGAAGTTATAAACACGTAAATGATTTATACTTGATCGAATGAAATATTATTCACATCAAACATTATCAAATTATTTATAGCAAAGTGATTCCATTTAATGACCAAAAACTATTGCTTCTGATAGTCTTTGTTAAGTAACAAAAATGATTGACTTATTTAGACATCTAAAGTGTTATAGTTTCGGAGATATTAGGCCTCGAGATCAAAGGCCACTCTCATTCCAGTAAAACTGTTGATCAAACGAAAAAGTGCTTGATTAACCATGTTAACCCATACTAGGATAGTCTCAAAAATAAGTTTCAGATCATTCTAAGCAATTGGGACTAATCGCCGTCCATTTATTTAAATACAACAGAATTGTGACCAAGCACTTTGGATATTTTTAACAAAACAAATTTAATTTTCTGTAAAGGTATGGTGTCGATAAAATAAAGAAATTCATGATCTAAAAAACTTATCGTTGATTAGAAAAAGTGATGAAATTAAGTTTTAACTTCGAACTCGATTTATAAAATTAATGAAAAGATCAGGAAAAAATAAAATATATTTGGACTTAATATTTGCTTGGTACTACAAATACAAAAATTTAAACAATTAACTCAAACTAAATTGTTCAGCATTTCTCCTTAATCTTCTCAAAATTATATTGATGAAATAACTTATTGGTGTATCTTTGTTTGTTTTCGGCCACAATTGTGTGACATGTTTAACTCCACTGATTTGATCATAATTTAAATCATCGTTTAGTTAATCAATTGATTGTTTGAATATGAGGTTGATTCAAGCAAAATATTATCAACAGAAAAAATGTCGATCCTCTAACTCTGAGTATCAATTTGTCGCATCATTTTCAAACATGAAATTATTCAGAGAAATAAATTCATGTTTGTGAATCTATTACGATCAAGTTTCGTTGTTTTTCATTTACTAGTCGAAATTCATGAATAGACATGAGTAATTAATAAATTTTTCTTGAATCAAACTAATAGTTGATTGTTAAACTTACGGTATAATGAAAAGTGCGTCCATTAAACTATCACTCATAATGATATTAATCCAAATACTTTCTTTATATTTAATCATCGGATTTTGTGAGCCTTTGATTGAAATTAATAATAAATTGTAGATTAATTTTTGTAAAATAGTTAATCAATCAACTAATTGTTACCATAAAGTGATCCTCCTTGATTGAAAATGGGCCAAACAAATGAGTGAAAAGTTAATACACCCAAATGCATGATGATCTCATGAATGAAAATACTCCGAGATCTTAAATCGTTAATTGTTGGAGAAAATGTTGATTTCCAGTTAGTTTGAATTGAGAAACAATTAATCCACTCGACTTGATTGCTGGGGGTCATCAAAACAATCAAGGAACAAATCATACTTAAGCCAACGAATGAACCTAATATTGATCTATTAAAAATCAGATAAACAATATAATCAAATCAATCATAATTAGTTAATCAACTTACACACTAATTTTTGAGCCAATTGGTAATTCAATCAGTTTATCAGATATTGATTGTTTCACTTGACATGAATCAACTGCAATCACTTTCCATGAGTAACTTTCCAATCCTTTCAAGTAATTCAAGATATTGTAATAATTAATGAATAGAATCATTTACATTGGGTGACTATTAACTAATTACCTTTTTGAACTAAAGTGTGAATATCATCTGATGAGCATGATGATGGTAAACAAAATCCAATTTTTATTGAAAAACCAGCTTTATGAAAAATTACTTTGTCTCTAGTAAATAGATGATAATCATCTGATTGTTCAGTTGATTCAACTGGATTAACTGAAACTAGACAATGTTTTCCTGATTCACTTTGATTGTTTCTAGTCCAAGATAATCCCAAACATTGATCATAATTACCAATATCAAGGTAACCAGATCCAGTCAGGTCACTAGAGCTCGTCCTGAAGATTCAATCACTGATCCAACGATCCAAAATTAAAAACAAATCAATCAAATGTACAAATTAAAAATTAACATTTAAAACTTACACTTGAATGGCCAATGTTCACCTAATCCAATTGATTGGTTAACAGTTTTTAGACTTTGGATACACTGACCAGTCAACTTTAAACTATTCAAATCAACAGAGTCAATTGTTGACCAAACTGATGAACCAAATCCAAATCGTAACAAGACCGATTGTCGATAAGTATAATCATCATATCCTTTGCTAATTCGAACAGAGATATTCGATGTAAATTTAGAATGGACATTGGTCAAAGAAAAAAGAAAAACATAAAAGACAAATTGAAAAGAGGCCATAATAAATGTAAAGCCAAAGAGCTTCACTTAAAACAATAATATACAAAGTAACTAGATAATTGCGATTACTCGTTAACTTGTATCTTTATTAAATTTAATTACCGACGAAATCAAGGTGAACTTGATTCGGCCCCTTTGTCTCTCATTTTCAATTTGAAAATCTCCTTGAGCAGTTTCGATATCTTATAAAAGATCTAAGCAATTACCCTCGAGCAATTAACAGTCTTTAAAATTATGACCATTGACTCTCTATGTTTCTGGTTCTTTAATGCAGATCATTTGAATCTTATCATCACTAATATTATTCAAAATAATGATTGACAAGCAAATAGAATGATTTAAATTACTACTTAGAAAATAATTAACCCAGTGCTGTATTTATACTAATAATTTAATCACGAAAATTATCAAATATAACTGAGAAAAATAAAAAAAGATGAGGAAATGAACAAATTAAATCCGTTTTGGAAATGATCTTAATCTTAATCACATGAATGGTGGAAAAGAGTAATCAAGTAAAGAGAAGCAAAAAGTGTCTACAACACCGGGGGTTCCCAAGTGGTCTCCCTCCCAAGTACTAACCCGGCCCGAAGCTGCTTAACTTCGGAGATCGGACGGGATCCGGTGCTTTCAGCTTGGTATGGTCGTAGACGAATGAAGTTGCTTAAAGTGTGTACTTAAATAATAGTTAATTTCAATAATTTATTAACAGAATTTTAGTCGAAACAGTTTCCAATAAGCTTGAGTTTATTCAAATTAAGTATTGAGATTATCTGAATTAGATTTTGCAGTAACGACCAAGTTTTCGTCCACACCTTGGGCACGAATGTTCAACATCTAAAGTTGCATCACAGAAAAAGGGGATCAAACAGCATCCAAGTATAAGAGCGAACGCACAACAACACAGTGATGCTAACCAAGCAGCAAGTCCAGTTCGCTGGCAGGTTACAGTGAGCACTTGCTCATTACATGTTGGGCAGAACGCGATTTGAGGGTAAGGGCCGTAATTTCCATTCCCCATGTTAACTATGGTAATAGTAAAAAATTTGAGAGAACAAATCAGGACTAATCAAAAGAAGATTCAATTGATTAACTTACCAACTTGATGAACAGTCCGTGTTGGTGGTGGAGGTGGTGGTGGTGGTTGGTTAGGGTAACTATATTCTCCTGGATGCATGTTAAATTAACTGTTAATTTGAAAATGATCACAATTTGTAGGCTCAATTAAATAAAAACAATTAACAATGACCGAACGCGATATGGAGGGTCGATTTCATTTAAAAAGTCGTTAAAAAAGTGATGTAAGATCGAAAGCAATTAATAAGAGAAATTTTTCTCCATTATCCTCATTTCTTATTTCTCTTTCTCTTGTTGCTTTATTGGATAATAAATTGGATACGATTTAGACGCGAAGAGAGAAAGAGCAACAAATAAAGTAAATATTACAACTACTATGAAGTCACATTATTCAGTTCATTTGCATTCAGTTTTGTCATCTAAAAAATGGAAGTTAATTTTTCAGCTTCTTCGATATAAACCGACTTCCAGTCCACAATTGACATAATAGTATTCAACATCTCGAGTAAAATCAGTGCAACATAGGATTAGAAAACAACCAATGACACCACCGAGCAGAAAACAGCCCGCTCAGTCAGGTCACTATCCAATTTTTATATTTTATCGAAGTTACGGTGTATTTCGTGTTTCAAACATAAGCATTAATTATTTGTGCATCTAAATGTTATCATCGACGTTTGAAGTCCGATGCCGAAATCTGCGTCTATGAAGTAGTTGAAAATAAGATTGAATATTCATTCACATTGGGATTAGGCCTCAACTATAAAGAAATAATTTGTCACAATGATTGATATAATTGTACAAAATAAAGAAGAAAATAAGTTTGAGGTGAAAATAGTTGAAATTTATTTTCGATTTCCATGTAATATTTTCTATAAAATGTACATCAGAGAAAACTAATAAATGACAACTTGAATAAATTGGTCTTCTCATTGAGCTCCACCGTTTCTTGTAAGTGGTAAATTTACCTTTTGTGAAGATCCAGTTTTGAATAATCGATTGTTACAAACTTTCTCAACAATTAACGATACAAATGGTCCAAGGATAATCAGTTGGAACACTAATCCAACATGAATCGCTAAAAATATAGCATAAAACATATGACCGATCTGAAATTGAGGATAAATGGAAAATGTTAGTGAGTTGTAACAATTAACTGATTTGTTTCATTTACCAATTCCTTGGATGATACTATGGGCCATTTCTGTGAACTGTAGTACCAAATGAACACAGCGACATGAACGAAATATGTTGATCGAAGTATAATTACAGTCGATTGAATGAACTGATCTAATCTACTATCCTGACGAAGGTAAAAGTTTCGTGTACTTTGTTTGTTGTAATTGTTATTGTTGCAATTATCAATTGAAGGCGAGAGCTTATTATTATCATAGTAATCATTATTACGATTTATATGTTGGAATATTTTTTCACTCGAAACGAAGATAATTATCAACACGTAGAAAGACATTGATAGCAGTCGATAAAAAATTGAATAAATTGCCACAATCATTGGAGTCTTATAATTGTTCAGTGGTCCCCAAATAGTTGGAAGAAGAAATGAAGTGATAGCCATAATGGTTAAGATAGAAATCCATTTGATACGATTAACAGTCTAAATTGTAAGTCAAGGAAGAGAAAAGAATTAAAATTTAAAAAGAAAACAAAATTTCTCATAGATTACCTCAATAGAATTCAATTTAAATCCTTTACTGATCAAGTAAACAACGAAGATCGGAGTTATATAAGACCATAGACGATTAATTGTTGGAAGGTGAATAAAGTGCATCCAGTTTTCAAAGTCACTTAATTACAATTAAAAATAAAAATAAAGAAAAAGTAAGAAAAAGTAAGCGATCTTTTTTGTATAATGTCTTATTAAACTCACAGTATACTGAATCCCCTGGTGATACCATGAGGTTCAAGCTCGTTGTAGTAAAATATTGAACTGATGTAAATCAAACATCCAACAATTAGGCCAACATTCAAACTCAATCCAACCATTGGTTTAGCTTTGTAAATGTAAATCAACGTAAACAAGATTATCGATAATTTCATCTCAGCAGCGATTGACCAAGTATGAGGTGCACACTACACAATTAAATTGATAAATTTAATTAGAAACAATTAAAGTTTTTTTGTGTTCCTATTAGACTTAATTACCATATCCATGAGTCCTGGATAAGTATTCTGAGTGTAAATTATATTTGAATACCAAGTTGATGAGCAAACTTTTGCTCGATTATAAGCAATTAGTTGAGAAAAAGGTCCATCGGAAAACAATGGAGTCACCATTTCAAGGTTAACAATTAAAGCCATTAAAATTGATGTACTATTAATAGATTAAATATAAGAACAATTAACAATCAGTCAATCAACAGAAAATTGTTTCAATATCACTCACCAAATTAATCTTCTCAAAATTATATTGATGAAATAACTTATTGGTGTATCTTTGTTTATATTTGGAAATCTTTGAATAGCACTTTTCAGCCCCCTGAATATAATTGAAATTATCATGTAATTGCTCAGTCGATAAAATTTAATTGTTACACTTACGGGATAATGAACAATGCATCAAATATACTGTCAAATGAAATGACATTAATCCAAGCACTTTCTTTATATTTAGTCATCGGATTTTGGGAACCTGAGATTGCGATTGAGCGAATAAAAGATTAACGAATGAAAAAGAAATCAACTAATTGTTACCGTAAAGTGATCCACCATGAGAAAAAATAGGCCATATTATTGCATGGAAGATTAGTACACCGAAGTGCATGATAATTTCGGAGACGAAAATGTATCGAAGTCTGTTATTTTCAATTGGTGGCGAAAATGTGGCTTTCCAATTAGTCTCAATCGAAAACATTTAATCCATCCAATTTGATTTTTCGGAAACATCAAAACAATCAAGGAACAAATCATACTTAAGCCGACGAATGAACCTAATATTGATCTATTAAAAATCAGATAAACAATATAATCAAATCAATCATAATAAGTTAATCAGGTAACTTACACACTAATTTTTGAGCCAATTGGTAATTCAATCAGTTTATCAGATATTGATTGTTTCACTTGACATGAATCAACTGCAATCACTTTCCATGAGTAACTTTCCAATCCTTTCAAGTAATTCAAGATATTGTAATAATTAATGAATAGAATCATTTACATTGGGTGACTATTAACTAATTACCTTTTTGAACTAAAGTGTGAATATCATCTGATGAGCATGATGATGGTAAACAAAATCCAATTTTTATTGAAAAACCAGCTTTATGAAAAATTACTTTGTCTCTAGTAAATAGATGATAATCATCTGATTGTTCAGTTGATTCAACTGGATTAACTGAAACTAGACAATGTTTTCCTGATTCACTTTGATTGTTTCTAGTCCAAGATAATCCCAAACATTGATCATAATTACCAATATCAAGGTAACCAGATCCAGTCAGGTCACTAGGAGCTCGTCCTGAAGATTCAATCACTGATCCAACGATCCAAAAATTAAAAAACAAATCAATCAAATGTACAAATTAAAAATTAACATTTAAAACTTACACTTGAATGGCCAATGTTCACCTAATCCAATTGATTGGTTAACAGTTTTTAGACTTTGGATACACTGACCAGTCAACTTTAAACTATTCAAATCAACAGAGTCAATTGTTGACCAAACTGATGAACCAAATCCAAATCGTAACAAGACCGATTGTCGATAAGTATAATCATCATATCCTTTGCTAATTCGAACAGAGATATTCGATGTAAATTTAGAATGGACATTGGTCAAAGAAAAAAGAAAAACATAAAAGACAAATTGATAAGATTTCATAGCTAAGTTAGAGAGTTACACGAATGACAATAGCATACAAAATGATTAGATAAATGTGATTACTTTTTTTTCTTAGTTTTCCACACTCATTAGTTGAGCCCCTTCAAAGCGCTAGAATGTCTTATTTGGTGCAACTCTGGAAACTTTACAAATTTCGTGTAACATTCTAATTTAACGTAGTGTCTAATTATATGCAATCCCTGATATTATGAAGGTTAGATTGATATCTATCCATCATCTGATTGCCGTGGGCAATTTCGCAATCATATTAATACTTAAATGTGTTCGTCTCTTTAGATTTTTCCAAGATAATATTACAGATATTTTCTTTCATAGCCAAAGACTTATAGTTTGTAACCTTTTTTAAACCATAGATCGCATGTTATTATCTTATCATAGCAGTTATTGATAATCAGGTAAATGTAACTTTTGATATCTATTTTCAATCAACTGGCTGATGTATAATTGTACTACAATTTTAAGAGATTAAATGAAAGAGTATTGTATTTACCATGATATCTCTTGGTTAACGTTAATCTCATTGATTATATTGAATTGTTCTTCATAATAATTTAACCACAAAGAGATAATAAAGCCTCTTGACCACAATTACTAGTACTGAATTACGTTGTTTTATCACCAAGAAAACGTCGCGATAATTAAATCAAATAAATAAGAAAATCAAAGTTATTAATAATTTGTACATTTTAAAGGGTGTGTAGTTTAAAAAACTCCTGGCGGGAGATAGAATCGCACTCCCTCAGCCCGAGATTTATATGTGTTCACTATATTTATTTAATTGAAGAAACTGTGTAAATGATTACATAAATTTTATGACAATCATGATAAAAGTGTTTTTTTCAAGTGATCATTAATTTTTTCATCCAGTCATTTTCATTTAAAAAGTGGGAGTTAATTTCTCAGATTCGTCGATATAAACCGACTTTCAGTCCACAATTGACACAAGAGTGTTCAACATCTCGCGTAAAATCAGTGCAACAAGGGATTAGAAAACAGCCAATGACACCACCGAGCAGAAAACAACCCGCTGAGGTTAACCAGGTTACTACCCCAGTTTTATATCTAATCGAAGTGGCAGTAATTTGTCTACATGATGGACAAAACACATTCTGAGAATAAGGTCCAAATTTACTAGCAGTAGTACCAATAGTAACTATTGTTGTTATTGTAATTGTTGAACATAGAAGAGAACAAATTGTTTTTCAAAAATTAAACTAAGACTCAATAGAGAATTAATTGATTACCTTACCAACTCGTTCCTCTGTCTGAACTGAGGCTGATGGTAGATGAGATACAAGACCAGGCGGTGGAGGTGCAACAGCATATGGCGGCGGTGGAACTGGTTGATATGTTGTAACTGGAGGTTGAGATTCAGGGTAATCAAATTTTACTGAATCCATGATGAGTTGACTGCCTGAAAAATAAACTCAACAATTCAACTGAAATGTGAAATAAAGACAACTAAACAATTGATGTGATATATTTTTCATATGATTTCGCATTAATCAGTGAATGGCAATTCACAATTAACGCAATAGAAAATCATTAGTTTGCTTTATCTAAAAATGAATAATCACATGGTATAAATATTAATAATTCCGAGATTATAACAATAGATGAGTAAACTTAGATGTTTGATAAGATAGATTCGTTTATTAATAAGTATTAGTTAGATGATAAGTAACATAGTCAAGTACATGGCAACTTAATGATCATAATGTAAAAAAGTTGCTATTAATAAATGCATTTGATAAGACTGTACATCGATCCGTTCACTATATTTATTTAATTAAAAAGACTATCTAAATGGTAACAAATTGTGTGGCAATCATGGTAAAAGTGTTTATTTCAAGTGATCTTTAATTTTAATTGTTTAATTAGGTTTTGTCATCTAAAAAGTGGGAGTTAATTTTTTAGATTCGTCGGTATAAACCAACTTTCAATCCACAATTGGAACAAGAGTGTTCAACGTCTCGAGTAAAATCAGTGCAACAAGGGATTAGAAAACAACCAATGACACCACCGAGTAGACAACAACCCGCTGAGGTCAACCAGGTCACTATCCCAGTTTTATGTTTTATCGAAGTGACAACAGTTTGTTTACATGAGAGACAGTACACATTTCTAGGATAAGCACCGAAAATTTTTGATCCATCTACTACATTATCTGTCAATTTATACGTCGAAAGAAATCAATTGAGATGATTTAATAATTTAATTCGTGATTTGACTATCAAAGATTTAGTGTTTATTGCTCACCTGTTGATTGTGATCCATTTATTGGTTGTGGTGATGGAAATTGTTGCACATTAGAAGGTCTATTGTAAAGTGAATCGAATCTACCCAAGTGAGTTGAGACTCTTTGTGACCTGGAATAAGCTGGAGGTGGAAAGTTAAAAGGGTCAACAGTGGCTAGTGGAGCAGAGGGTAAAACATTGTACTGATTCCCTTTCATTTTTAATTTCTCAACAAAGTCTTTGATAGTAACAATGATGAGATGTAATAACAATTAAATCAATGTAATCAACCAGAAATTTCATTATCAATTGTGCAACTAGTAGATTAAGCTAATTGAAACTCTTTCCAACCCTTCATAAGAATATGATAATAGAGTCAATCGAATTGATATTAGAAATTGAACGTGAACAACCATAATACTGAATCGAATATGAGTTCCGGCAATAAGATTTCTGTTCCAGAGTAAATGTGATTTTTTGTTCAGATTAATTGATTCTTAAAGTGCTTTTAAATCTTTGTACAAATTTCCACACAGAAGCACATGTGCTATAAGCAGTAATTATTTGTGCCTCTGTACGTTATCATCGACGTTTGAAGTCCGATGCCAAAATCTGCGTCTATGTGGTAGTTGAAAATAAGATTGAATATTCATTCACATTCGGATTAGGACTCAACGATAAACAACTAATTCGTCACGATGATTGATATAATTGTACAAAATAAAGAAGAAAATAAGTTTGAGATGAAAATGTTAATAGTTTATTTGCGATTCCTATGACAAACTGTTTCAATGAATTATAATTACAGAAAATTAATAAATGACAACTTGAATAAATTCGTCCTCTCATTGACTTGTAAGATCGTCAAACCAGAAGCCCGATATTTGGCTACTATCAACAGTTTAATTGTGTTGTTAATTTAAATTATCATGTAGATTGATGCAATCAATTAGCTGGAAAAAAAGGTTTCTAAGAGCAACAATTGGGTGTTATTATTTCTCAATGTAAAAAAAAGTAATCACTCGAATGAGGAAAAAAGTGTAATCAAGCAAAGAGAAGCAAAAAGTGTCTACAACACCGGGGGTTCCCAAGTGGTCTCCCTCCCAAGTACTAACCCGGCCCGAAGCTGCTTAACTTCGGAGATCGGACGGGATCCGGTGCTTTCAGCTTGGTATGGTCGTAGACGAATGAAGTTGCTTAAAGTGTGTACTTAAATAATAGTTAATTTCAATAATTTATTAACAGAATTACAGTGGAAAAAATCTCATTTAGTTTGTTTAAATTGAACATTGAGAAAAAAAAGATTAATTGAATTCGATTTTGCGATTAACTCCAAGTTTTCGAGCACATCGTGGACACGAATGTTCAACATCCAAAGTAATATCTGTATAAAAGGGGATTAAGCAGCACCCGAATACACAGCCTACTACACAGCAACCGACCGATACCAACCAAGCAAGTAATCCTGATTTTTGACTAGTTATAGTGGTCACTTGCTCGTTACATGTTGGACAAATCACGTTCTGAGGATAAGGTCCGAATTTCGTAGTACCAAGAGTAACTATTGTAATAGTTGAACATAAAAAGAAACAAATAGTTTTTCACAATTAAACTTAGTCCTAATAGAAGTTCAATTGATCAACTTACCAATATGAGGTCCTTCCTGAGCTGAGGCTGTTGGTAGATGAGATACAAGACCAATGGGTGGAGGTGGTGGTGGACACGATGGACCAGAAACAGTATACGGAGGTGGGGAAAGTGATTGATGAGGTGCAGTTGGAAGTTCAGGGTAACCAAATTTTTCTGAATTCATGTTGAGTTAATTGCTGATAGATTGAAAAACGAACACCTTAACTGAGAAACAATTGATGTGTTTTATTTTTTATATGATTACACATTTATCAGTGAATCGTAATCAAAAATCAACGTAATGGTTAATCACTAGGCTGCCTTATCCAAAAATGAGTAATCAAATGATGTAAATAATTTCGAATTGATAACAATTAATGAAAAAACTCAGATAGTTGAGACTCATTTGATATTAAATAGCTAATTAGTGTAATAGAAATTTTAATTAGTAGATTAATTTTGATCAGACTGTGACCATAGCTTTGGTCACAATCTGATGATGACCATTTATATATTAATTATTAGAATGATCTAGAAAATGATCATGACCATCTTCATTATTATTGTATTAATATCTAATAGATTGTATTCATTAGTCCCACTTCCCTTCCCTTAGTAATAACATTAAAGTTTATATAATTGTGAATATTAAGATTACAGTCACACTTCTCTAATTGCCTCTCTATTATCTCACAAATTCTTTAATTTCGCAATTCAATTCTTCCTCAATTAAGGACATAGATGATATGTAACACTTTTTAATCCCTCATTCATCAATTATTTTAGGACAATTTGTAATAAATAATTTGATACGACTGTACATCGATCCGTTCACTATATTTATTTAATTGAAGAGACTGTATAAATGGTAACAAATTGTGTGGCAATCATGGTAAAAGTGTTTATTTCAAGTGATCGTTAACATTAATTGTTTAATTCAGTTTTGTCATCTAAAAAGGGGAAGTTAATTTTTTAGATTCGTCGATGTAAACCACCTTTCAGTCCAAAATTGACACAAGAGTGTTCAACGTCTCGAGTAAAATCCGTGCAACAAGGGATTAGAAAACAGCCAATGACACCACCGAGTAGACAACAACTCGCTGAGATCAACCAAGTCACTAAAAAAAAGTAATCACTTTAATGGGGAAAAAAAGTGTAATCAAGCAAAGAGAATCAAAAAGTGTCTACAACACCGGGGGTTCCCAAGTGGTCTCCCTCCCAAGTACTAACCCGGCCCGAAGCTGCTTAACTTCGGAGATCGGACGGGATCCGGTGCTTTCAGCTTGGTATGGTCGTAGACGAAAGGAGAAGCTTAAAGTGTGTACTTAAATAATAGTTAATTTCAATAATTTATTGCCTGAATTTTAGTCGAAAATAATCCCCTTCAGATTGTTAAGATTTGACATTGAGAAAAAAAAGATTAAGATTACACAAACTACTACAAATAAGCCAACCGATACCAACCAAACAAGTAAACCGAATTTCTGACTAGTTATAGAGGTCACTTGGCCGTTACATGTTGGACAGGTCAAAATCCGAGGATGAGGCCCAAAGTTAGTAGTACCAAAAGTAACTATTGTAATAGTTGAATATAAAAAGAACAAATTGTTTTCCAACAATTAAACTAAGGCTCAATAGAAAATCAATTGATCAACTTACCAATATGAGGTCCTTCTTGAGCTGAGGCTGTTGGCGAAGGTACAAGACCAATAGGTGGAGGTGGTGGTGGACATGATGGACCAGAAACAGTATACGGAGGCGGTAAAAGGGATTGATGAGGTGCAGTTGGAGGTTCAGGGTAACCAAATTTTTCTGAATTCATGTTGATTTAATTGCTGATAGATTGAAAATGAACATAACATGAATTGATAACAATTACTGAAAAACTCAGATAATTGAGAATCATTTGACATTTAAGAGCTAAGCAGTGTAATAGAAATTTCAATTAGTAGATTAATTTTGATCAGACTGTGACCATAGCCTTGGTCACAATCTGATGATGACCATTTATATATTAATTATTAGAATGTTCTAGAAAATGATCATGACCATCTTCATTATTATTGTATTAATATCTAATAGATTGTATTCATTAGTCCCACTTCCCTTCCCTTAGTAATAAAATTAACATTGAACTGTACATTGGTCCGCTCAGCATATTTATTTAATTAAAAAACTATCTAAATGGTTACTTAAACTGTGTGGCAATCATGGTAAAAGTGTTTATTTCAAGTGATCTTTAATTTTAATTGTTTAATTAGGTTTTGTCATCTAAAAAGTGGGAGTTAATTTTTTAGATTCGTCGGTATAAACCAACTTTCAATCCACAATTGGAACAAGAGTGTTCAACGTCTCGAGTAAAATCAGTGCAACAAGGGATTAGAAAACAACCAATGACACCACCGAGTAGACAACAACCCGCTGAGGTCAACCAGGTCACTATCCCAGTTTTATGTTTTATCAAGTGACAACAGTTTGTTTACATGAGACAGTACACATTTCTAGGATAAGCACCGAAAATTTTTGATCCATCTACTACATTATCTGTCAATTTATACGTCGAAAGAAATCAATTGAGATGATTTAATAATTTAATTCGTGATTTGACTATCAAAGATTTAGTGTTTATTGCTTACCTGTTGATTGTGATCCATTTATTGGTTGTGGTGATGGAAATTGTTGCACATTAGAAGGTCTATTGTAAAGTGAATCGAATCTACCCAAGTGAGTTGAGACTCTTTGTGACCTGGAATAAGCTGGAGGTGGACAGTTAAAAGGGTCAACAGTGGCTAGCGGAGCAGAGGGTAAAACATTGTACTGATTCCCTTTCATTTTAATTTTCTCGGCACAGTCTTTGATAGTAACAATGATGAGAGGTAATAACAATTAAATCAATGTAATCAACCAGAAATTTCATTATCAATTGTTAAACTAGTAGATTTCATCATCAATTATGCAACAAGTAGATTAATCTTATCAATTGTAACAAATTATCCATTGTAATTTTCAAACATTCATAAAAGTATGACAATTGAATCAATTGACTTTTATACATTTTTCTATTACTCTCCATCTAAATCAATACAATTTTTCTTTTAATTTTGATTAAATTATCTCTTTAAGCGCAATTGATATAATTTTTATTCTCATCGCATTTTTCGTGGCTATATTATCAATCGAAAATGATCACAATAACTTGAGAACCATATTCAATCAAATAAGCAATTGACCAATAAAATGTTTATTCCACAGCCAATTTGCATTTTTTTCACTTGAATGAGCATTCGATTAGTTGAAAATAGGATTGAATATTCACATTCACATACGGACCAGGACTCAACGACAAAGAGCTAATTTGCCACAATGATTGATATAATTTCAATTTCGAAAATAGAGAAGAAATAAGTTTGAGGCGAAAATAGTTGAAATTTATTTTCAATTCCCATGTAATATTTTCTATAAATGGCTATCATAGCAAATAGATGACAACTTGAATAGATTCGTCCTCTCATTGAGCTCCACTGTTTCTTGTGAGCGGTAAATTTACCATTTGTGAGGATCCAGTTTTGAATAATCGATTGTTACCAACTTTCTCAACAATTAACGATACAAATGGTCCAAGGATAATCAGTTGGAACACTAATCCAACATGAATCGCTAAAAATATAGCATAAAACATATGACCTATCTGAAATTGAGGATAAAATGGAAAATGTTAGTGAGTTGTAACAATTAACTGATTTGGTTTTTTTACCAATTCCTTGGATGATACTATGGGCCATTTCTGTGAACTGTAGTACCAAATGAACACGGCGACATGAACGTAATATGTTGATCGAAGTAAAATTACAGTTGATTGAATGAACTGATCTAATTTACTATTTCGACGAAGGTAAAAGTTTCGTGTACGTTGTTTGTTGTAAGTGTTGTTGTTAAAGTTATCAATCGATGGCGCGAGTTTATGGTGATCATAGTAATCATTATTACGATTTATATGTTTAAATATTTTCTCACTCGAAATGAAGACAATTAGCAACACATAGAAAGACATTGATAACAGTCGATAGAAAATTGAATAAATTGCCACAATCATTGGAGTCTTATAATTGCTTAGTGGTCCCCAAATAGTTGGAAGGAGAAATGAAGTTATAGCGATAATGATTAAGATAGAAATCCATTTGATACGATTAACAGTCTAAATTGAATGTTAAGGAAGAGAAAAGAATTAAAATTTCAAGAGAAGAAAACTAAACTTTCTCATAGATTACCTCAATAGAATTTAATTTAAATCCTTTACTGATCAAGTAAACAACGAAGATCGGAGTTATAAGACCATAGACGATTAATTGTTGGAAGGTGAATAAAGTGCATCCAGTTTTCAAAGTCACTTAATTACAATTAAAAATAAAAGTAAAGAAAAAGAAAAAGTAAGAAAAAGTAAGTGATCTTCTTTGTATAATATCTTATTAAAGACTATTAAACTCACAGTACACTGAATCCCCTGGTGATACCATGAGGTTCAAGCTCGTTGTAGTAAAATATTGAACTGATGTAAATCAAACACCCAACAATTAAGCCAACATTCAAACTCAATCCAACCATTGGTTTAGCTTTGTAAATATAAATCAACGTAAACAAGATTATCGATAATTTCATCTCAGCAGCGATTGACCAAGTATGAGGTGCACACTATACAATTAAATTGATAAATTGAATTAGAAACAATTCAACGAGTAAATTTCTTTTATGTGTTGATATTAGACTTAAATTACCATATCCATAAGTCCTGGATAAGTATTCTGAGTGTAAATTATATTTGAATACCAAGTTGATGAGCAAACTTTTGCTCGATTATAAGCAATTAGTTGAGAAAAAGGTCCATCGGAAAACAATGGAGTCACCATTTCAAGGTTAACAATTAAAGCCATCAAAATTGATGTACTAGATCAAATATAAGAACAATTAACAATCAGCAAATCAATAGTAGATTAAATGAAAGATCAATTAAATCAATTCAATCATCCAAATAACTGTAAATTGTTTCAATATCACTCACCAAATTAATCTTCTCAAAATTATATTGATGAAATAACTTATTGGTGTATCTTTGTTTGTATTTGGCCATTTTTGAACAACATTTTTGAGCCCACTGATTATAATTGAAATCATCATGTAATTAATCAGTTGATAAGATTTGATTGTTATACTTACGGGATAATAAACAACGCATCAAATATGCTGTCAAATGAAATGACATTAATCCAAACACTTTCTTTATATTTGGTCATCGGATTTTGTGAACCTTTGATTGAGATAATAAAAAATTAACACATGAAAATGAAACTAACTGATTCACTAATTGTTACCATAAAGCGATCCACCATGAGTGAAAATGGGCCAAATTATAGCGTGGAAGATTAGTACACCGAAGTGCATGATAATTTCGCAGACCAAAATGTATCGAAGTCTATAATTTTCAATTGGTGGCGAAAATGTGGCTTTCCAATTAGTCTCGATCGAAAAACATTTAATCCATCGAATTTGATTGTTGGGAAAAATCAAAACAATCAAGGAACAAATTATACTTAAGGTAATGAGAAAACCTAATATTGATCTACCAAAAAAAAGAAATCAGTTATTTTGTATTCAACTAACTTTTATTCATGATAATCAACTTACACACTAATTTTTGACTCAATTGGTAATCCAATAAGTTTATCAGTTATTGATTGTTTCACTTGACATGAATCAACTGCAATCACTTTCCATGAGTAACTTTCCAATCCTTTGGAGTAATTAAAGATTATTAATCAATAAAATCATTTAAATTGGGCGACAGTTAATAAATTACCTTTTTGAACTAAAGTGTGAATATCATCTGATGAGCATGATGATGGTAAACAAAATCCAACTTTGATTGAAAGCCCATCTTCAAAAGAGATTAGTTTCTCTCTGGTAAATAGATGATAATTATCTGATTGTTTAGTTGATTCAACTGGATTAACTGAAACTAGACAATGTTTTCCTGATTCACTTTGATTGTTTCTAGTCCAAGATAATCCCAAACATTGATCATAATTACCAATATCAAGGTAACCAGATCCAGTCAGGTCACTAGGAGCTCGTCCTGAAGATTCAATCACTGATCCAACGATCCAACAATTAAAAAACAAATCAATCAAATGTACAAATTAAAAATTAAAAATTAACATTAAAACTTACACTTGAATGGCCAATCTTCACCTAATCCAATTGATTGGTTAACAGTTTTTAAACTTTGGATACACTGACCAGTTAATTTTAAACTACTCAAATCAACCGAGTCAATTGTTGACCAAACTGATGAACCAAATCCAAATCGTAACAAGACCGATTGTCGATGCGAATAATCATTATATCCTTTCCTAATTCGAACAGAGATATTCGATGTAAATTTAGAATGGACATTGGTCAAAGAAAAGAGAAAAAAGTAAAAAACGAATCGGAAAGAGATCATAACAAAGGTTAAAAAGTCTTACAGTCAATCACTAGCCACCGGAGTATAACTGTTAATTTTGATAACTTTATAATCGTTATTATTACTTGAGTTATAATCAAATACAATCACTGACAGCACGAAGGTTAACTTGATATTTATTTACCATCTGATTGCCTTGGGCGATTTATCAATCATATAAAAGATACTACATGTATCTTCAATATTATCTTCGAGAAATCTAAGACGAATACATTTGATGTGTTAATCTTTATAATTAAAACCACAAAGAGATAATCAAGTCTCTTGATCAATTACGAGTACAGAATAAATTTTGTTGTTTTTATTCTCAGAAAAACGTCGCGATAATTAAATCAGAAAATCAAAGTTAATTTGTAAAGTTTCAAAAGCTAAATTCATTTGGATAAAGATTAAGGTGATGAGATCTGAAAGCCTCACATCAGAATTTAATGATCAGTAATAAACTTTGAGACAATTTATAAATCGAGGTTAAAGTTTTGATTGGATCGGACAATCAGACTGGGTAAAATTTGCGAAAATCAATTTTATGTTTAAAATCTTCAGGTACGATGTCCAATAGACTCAGGTGAAGAGAAAGGTGATTATAATGATGAACGGAAGGAATGGCCCCAGATCGTTGTACAGAACTGATGATGTAATCGAAGTAGCAAAGCGATGGAAATTGTGTTAGTCAAGAACCGAAAATATTTTATTTATATTAAAGAATAACTTGATTATTACTCAGTGTTAAGAAAAAAAGGTATTTAATCTGAGAAAAAAACACGATTTATTCTTTGCTTTTAATTAATGCTAATTTCGGTTTAGTAATTAAATTGACAAGGTTGCTCAACGTTGATTCCTGTCTGCTTACCTGCTGATGATGAAAAATAAAGATGAATTATCCTTGATTTTATTAATTACTGAACTAGAATGAGGTGGAGGTGGAAACACGTTGGTATATTCCTATTGAAAAGGCTTGTATTTAATTCAACTTATTTTCCATCATTTTAAACAATTTAGAAAAAAAAACTCAAAAACTTTTGCATTCAAACCAGAAGCCCGATAATTGTTATCAACAATCTAATTGTGTGTTGTTAATTAAATCTATCATGTAGATTGATAAAACAATTAGATGGAAAAAAGTTTCCAACTTAAGAGTAATAATTGGGTGTTATTTCTCAATGTAAAGAAAAAGTAATCACTTGAATGGGGAAAAAGTGTAATCAAGCAAAGAGAAGCAAAAAGTGTCTACAACACCGGGGGTTCCCAAGTGGTCTCCCTCCCAAGTACTAACCCGGCCCGAAGCTGCTTAACTTCGGAGATCGGACGGGATCCGGTGCTTTCAGCTTGGTATGGTCGTAGACGAAAGAAGGAGCTTAAAGTGTGTACTTAAATAACAGTTAATTTCAATAATTTATTAACAGAATTTTAGTCGAAAAAGATCCCATCCAGTTTGTTTAAATTGAACATTGAGGAAAAAAAGATTAATTGAATTCGATTTTGCGATTAATTCCAAGTTTTCGAGCACATCGTGGACACGAATGTTCAACATCTAAAGTAATATCTGTATAAAAGGGGATTAGGCAGCACCCAAATACACAACCTACTACACAGCAACCAATCGATACCAACCAAGCAAGTAAACCTGATTTCCGACTAGTTAAAGTGATCACTTGCTCGTTACATGTTGGACAAATCACGTTCTGAGGATAAGGTCCAAATCTCGTAGTACCAATAGTAACTATTGTAATAGTTGAACATAAAAGAGAACAAATTGTTTTCCAACAATTAAACTAAGTCTCAATAGAAAATCAATTGATCAACTTACCGACTCGTTGTCCGTTCTGAGCTGAGGTTGGTGGTATATGAGATACAAGACCAGGAGGTGGAGGTGGTGGTGGATACGATGGACCAGCAACAGTATACGATGGCGGTGGAACTGGTTGATGTGGTATGACTGGAGGTTGAGATTCAGGGTAACCAAATTTGACTGAATCCATGTTGAGTTAATTGGTAATAGATTGAAAAATGAACACAACACTTTAACTGAGTAATGAAATCAAATAAAGACGAGAAACAATTGATGTGTTTTATTTTTATATGATTACACATTTATCAGTGAATCGTAATCAACAATCAACGTAATGACTAATCACTAGGCTGCCTTATCCAATAATAATAATCAAGTGATGATAATAATTTTGAATTGATGACAATTATTTGAGTAAACTCAGATAATTAATTGTTGAGATTCAATGGACATTGGTTAGTTGATTAATCAGTATTGGTTATTTGATGAGTAACCTAATCAATGTCAGATTATTGATTACAATTTAAAAATTCTTAAAATCTACTTGATTTCAACCTATCATTTAACAAATTGACCACTTTTACTTCTGACTGTTATTCCAATTATTTAAATACATTAGATTGATTTGCTTTTTTCTGCCAATCAATTGGTTAATTTTAATCAAATTGTTGATAATGAATCAGAATCTCCAACAATTTACATAAGAAAATACCTTTCTATTAACATATCAACAATCAAAGTGTAGCTAAAAAGTATAACCTTTAATTGTGTCTATCAAATCAAAGTACGATGATTATTGATCAATTTAAGAAAAAATTAAACAGAGAACAGAGTCATCTTTTGCCAGAACAATCAACTAATCAAATAGTTTAAAAACTTTTCATTGCGATTTAAATCTAATGGATATACTTTTAATGATTTAATAAATTGTAGAAATGAGAAATTCAGATTACAGAGTTAAGGGACCGGCCTTTTATTTGAATGCTCATGATAAAGATTCAAATTATTGGTATGTTTTATTTACAAATTAATTAACTATCCAAATAGTAAATGACAATTAGGAAACTATGGAAGTCTGTAAAAAAGTTTATGATTAAGAAATTGTTATGAAATTAGAAAGGTGAAATTATTTAACAAAATTAAATTTGATTAAGAATTTTTTTCCTCATCATTGGATTAATTTTACTAATATGATAAAAGGATATTTAAATTATGATGATGAAAATAACAATTGATTTGTTACTGTTTGATTTTTGAGTATATTGGCTTTGGGTTAACGAATTGTAACAATTATCATGTTGAATTTGATTAAGTGTTTAATCACCAGCCACTTCCACCCCATCCACCACTCCAACCACCACTCCAGCCACCACCCCACGAAGGCATAGGCCAAGAGGGCATCGGCCATGAAGGCATGTGTTTGGAAAACTCTGGAAGTTCAATTTGTTTGGTGAATTTCAAAATACTGACAAACAGAAACAAAAGAGACGAAAACACAATTAACTTTGATTGTCATAACAATTAGAAACTTTAAGATATTGGGCAAAATACTTACGGAATCGGAAGTGGCAGTGGAAGAGGAAGAGGAAATAGAAACTTTTTGGCAGGTTTAAGGGCCAATAAATAAGGAAGTAGTTTCTTTAATTTCTTGAGCTTCAACAATTTACCCGAAGCCACTGGTTTGATGTAATCACTTGTGATCAATAGGATTAAAATCAATGAGATTAACAATGATTTAGTAATCAACGAAGATTTCATTATCATTGTGATCAATATATTCACCAATAATTTTCCGAATTCAAACTCACTGATCTTAATTGTTGAGATAACGGAGGAAGAAAATTTTATCACAATTACACAGGTCGAATATGTAACAATCAATATGATTAAAAGTAACAATTAAAACTTTTTTCCAACTAATCTTAATACTTGTAAGTGATAAATGATGAAAATTTGGTAAATTGTAAATCCAAGTGAAAATCACATTTCAGTTATTAAATTGTTACAATTGTTGTTAACCATTTGTACCAATCAATCAAAATGATCTGAACTACAATCAGAGTCAATCTTTTATATAAGGTAACAATTAAGTGAGACGATGATGAGGAAAGAGAGTGAGAATGATATTATCAAAAAGTGAGAGTAAATCATCATCCTTATCATCATCATCATCATATTCATCTTTATCTTCATCATCAATTCAGTTTCTAAATCAAATCAACCTTTAATCCCTATTGTTGATATTTGAACTGAATTTTCATCATGATTAGCACCACGATTTAGTGAATCAAATGTTCATCCCAGTGCTGACAATTAACTCTTTAATCTTAACTAATCAGTGATTGAATATCACGATTTATCATTTAGCATCATTATTATTATGTCTTAATTGTTTTATTGATTAAGAGCTGGCCAACTATTCAGTTAATCTGGTTAATTAAGTTGATTAGAAATGTTAATTGTATCACCAACTATGGTAATGATTAAAATCAATTGTTTCTAATTTTCAAGCCAATCAAGGAAATTAATTGTTCATCTATCAAATAAATTGCGATCAAAAATAATTTGATCAAATAATAATAGTACAATAATTAAGAGGGAAGAAACAATTTAATCTAATCAATCTCAGGCCTACATGAGTTTAAATTGTTATTTTGATTTTTCACCGTTGATTTGACCAACTAATCAATGAAATGAAATGATGATGATGATTTTCTTGATTGTGATTGATTTTTATAACAGTAAATTGTTTGATTGTGAAGTGAAAGTGATGGTTTCACTGATGATGATTGTTAATTGCGTCGGATGTTTTCAATTGTTGAATTAACACAACAAATTGAATGTTAATTGTATATGAGTGTAAAATTTTAACATGGTAACTGTTTAGTTAATTATTTTAATAGTTGATTTCATGTTCAATTGATTGACAGTTGAATAAGTGTTTGGTTTAAATTGTTGTTTAGCTCATTTTACCAATTAAATTGAATCATTTTTAGGCTTTAAATCTGATTCATTTTTCGAGTCAATAGTTAATTTGACAATTAATAATCTCATTTGAAAAGGTGAGAATCAAGTGATTTAGATCAATTTTTTTTCTCTTGATTAATGATTAAGATCATCATCTAATATATTGGAAAATGGAAAAATGATAAAATCAATTGATCATCAACATCAATCAATTGTTTCCTTTCCGGATTTTTATCTAATAACAATTAAGTTAATTTTTATCTCATTTAAAGTATGATGATAAGTCTAATTGTCCATCAACATCATGAAAGGTTTAAAGGTTATTAGATTATTCAAATTGATTTAAATCATTGAAAGAGTATAAAGTCAACAGATCGATAGATAATCAATCAAATTTAGTTGATTGTCTATTCAATGTTAATTTACTTCATTTGAGAGATAATTAAATTTTTATTGCATTCGTTTTTATTGTGGTGATTAGATCACTTTGTCCACTTTAATGTGATACAAAGAGTGATTTGTTAATTGTTTCGCGACTTTTTTGTTAATATTATTGATAATTAGTTAATGATGATAATGATTAAGATCATAGTCATTGTCATTATCATCTTATTGTTTGGTTATTATTTGGAATTTGAGTTAATTGCAATTATTTAATTGTTGTTTGATTTTGTTTATCGGTGGTTGTTTTCAATTTCTGTTTCATTGTTTGTCCATTGATTATTTACAATTTGGAACCGTATTGATCAATAAATTGATCACAGATTCTGGTGTCATGAGAATGACCTGAAATTAGACGGCAAAGTAAATCGAATCGACATTTTTTCTCTTTACAAGGAGATGCAAAATCGGATTTAACATTGTAATTGTCGAAGAATGAATTGAATAGAGTGTCATTAGAGGCCATTGTGATGACTAAATTATTCCAAGCGGATGGATCTAAATTAGTTAAATTGTATTCATCTAATGGTGAATATGAGTTGCTCCATTTTGTTACACCATTGGGATCGGTATTCGCTTGGGTTAGATTGAGGAAATAAGTTTCCGTGTCGACAATTGTGTAAGGCCAATCGGTTTGATTGGTGGCCATTGAGTAAACCCTGTAGCTTGGATTGACCCCACCAAAGGTTGTTACACTTGGTCCAATATAACCAATTGAAGTGGGTCGAAGGTTACTAAATGGTGATTGGGATGATCCTTTATTGTTGATCATATCTTCAATGTCATAGAAAAGGACAAACTCATCTTGATGAGTGTGACCAAAAAATTGTGCGGTAATTGTTGATTCAAATCGGTTAATGATTCGATAATAATTACGAGACCAAACTTGAAGGCAATCATTTGATCCTGGAGGAATATGTCCAATTAAGTGAACCTTTTCACCGGCCAGTTCACTAACTTGAAGCTCATTAATTAACCAAGTTAATTCATCTGCAGGATCAGTTGAATTAAGTAATAACCACCAATTTAGATTATTACAGTAATTCATGTTCAATGAGATTAACTTTAATCCAGGTTTTATTTTAACAGCATAATAACCACCTCTAATCAATCAAAAATGGAGGAAAGTAATAAACAATTAGATTCATCATAATTTGGGAACAATAGATGATTTAGTAAATCGTTTGATTGATTTTCATACTTAGCAATTGTCTTGAGAGTGTCTTGAGGAAGCCATTGAGACCAAACTTCCGTCAGTGTATCGTAAAGCCATGAGATTGAATATGAATCCTTGACATACGGCGGAGGGAAACTAATGGATATAAGATTAATTAGAGATGGAAAAATGATTAGAATCAACTAATTAACTATCAATTGGAGGCTCACCTGTTGACGGGAACAGATTCATGATTTCCCAATGAGGGATAAATTGGAATATCACCAAGATAATGATTAATTAGAGTGGAAATTTGCTTAAGTAATTTAATTTGTCCCTCTTTGGTTTGATTCCAAACATCATGAGGTGGAATGTCTCCTGTCCAGATAACATAATCAATGTCTTGGTGGTTTCGTTGGACATCTTTAAGCATCGCTTGAAGTGTTCGAAGTGGAATGTCACATCCTCGATAATCTCCCCAGTAACCTGCTCCAGAATTATTGTATCGACGTCGTTTGTGTACAGTTAATGGTGATCTACAGCAAAGAGGTAAACCACAATCAACATCACCACCGGTCAAATATTGAAGGTCAACGTGAGTATCGGAAATATGAAGTATCTTGGTTTTGGGGACATCGACTGTACGTCCAGAGGGTGGAGTGGGAACTGGTGGTTTAGGGATTGGGGTTAAGGGTATTGTCCAATTGTGAAGTGGATTGTAAACTTCGGCACACGAATCTCCTAGAATTGTACCACAAATTTCCGTCGGCGAGAAGGCCAATTGAGATACAACTTCGACAAATTCATCCTAAAAAAAATAAAATAATCAAATGAAAGAAACAAAACATTAATTATTTATACACATAGAAAATAGACCAGAACTTATTAATAATCTTACACAATCGTCTTGAAGTGATTTACGAACAATTAATCAAAGAAGTATTTAAGAATTTCAATTAAATTAATCAACATCAAAGTGGATCAGAAATTAACCAATTAAGCATTCAATTTTCTAATGAATGAGTTAAATTTAATTCTGTGGGTAAATATACATCATCTTAATCTTATGTAAATAATTTATAATTAAATTGTTTGAAAAATGATCAATGATTTAGGATGATTGTCATTCACTGTCCATCATTTTGATTAAGCTTTTGATTAAATAGAGACCAATTGATGATCAATTTTCCTCCTTCATTGATGGTATGGTTTTGGCGATGATTGGAAATTAAATCTTAATCAGACAAGAGATAATTTTCTAATCGCATTAAGTTTAATTTCAACAATCAACTTCCGCAATTAAACCCGGAAATTTATCACCAATCAGGTAACAAATTAACTTTAATTCACAGCTTCTCATTTCTCTTCAATTCATTTTCAATTGATAATATAATAGGAAAAGATAATCTTTTCAGATTAAGATTAAAATACCTTGCAGTTTATTTTCATTGGATTTTAAAACCATGAAAATAATGATTAAAGGTAATCACAATCAAATTAGATTCTCATTCACTATAACATTTATATAATACAAAACAATCAACAGAAAGTGTTGAAAGGTAAAACTATTTACAAACATTTACAGGTTAACTTGATAACTAACAAGAATTAACAATAGCAATTGTCTTGAAACAAGTTAGATAACCTAATGAATAGGTCAATATTTAAATCTAAAATTAGATTGTGTCACAATGGATCAACAGGTATCATCAACAATTAACAAATAATGAGGATATAGAGTGTATTCCTTATGAAGATGATTGATAAACTGATGAAATTATGTCCATTGGTTGTTCATTAAGGGTCATTTGTTTGGACAGAGAAGATGAATCTGATTGATCTAATGGTTGATTGTTGGTTAAATTAATTGTCGCCGATGATGATAATGATGAAGAAGAAGATGATGATGATGAGCTTGGTTTACTTGTTTTCGGTGGTAAGAATCCTTTCCATAGTTTATTTATCTCATCAGGAAGATGTTGATGCCAAGACTTTAAATAGTATCGAGTATATTTTCTTAATTGTCGAAATTTACAAAAAGTTGCCTCTCCATCAGAAACTTCCTTGGTTTTAACGAGAAATCCATTGGTGCGAAATTCATTTTCTAATTTAGCTTTAATTGTATTACGTTCATTAGAAGGTCCATTTTGATTGTTACGATTAAGATGATGATGATGATGATGATGAGGGGCAATATGATGTTGATGATTTTTTACTGTTGAATTATTGTTATGGACTTTAAAATGTCCAACACCAGGAATTGTTGATGTAGATCCTCTGGATGAATGATGGAGATGATGATTAGATGAACTGATTGATGAGATCGATGATGAAGAAGATGATGGAGATGAATTTGTTAAATCAGCTGATGTTATAATTGGAATACGGTGTTGTATATGTTGTTGTTGTTGTGGATGATGATCGTTAGATAGATGAGGTAATAACAATTTACTTTGTCTTAATAAGACCATTGGATCGATTCCTGTTGCTGTGTTTGGTGTTGATGGTGAGTTTACACTTGTAATTGTTGTTGGTGTTGGTGTTAAAATTGATTGTTGTTGTTGTTGATCGGTAAATAAATAAGGTAAAAATGATGCCATCATTGTCTGAGGTAGTTGTTGTGAAGTAATTTGAGTTCCAGGTATGAGAACAGGTAGATAATCAAACAATTGACTACATTGGTCATCTTTTAGTGTTTTCCTCTTAAGTAGTGGACGTTTCCTTGCAGTTGACAGATCAAGAGGCTCGTCTTGGTTTCTATGATTAGAATCGTTTGCAGATTCATCAGCATCATAATCACAATTATCTTCATCAGCATCACAATTAGATGGACTTTCAGATGATCTTAAAAATCGTCGGACAGTTGAAGGTTTTCGTCGATTGATTTTACTTGCTGATTTAGTTGTTGTTGTTGTTGGCATTAGAAAACCATAATTACCATTAATTGTAATACCTGGATTAATATTATCCCTACCACTACCCCCAACATTGATCACAGTGTAATTACTGATTAAATCATCGATATGATTAGATTGATTATCAACACGATTAATCTCATTGCGAGCTAATAGACTCCCAAGGATTGATTGTGAGGTTAAATCGTCATTGTTAATTATTGTTGGTGTTGGTGAAGTATCATTATAAATCATTGGGATATCTTGTGATAATAATTGGATTGATTGTTGACAAAAATCATTTTTATCACTTTTAATTGGTGTTGATTGTTGTTGCTTCTTCTGCCAGTTGCAAACATTAATCTGCTTCGAACCATTTTCTTCCTTTAAACAATGTCCAGTTAGAACATTTTCACTAGAACCTCGAGTTCGTGAAAAACATGACAACTCTTTGTTCGGGACAAAGTTATGAAACTTTAATACGTTACAATCACGTTTACGAGGACGTTGATTAGTTAATCTTTCTGATGATTTAATTGTTGATGATCCTGTTGGTATTGGGTTGATCATTGTTGTTTTGATAAATGATCATCAATAACAATCAACTTTATCACAGAATAATTGTTATTTAAATCAAAAACATGTAATAAAAACTGTAGTTAAAACTCATAACTGATTGAGTGAAGTAATCAGATTAACTAGATTGTTTCAACTAAATTGATTTTGATTGTCTTGAATATTAAAAGAGACACGACAATTTAACTAAGAAAGGGCAAAAAAGCAAGAGATGAAATTCAAACAAGTGGATGTTAGGGGATGAGGATTAAGATTATGAGGATGAAGATTAGGATGATGATGATGATGATGAAGAAAATGCGTAGTCTTAATGGTGCTAAAAAAACTTTTACTTAATTTTTCGTTTTTCTTCCATAGAAGATAAAAAACTTTTCTTTTCGAAGTAATTTAAAGTTAATTTAGTTCTAATCGTTTAGTAACTGAGTTGCGCGAATTCGTTGATTAGATCAAGTATCTATTCAACGTATGAAATTAGTAAATTTTGTTCCTACTCTTCAATTTTACTAGACCATTTTTGGTAAAATCAAGTATCGTTAGCGAATATTTTTTTGCTTCATCTTCATCATATTCATCTTCTCTCTCTCTTCTCTATTTTGTTGTCTGCTTGGGTTGCATCTTCTTAAAATTATCTTCATCACTTTCTCTTCTTCCCATTTTTGGCTTATATCTGGCTCACAATTTCCATCGGCCTTGTCTATTTGTGGTTCCTTCTCACTTATCATCCTCATCCTCATCATCTAAAGTCAAATGCCTTTGGATAAAACCTTATGAAGATAACTGTACTTTCTATCTTTGCATTTTCTTAATCATCATCAACATCATCATCTTCTCTTTCTTTTCTTATCTTTCTCTTCACAGTTTGTTCCAATTAAGGACTTGTTAAGATGAGAATGATGAAGAAACCATCCGATTGCGAGTTCGTTTATTACGAGAAACTTATTTCAACTTCTTAAAATAATTTAACATTATTGGAACATGTTACTTTTAAATTCATCATAACGCAAACCACAACAATTTAAATTGATTGAGATGAACATTAAATGTGACCTTGAACAATTAATAACAATTTGGGTACAATTAACAAGGAAATTCAGCTTGGTGAAAGTTGCATCAAAATCTCATGATGGAAAAACAGTTCAACCCTTTGTTATTATATTTTGTATTCTTTTTTTTTTAACTACGAAGATTAGATTACAATCAATTAATAATTAACTGATTATTCTATTATTATTGTTTATCATGTTTCAAACAATTTTATCATGAAAATAAGTTAGATTAACTAATTGAGGAAAAACAATTATTGGGAAAACTTACCAGCTGATAAAATGGTTTACAATAATAACTATTGTTTCAATAGAATCATTGATTTTAAATTGATTTAGTTTTCACTCATCACACCATAATTGATTGTCAACCTGGTAATTAATCATCAATCTAATCCCTTCCTCTATTACATAAATCGTTTCCTTAGCTCTACTTGTGTGATCTGAAATCCACTGAAATAATCTGATTAATGCTGAAATTGATGATAAAATTTTCCTAAGTAACTAAGGCTTGAATCATCATTAATTTAATTGTGATTACTTGGAAAATTCATTTAGGAAAAACCACTTATTAATCAATTGGAAAATTGTTACAATTGTTGGAAATGAGATAAATTTGATTATTGGTAACATTAAACCAAATCAACCAAAATCAATATTATATCATAATCATAATCATCATCTTATCAATCATTAAGATGTTAATTTGATATTTATAAAACCATTAAATCACATGATTAACAGACAATTAAAGTTCATGAAACATGATAACTGTTGGCAATCATACTAATCAATACAGAATCGTTTAGAATATCAAATAATATAATCGGCTGAATGATTCTGAATTCTGGTGAAAAAAAAATCAAATTGTCATTCAGCAATCTAATCCTAAGAATTTGGATTATAAATAAAGTCTTAATTGTAATTATCTAGATTTCCATTTCCTCTGGGAGGATTTAACTCTAATCAAAAGAGGATCAAGATTAAATAGATCAATTTACTCCCAAGGGTCAGTAAGATTAAACTAAACCTTGACCTCTGGATTTTCACAATTTGATGACAATTGGAAATGAGAAATTTTAAAATGCAAATCAATTGATTGTGTAAAATTGTTTCTAATTAACAACAAGAAACTCACCTTGTAGGTGTTGATGATTCCTTGGCAAACAACCTTATCCTCAATTTTAAGGGTCACACAAATGGTCAAGGCCAATTTAGCCATTTCCTCTTTACCTTTTCCATATTCAATGAAATGCTGAATTAAGGCCATTCCAAATTTACAGGCATAACAAGTCGCTTCGGTGGCTCGACTTTCCTTAATATCCTCGACCACTTGTTTCAAATTTAACATCTCAAATATATTAGATATTAAAGTCACTAGGAATCGTTGACCATAGAAAGAGGAAGATGTTGATCCGGACGATGAAGATGATCCAGAGATCAAATTGTTATTGGCATTATTGTTATCATCGTTGATTAATGTGTTAGCAGGAGAGGTTATTGTAATATCCGGTGGAGGGGCAATGACGGGAAACAGAATCAAAGTGATTCCAAATAGAGTTAAAATTAGAGTCACTGTCACTGATTTAATGGTCATCATTTTCAATGGAGGATTAACAATGGTAATTGTTTCTTTATCCGTTTGGATAATTGTTTTAACCTCAAGTTTAATTGTGGCTTCTTTTTGATTTATATTTATTGTTATATATAAATACTGTTCAGTAGTTTATTAACCAATTGGTTAGATAAATTAAATTGTCGATGATGGTGTGTGGTTATTAATTAAATCACACACATAATTACAAACAACAATTACCAAGACAATTATCACTTCTCATCCATTAGATTAAAGATGGAGGAGGGAAAAAAGTTGATCAATTGAAGACACAAAGAGGACAAAAGTGGCACTGAGAGAGAAATACGACAAATATGGAAGATGGAAATCAATGGATCACAATTGATGGATAATCACAACAATTAAGTAGAGAGAGAGAGAATAAAAAAATAGAAACTAAAGGTTAAGGTCACAATAGAATATAGAAAATAAAAAGCCAAAGGATTAATCTTTACGTTGGAAGATTAATGAAGTTAACATTGATTGACAGCGAATTGGAATCATGTTAGTTAACGGAGAGAAACACTGAACACATTATATGATTTGGATAGAGAATTGTCCTTGAATCCGGATTAATGGTCACAATTTAAATTCTGAACAAGATTAGAATTGTTGTCAATAGAAAAAGAAGAAAACATTTTCTTTTTGTCTTCTTTTTATTAATTCTTCTTCTTTTTTATTTTCTTCTTCTTCTCTTTAAATAGATGGAGCCACGAATTTTCACTTATTCGTATTGTTGTGTTTTCTTTTTGAAGAAAAAAAAACAAGATTAACAAAAAGATGTAGATTAAGATGAGAACAATTTATATAAATTGTGAGATCAACGGTGTGTGATAACGGAGATCCGTGGTTGTCGGTTGACTGTTCAAGTGGCCTCGGTTTGCTTGGTTAACTATCAAATCAACATCATCATTTTCTCAATTGTTGTTTTGTCATCGTTGTCAAGGAGGAGGGAAACAGATGAATGTTAATGATAATTGAAATTAAGATGATGATATAAAGGTAAATTGTTTATTATCCACTGATTATGATAACTAAACGGGAAAAGAAATGTTTTCACTAGTTAACTAATTTCTTGTTTTCTATTCTCAATCTCAATCTCTCTCTCTCTCTCTCTAGTTCTCTCTCAGGCCTGGAAAACTTGATTTCTTTTCTTTCTCTTGGTGAAAAGGAGCAACGGCAGAGAAAAAAGTGATCTTCCTTTTTCTTTCCTGGAAACACCTTCGTTCTTAGTACCTGATGAGCAGATCACCTTTCAAGTTACTTTCATTTCTTGTTAATCATCAATTATCTCAACGATTATAAACAAACAAACAAACAAACGCTTCACAATGATTGACCTGTACCTCGCATTTAACACACAACAACAGTTACACTTGACCTTAGAATTGGGTTTGTTTTTTATTTCTCCCTTGATCATTGGTACTGATTCACTTTGGTACCATTTTCATTTGGTATTATCAAGTTTCTGATTCATGTCAATGACAACAATTGACTTTGTTATTTATTTTTTCATCTAATCCCCTTTTTTTCTTGTATTTATTTTCTTGATTCAGATTCTACCTGATGATTATCCTATTGAGCAAAGAGCTGAAAGAAGATAAAATTGAAAAGATAAAGAGTGTTTGGTCTTCCATTGAGATGACTTAAGTGTGTCCAACGAATGGCCTGACCTGATAGAGAATCAAAGAGGAAAAAACAACAAGATGTTTACCTGGTGTTTAAGCGGAAGAAGTTGAAGATCTTCTTTCCATCTTATTTACTTTATCATCTTCTACCTTGTTGAAGGTGTTTCTCTTCATTGATCATCGCCATCATCATCATCATCTTTTTTACTTCCTATTGAGATGTTCACTCTACTGGTGTCAATGTACTGGGTAAAAGTAAACTAACCTGTCTTAATATTAATCTTTTTTTGCCAAAACAAGATTGACCTTCGTTAAGCCTGTGTAGCTTTAATTACTTGATGTAATTGTCGCTATTGATCAGAAATCATCAGCTAATCAGGAAAATTCATTGATCATAACATCGGATCACCATTCAGACATAAACAACTTACATCAAGCCTTAAAAATAGTCTACCAAGTAGACCAATTTATTAATTACTTTCTTTTTTTCCTTAAAACCAGAACAAAATTAGAAAGTAAATTATTTATTTTGTTTTATTGTCTTTCCATGTTAATTGTTCATCAAACTAATCTGGTTATTCAAGTTCCTGTCCTGGTTTTTTTTTCTAATCATCAGTTTTATCCCCATTGGATCAGAATTCATTTCACTAATCATGAACCTGTTGGATGAATTTTAATTGTTTTCATGGTTGAAAGAAGTCACCACCATCATAAGAATCAAATAACAGTCTGATTGTTGACGAATAAAAATGTTAACAGTTAACAATTTGATTCCAAAAATAACTGGACCTTTGTTCATGAAACCGAAAATTGAATAAACTTTCACAATGAACATTTATCAATTAATTGTGATATTGTAAATTTGTTGTATAAAAAAAAAGGAGAACCAATTGAAATGCTTTATTTAAATTGAATTTGTTTTCTTTATATATACCAATTGACTAACTCTAAACTATTCGATTAATTTTTTAGTTTTGAAGAATTTTTTAAGATACAAAACTTGCCAAGAAGCCAAACCCAATAAACAGAACATTGAGAAAATACTTAGATATAAAACTCGGGTATTAGTTGATTCATTGGTGTCTCTCATCTCTTCTTCACGTTTTTTCATGTGTTCAAAATCTGATACAATGGAGGCCGATAAATCTTCCAATTTGGTCAACTCCATTTCAAGAGGTTTGAGTTTACCAATGTGTGCAAGCTAAATAAAAGAACAAAGAACAAAAGTAAATTAGAGAAAGTAAAGAAAATTAATTGTAATAACCAGAATTTACCATATTGGAAAATGATCCATTTAACTTACCTCATCATAGCTTTTTGCTTCAACCCCATGTTTCATTTCCAGATGTACTTCTCTTGGGCCAACTTGATGTCCAGGAGTAAGGTAAGAGACGAAGCAAATATCGTAAATATCATCCTCATCAGCAGTTATGACAAACTTTCCTTTGTCAATTGATTCTCTATTAAGAGCTGTGTGCCCTTTACTATCCAATACTTGAAGATCAGTTCGGACACCGACACCTTCAGAAAGATCATACTCTCCAGATACCAAGACATCTTTCCTCATCTCCTCCTTAAGGCATCTTCTTGTATTAGGCTCAAGGTGGAAACGAATAGAATCAACAAGGATAAAAAAAATAGAAAAAATTATTAATTTGAGAATCATATTGTACCACTGATTATTAATTGTTTGAAAACAAAAAGAAAAACAAAAACTTTAAACAATCAAAATGGATTCTTACAAATGTCTTGTTGGTATTTCTCCGGATCGTTGTCATGACAACCGGTCAACTTGAGCTCCTCTGGTGGTGAACATTTACCCGCTCATTATGAAAAAGGAAAAAGATTCTAACTACATGTAATTATTCAATCGAACTCATTTTACCAAAATGAAAACAAACTACAAAATTTTCATCCAATTACAATTCTGTAAAATATTCTAGGCATCTAAAAGTCAAAGATATCAACTTTGGAACATTTTAATCAAATATCCTCATTGAAAACTTTCAATAGATATAAGTCAATCAACTCGATTCTTCATTCATTTCGATTATAATGATAAGCTAACTTTATGTTTCTCATATTAATGGTTGATATTATTTGAGACCATCAGAATACTATCCATCGATAGCTATTAAAAAGTTTAAATACTGACTTATCACCAACTTTCTTGTCTACGACCATACCAAGCTGAAAGCACCGGATCCCGTCCGATCTCCGAAGTTAAGCAGCTTCGGGCCGGGTTAGTACTTGGGAGGGAGACCACTTGGGAACCCCCGGTGTTGTAGACACTTTTTGCTTCTCTTGATTAAAAATTTTTCCCTTTTTTCCATATACAAACAGTCGAATAGCCCCTGAAACAACAATCTAAATCAATACGAGCCTTAATCGGTATCTGGTTTGCTTTTGTCTTTAATTTCAATTCTAATGGTAACCAATGTGATCCATTTTCATCAATTAACTCTTCTGATTGTTGTTAAATGATCTGCAAGAATTACATTAATCATCAACACCAACAATAATTTCAACTACCACCATTGTCTTAACATTAATTATTTTGCCAATGGAAACACCAACGGAAGAAAAATTTTCATGAAACTTTTTTTCTTTATTGTTAACTGTTTTGTTCTGTCTGATTATTTGTTTATGGAAATTAACTAATCATTAACTTAATCATAATAATCAAATGAGTAAATAAATTAACATTTAACTTAAATTGAAATAAACTCAATGACAAACAATAATTCACAATTGAAGCTCAACCAACTCAAATTTTTAATTTCAAGCTTCTGGATTTTTCAATGATACTGTTTGTAATTGATTGTAATACTTTTTGATTACTTTACAACAATCAACAAACAATCATCACACCAACAACCATTTAAATTGTGATTATAACCACCAAATCAATGATAATGATGATGATGATGATGATTAAGAATCGGAACAATTTAAATCATCGAATCAAATAATTTTTGTCTCAAAAAAGAAAATTTAATTCTAATCATTTTGATGTAATAATAAGATGATCTGATAACCTTGACGTGGTTACAATTAAAGTTGATTATTGAAAATTTTTGCTTTACGATAATTAAGTGGGAGTTGCAATGCCGTTAACATCACGTTCAGTTGATTATCATCATCATCATCATCATGATAATGATGATAAAAGATTAGCATAATCAACTAAACCATAATCATCATTAACAATCAATGATAATAGTTCACTTTGAACAAATAAAATGATTTAGAAAAAAAAAGTTCGAGAAAAAAAAGTTTGACAAACTTTTTGTTTTCTCGAACGTCATTAGGACTTTAATAAGATGATAATCAAGGAACAATTTAATCAACCACCACCCATAATCATCTAAATGATCATGATAATAAATGATAACAATCAAAAAGTTAATCATAATAATAAGTTAAATATTTGGAAATCAAAAAGAAGATGAAAAAAAAAACTAACAAAGAAACTTTTTTGTTATTAGAACTTTTTTTTTCTTCGACTTTGTATCATCATGATAATCATCATTAAACTATTATCATTTAATTTAATCATTAAAATTTAATCATTGACAGCTCTTGGTTATACTTTCTAAAATAATCAACAATTGAAACTAGAATTGGATTGTTGATTATCTGTAGGGAAAAAATCTTTGTAATTTTTTTGACTCTCCATCTCTTTACTAATCATTGACAATTAACTTAATTGTTAGACTATTATTACCATTAAGAGGTTAGAAACCTGAATCAATGTCAAATCTTTGCAATTGTGATAACAATTTCACCTTGATTAACAAAAAAATTAGTCAACAATTTAGTAATCATCATCGAAATAGTAAAAAAAAAAGTTTCAACCTACGAGAAAATAAATTAACTTAATTTTTTGGTTTATTTTTCACCTTCATTTAATTGTGATTTTAAAAGTGATTAACTGATTACAATTAACCAAAGAAACAAAATCTCAGGTAAAAAACCTTGTCAGAAATTAACTAAAAATATTGAGACAGACAGTAAATTAGTTAATTATGATCAACAATTTAAAAGTAACAATTAGTTTACCTGGATTACAATTATCTTGAAATTGTGAACCTTGAATAAAATTTTTCCGATAATCAAAAAACTTTTACAACAATTAAACTGATCAATTACTAACAATTAAATGTTTAATAAAACCTTGCGAGTTTACTTGTTGATTAGTAGTAGTTAATTGTTACTGATTAGAAATTAAGATAATTATTGATATTGTAGTTAATTACATTCATCTGATTGTCAAACTAATTAAACAAAAAATTAACTGTCATTGATTAGTTATCATTATTAAGGATTATGATTGTAGGAGTTTTAAACAGTTACAATCAAATCCTTGATTAGTTACAATTCAAATCATCTTCAATTCTGTAGGCAATGAAAGTCATAAAATCAACAATTAAAGTTAATTCCTTGTTCCCAATCAATTAATCATCAAATATCATTATAACCTTGAAGACAATAATATTAAATAACCGCAAAGGTCACAATTTAAATTGTGAATCATTAATGATTAACTTAAATCAATCAATTTCTATATTAAATTGATAGAGAAAAAATTTTCAAATCATTAAATCAAGTTAATGATTTAATTTTCATCTCCTTCTCATTAAACATTAACAATATCATCACCAGTTAATTGTTACTGTTGATGATCATTAACCAATTGTCAATTATAATATGAATGTATCATCATTCATTTGATTACAATTGTAAACTGAATTGAATTGATTCCATTCAATTGTAAACTATTTAGACAACAATTTAATTGTAATAGATACAATGATTAGAGATGAGTAATAATAAATTTCATTGAAATGATTTGAGAAAATTATATTAAAAAAAATTCATTAATCAAACTTTTTCAAACTGATTTCTTATTGTGATCAACATTCAACTCATCATATTAATTTAATAATCATGTTAATTGTGAGTAAATTGTAATGATCATTGTTGCCTGATGATGTTGATTGTTAGGTTGCTTGGTGATTTGATTTAATAATTATTATAAATACTTGGGATGAACCGGAAGAAACCATGAGAAGTCAATCAAAAGGTTTATTCACAATTAAGATCATGAATACAATTAGATTGTTGATGAATTAAGAATCACCGAAAGTAAAAAAAAAACGATTTAATTGCATTCATGGTGACCATTTGTGAGCAATCATATTGCGCTTTTATTCACAACAATTAACTAATTACAATTTTGTACTTAGCTATTAAGCACCAAGTAAGCTACTGGTTACAACAATTAACGATTTAAATTAATCATTTGTAATAACCATTTGGATTAAACTTTTCGATTCCAACTGATTGACTGATCAAAACAACTAAACGAAACTAATTGTGAACTTGATATTTATGCCGATTACAAGTTAATTAGAATTATTTATCCGCTGATTCCTTAATAATTCACAGACACACAAAGTAAACAATTAATTATTCAGATGATTGTTGGATGGTATTGATAATTAATCAGTTCTATCTACTTTTTTTCTCCTTTCAATTTGAAATGTTCAAGATCGAGAAACGAACTGAATTTTAATCGAAATTTAAAGAAGAAGAGATTATTAATGATCGATATTGATGATAATCCATCACTTCGGCAATCGTTCATAAACAAATTCGTGATCTATTTACTCTTAAATTACATTTTCTACCTTGATTTGTTGATTAAATTGCTTATCAATGAATTGATTTTAAATCAAACATTATGATTAGTTTAACATGAAGGTGCATTAGATAATCATGATAACCAATCAAAAATATGAATCGGATTAAAAGATGAGATGAAAAAACATTGGGAAAAAAGTTTTTCAATTTTCAACAATTAGTTTGATTAACATTGAAATAAAACAATTCACTTTGATTGTTACCATTGTGATGATAATCATGACAACAATCAACTTAATCATCATCATCTGAGATTCAATGAAACTGATGCTTTGTTTTTTAGTGAGTAGTTTATGTTGGTGGATTAGCAGAAAGAAAAGTGAAAGTATAAACAGAAAGAGGAAAAGAAAGAGGAGAAGATGATGAAGATGAAGATGATAAGTTGTATTACAAGTCCGCCCATGGACAAGCCTTAATAGCGTAATGTGAGTGTCCCTTGGAAAGTTTGGTTCTGCCAAGTGAAAGTTTCGTTCTAAGGACTCATCTCGTTTTCTTCGGATTCCCATTGAATCTTCCTTATAAAACCAATTGAATTTCGAGTAACCAGTTTCATTTAGACTTTGTCTTTAATTGTGATAACATTAACATTTCTGTGAAATTGTGATACACCAACAACAATTAACCCAAACTTAATTCGTTAATTGTGCCAATTCTTCAATTCGACCAAACAACAATTTAAATCCAAGTCAAGTTCCAATTTTACAAAATGAAAGTTTTACATTCGGTAAGAAAAATATTCATCACAATTAATCATCTAATCAGTTTTCTTATTATTATCAATCGAGTTAAATTGGTCAACAATTAACAAATTGTTTACCTTTTCTTTTTCCCTCTCCTTGTGTTTGTGTTTTTTTTCTTCGTCTAATTTTTTTAATTATTCTTGTTAATTGTTATCCAGATTATCCTTTTGTTACCCTTAATCGGGTTATCATTGACCCAGGAATATGTTAACTCCGACCCTGCATCTTACCAATTCAGTTACAATACTGGTGATTCTGGTGCTGCCAAGATGTTCAGAGAAGAGCAAAGGTCAGCTAATGGTCAAGTGAACGGAAAATATGGTTACGTCGATCCTTATGGACACATGAGGTCAGTTATTTACTTACAACCATTTTCATGGACTTTCGTGACTAAAATCGTGACATAATCACTAATTATACGATGATTGTTAAGAAGCTTTTTCGAGTCGTGTGTCATTAGAGTTTAATTAGCTTTCGATTGTGAAATTAACTTTCGAATTTTTTTTCTTCCTTTTGTTCGAACAAAAAAAAACAGAGTCGTTCAATATGAAGCTGGACCACAAGGATTCATTGCTCGAGGTGATGTTGGACCAGATCGTGAAGCCATGAGAATCGCTCGTCAATTAGCCGATCAAGATTATCAAGAGAAATTACCAATTCTTCAACAATGGAACCAAGTTGCAGCTCGATTAGCCGCTGGACCTTCAGTACCCTCTTCATCATCATGGCCTTCATCACCCGTCGTACCACAAACAACACAATCAGCTCAATCTCCTCCCTTACCTCCTTCACCTTCAACCTCATCCGTTGAACGAGCTCGACTTACTGATTACTCATCATCATCAGGTAACAATAATCAAGCCGCTTGGTTATCATCACCTTCAACCGCTGGTGGTCACTCATACGCTAACCATGTTAACCACTACACCTCCAACATCAACTCCGTTTGGCCATCAACTTCAGCCTCCTCCGTCGTCGGTAGATCAGCACCTTTAGTGGCCGCTGCTCCCGTTGTCCCCTCCACCGGCTATTTCAACGGAGCTCCACAAACCTGGTTTCAAATGAGCTCTCATGGACCCAACCCTTATAACATTGCCTACTCTTACTAATCTCACAAATCACCAGCCAATTTTTACCACCCACTTCCGGTTCCAAGTGTTTCTCCTACTCCTCTTTTTTTATACCAATTATACAAAAACAAATCAATTTACTCTCACAATTTGATTGTATTAACATCAATTTTGTTGATGATGACAATTGATGATAAACTTTGAACAATAAACAAAAATTGTAAACCAAAAAATTACATCATTACAATCAACCGTTCAACCAAATTAAATTAAATCAATTACCAACAATTACAATCATGATAATCAGCTTTTAACTACAGAAACAATTAACCAACATAATGATTAATATTAATCATTATCATTTAGTGAAGCTAATTGATTAGATGAAACAAAATATATCTAATCACATTAATTGTTTTCCACTTTTTTCAACATTTAATTTCCTCTTTAATCATTATCAGCATATCAAATATAATATAATATCAAAATCTAACAATATCGTACTAATCACAATCATGATCAGTTAATTGTTTCTCTACTGTTAAGCACAACAATCAATTGGACAGTTCGAGAAAAACTTTGGTAATGACCTAAAAATTGGTCGTAATTGTTAACGTTTTAATCATCGAAAACAACAGAAAACAAAAACATAATCATCTCAAAGCAATTAACTAATCATAATCACCTTGTTAAACTGATTGAATAAATTTTAATTGTAATGATGATTAACCAGAAAGTCAAAAATCCTACGAAACTTGAACACCTTCATGAAAATTAAGTCAAACCTTGAAATCAGTTCAATGATTTGACATTTAAATTAACACTCAAATTTGAAACAATTAACCAATTGACTTGATTGCCCATAATTATTGTAATCAAATCAATTGGGTCGCACTGATCAATCCACTAATCAAAATCATATGAATTATTTGTTATCATTACTTTTTCTTATTGTAAGATCTCAATCACAAACGTGGCAATAGTTGATTCGTTGTAACGAAATTTTCGTTGGCGACGTTTAGTTGATTAAGGTGATTAAAATGGATGTTGATGGTGATGATGATGATGATAATTATGAAGATAATGAGAGACGATGGTGCAAGATTATAACCTTGAGATAATCTCTTTGCTTAAACCACTCACGTAAAAACAAAAACAAAGCTCGTCCAGTTTAGTTTGTAAATTGTTTCAATGTCAATATCATGTAACCATAATTATCATTGAGTTTACCTGTTGAAAAATGAAACATTTATCATCCTCATCACTTGAGATTCATCATCATCATCAACATCATCATAATCGTACTCCATATAATCAACGTCCCACCTTGAATATCATCATGATAATTAAACTAATTTACATGTCAATAGGTTTTCAAGCCAACGCTTATGGATGAAAATTGTTCTCAAAAAAAAGACAATGGTCAATAAATAGTAATTTTAAATCGTTTAATTGGAAACAATTAACAAACAACAACAATGGTCAGTCAACATTCATCAGGTGTGAAGGGTAAGTGCTGATTATTATTATTATTATTATTATTATTATCCTATTGTTAGACAAATTAAAGATGATATTGTTTGTCTCCAAATAATCAATTGATTGTTCCAAAAGTAATTCAATCTCATTTGTGTTTTCCCAATGGTCAGTCTTTTGTGTCCATGTTTAGAAAAATTTTCAACTACTTTTTATTTTTCCTCTTCATTGGTATTCTGACCTTGTGTCCAGTTTATTTTCATAGGTTCGTTGGGCAGTTAAGTATTTAGCATCCTAAGGTTTCAGGTACTATGTAATAACCTATTAACTCAAGGTTATCATCATCTTATCATCATCATCCTAATTATTATTATCATTTGTTGTTTCTTGTTAAAAAAAAAGATGAAATTAACTTTAACCTTGACCAAAGTTAACTAACTGCTTGACCCTTGGTAACCTTGGTCATTTTTTTTTCTTGTTCACAGATTAGCTTTTGCTTCTAGTTGATGGGAATCTAATTATTTAGAAAGTTTCTTATTTTTATCAATCATGTAATTATATTGTAATCAATTGATTTGACAATCGAAAAGTAAAAACTTGATTACATTGATTACGGAAAAAAAAATTAATGACAATTATAAATGATCAGGTTACAATGGAAACAATTTTAATCCTATTATATTAATCATCTTAAACCATAACCAATAATTATATTGATAATGATAATCCATTAATGATTATCACGGTTTCATCAATTTTAATTAACTTTCTATACACAAAAGATTGAGATTAATTCAGTTTAATTTAATTACGAATTTGAGAACATTTGGTTCCCATTGGAAACAATAGATGGCGCTTCGGCTTAAAAGTTTTATTTTGTTCTTAAAATATTTAATTGTTGAAACAATTAATGAATTAAAGTTAGGAGTAAATTTTTCTCTCTTTTTTAATTAGCTCGATTAGCTCTACGTTATTTTAATCAACATACAAAGAAGATGAAAAGTAATTATACTCGAATCACATTTGAATGGCAAGAAAAACGTAAGATGAAAGTTAATTGTGTTGATCAATTCAATTGGGAATTGATTGCTGTCTGTTTTTTGTGTATTCACCTGAGAAAATTAACTAATTGCAATTAAAATGGTTGTATATTTGTTTTATAATTAAGTTAAAATACATAAATAAGATAACTGGTTTTCCTATTATTAAAATTAATCATCACAATTGTTTTTATATTAATAATATAAGTTAATTAAGATTAATGTATTCAAATACATGTAGTTGAGGATTGTAGTTGAAATTTTTACTCAAATTGATTACAATGGATGAACTTTTCATTGGTAATCTAAAGCTAATCAAGTTGATTTCCTTTGAAAAATGATTAGTTAATTGTCAGATGAAAATGTAAACAAGGTCAATGGGACAAGTTCGAGGAAAAAACAAATCGAAAGATTTAATTTAGTATAAGAACAATTTTCTCATTTCGATTTGGTAGATGCGCTTGCTCGCGATTCTCATCCTCATCCTCATCCTCATCTTTCACATGATCATCATCATCTCCCTGTGGATCAATAAGATATAGCAGAAAGAGAAAACTAGAGAGAGAGAGAGAAAGGAAAGACTTTGAGAGAGCCTACAACTCGAATGTTCATCTTCATATTATATTTTCAGTTCCAAACAATTGAGACAACATTCAGTTCGAAAAGTTTTCATCACGTTTCATGACCATCATCAAGATTTACTTGATAAAAGGATGAATTCCAAGTAGAAATGATGTTCATTAGTTGATTGTTTCCTTTTTGAGTTAATTAACTAATCATCATCATCTTTGTCTATCAATTTCATCTTGAAACAAAAACTGTCAACTTAATCATCAATTGTTTTCTTTTCGATTACAATTAACTCATCTTGTTTTCACCAAGTGATGCAGTGACCAAAGAGTGACCTTAAGGATAAGATCACTAAACGGACACACTGGACATTATCAAAAACGACACATTGTGACAAAAGAATCAGAGTCACAAACAAACTTAGCTACTGAGTATTCATATGTGTCAATAGTGATAATGACTTTTGACCTAATTGTGACAGCTCTTGTTAGAGAGTTGAAATGTTGCAATTACACCTTCATCTCCTCGTTATTGATTATATTTAATTGGCTAATTAAACCTTGTCATGGTAAAGGAGGAGCGGTGGGCGCTGCAGCAGCAGCCGGAGGGGCCACAGGTAAGAAAATTCAATTGTTCACCTTAACCATTAATCAAATTTCAATTACACCTCAAGACCATAAATCAAAATCAAATTGCATTATTTAGGTAAATGGTTATGCAATTGTAATCATTTGCATCACCATTGATCGTTAAAATTTCATCATTTATTCAAATCAACATGATACTATGGAATCATCATGATGAAACCAGAGAAACAAAGAGAGAGAGAGAGAGAAAAAATAATTTGAGCAGAAAATTTTATTTCCCTTTCCACTTTCATCACCAAAACTATCACCTTATCCTCCTGATCACTATGAACCATTATTATAATTACCATTGAATTGAAGTGGAAGATAAATAATGGTAACAAAAGAGAGAGAGAGAGAAAGTGAGAGAGAAGAGAACTTTTTTTCCCTGAAAATAATCCAAAGAAAATGCTGATTTCTGATGAATATTCATTATCTTCTCATCTTCTCATCTTTTCTCCATCCTATTCATCTCATCATCATTAATCCATATTATTAATTTAGCTGGTGTTGATTGGACTGCTGGAGGTAATTACACGGAAGAGGAAATGGTTGTGGCCTTAATTGTGGTTGGTATTATAATGTCAGTTTCCCTGTTAATTTGTGCCTGTCAATGTTATCAAAAGGTTTTATGGGAGATTGAAAATACTCATATAATTGTTAATAAAGTGACCAAAAGACCAATGCCACCAGCTCCATATAACAGAGATGCAATGGCCTAAAGATTGACCATCACCGATGAGACACCACAAAACTGACCATTAATAACACCATGATAAATGAAACCTGAATAATTTGTATATTCATGATGATGAAACAACAAACAAACAACAATAGTTTTCAACACAAACAATCAACTATAAAATGTTAACCATTGATTCAATTGTTGGATAATCAGTTCATTATCATTTGGTTACATATGAGCAATTATCATGTGGAATATAACAAAAATAATTCACAGGGAAAAGTTGAATGAATTTCCCAGGAATATATCTCTATCTCTTTCCATGCATAAAATGAATTGTTATTTGAGATTCTGGTTCCTTCACTTTCCTTTCATGATAATCAAATGAGTAATTATCTTTTGCTTATTGGAATTCTTGGAATGATAAGAATGTTTAACTTTCTATCAGCTGATAATCAGAATTCTGGTAATGATTAACTGACGAGTTAATCACATCATTAACTATGTAATCAGTGAACTTTTTACTTGATATCGTTGATCCGATGGAATCAGAATCGATTCTGGAAACGATAATCAAATTTTTCTTCTCATCTTTTCTTCTTCTTCCTTCTCTCATCAAGGATTCAAATGATTCTCATCATTATCATCCTAACATGATCAGTTTTATCATCTTCATCATCTTCATCATCAATAGTTATGATCAACATTATCAACTTGTTGCTGTTAATGTGATTTATTTACTTACCTGTATTTAAGTTGTTACCTGTTGGGATAATTTTTTGATTTCATTTTTAATTTCTGGCTTGAGAAACAACAACTAAATAATTTATTATATAAATATACTGTTAATTAATTATTGCAATAATGATTGTGTAATCAGATTTGATCATCATGTTAATTATTATAAATATTTAAACGATTAAAAATTTAAGTGCCTTGAGAAAGTGATTATATCCTGGCAAAGAATCAAGAAAATGAACTAATCAATTCTGATCAAAAGTTTCATTAAAATGTTTATGCATCCAAATTTATTAATATTGACTACTTATCATCATCATATTCATCATTTTCATGTAGTGACCACTGGTCAATCATGATGATATCAAGTGTCCATTGAATGAGATTCAATGTCACTCGAATATTGAATGTTGATTAAGATCAACATGAAATGCAAATAATATTAACTACAAATCGTAACCATAGTAACATCGGAAACCGGAAATTAGAGATAAATCCATCCTTTTAATTATTATAATCTTCTGATGAGAGAGAGAGAGAGAAAAGATGTAAGAGATGGAGATAAAAATGATAAACTCTTTTTCTCTCCTCTTCGTTTCCAATTCTATTTTTACTTCATTTCCTCTCTCTCTCTCTCTCTCACTTGCTGTCCATCTTCACCTAATCATCATCATTCAATCTTCTTATCAATCTTCTTCTTCATATTGGTCATCATCATCATCTTATCATCTTTATTTTTTTACTGACTAAAAGAAAGTAAAAGAGATTCTCTTTCTTAATCTTTCTTTTCTTTTACTTTTTCATTCTCTGTCTTCAACTTCCTTCCGGTTTCCTTACGATAATGACTTTGAATCCTTATTCCCAATCCATATATCGTTCATTGATATCATCAAGATGACCTGATCTTTAACATTAGCGTAGCCATGATGATGATCATCATCATAATTGTAAGTATTTTGTCAAAGAGAACCCTACTAGGGAATCCGAGAAAGACTAATTTTGTAAGAGAGACAGAACTTCTTATTGAATAGCACTTTAATGTTTTATGAATTGGGTTTTAGTTAAACACGAACTGAGGTTAAATGTAATTTAAAGGGGGTTTGAAGGTTACAAAGATTAATTAAGCATAAGGTAAAGTTGAATTTAAACACAAATAAAGATTAATGAGATGGAGAAAGCTCAACACATTAGACTTAGGTCCTTAGTCCGATGTGTTGGCTTTTTATATCTAATGGGTAAGCCCTGGGGTAATTTCTAGAAGTTAATATATCACATGGTTTAAATGGAATTTAAAGGGGGAAGATAAATAAGGTTGCGTAATCATGGTTAATCCCCTTACAGAGCCCCCTACTTAACGTTGCTTTCGGGTGACAAAGTTAGAGAATCAGGGAAATTTTGACATCCTGGGTGTCGGAATTTTGCTGATTCCAAATGCCTCGAAATCAACGTTTTAATTGGATGGCTTTTCTTTGCTTGAATTTGGTGAAGATACTCAAGTCCACTTGACTGAATGGAGGTCGTAATTCACTTGTTCCATCACAATAATCATCTTCATCGTATGATGCTGTTGGTTTTCCAATTGGCTTTTTCCTTATTTCCCATGGCCAATTTCCGATTATTTCCATGATCCTTCTGATCAACTCTGACATTTGTCGGTTATATCCATAATCAACATGAGGATATGGTAGTTCAAACATTGGATTACTTATTGATTCAAGATGAGCTTTTTCAATTTCTTCGTAGTCAATCAGATATGACCACATTGTAAATCCTGCATCCACAATCGGTGAATGTTCAGAATCTTGAATAATCAATCCAAAAAGGCAGAATATGATATATTTTAACCCTATCATTGTTGCGTTATATTTACAACGGTAATAGGTATTCACGTCACGAACTTTTGGTCTAATTATATTCCAATCATCCTCGGAAAATCCCATTGAAATAAAATCGTTGACACCACCAGCAACACAGATAATGTCTTGTTGTTTCAAAATTGCAATAACTTTTCTTTTCGCAACAGCCCATGTATCAGCTCCTCTAGTTAGCTCGAATGTAACACCATGAAAGATTGTTTTAAATTTGATTGAGTCTTTTGGGTATCGAATGATATCATTAAACAATTGATTACCATCATGATCAACAATTCCGATCCATATTGGTAAACTCTTTTTGCCCATTTGAGTTAGAACATCTGATTTCTCAATGTCCAAGCCACAAACTCGCAATTTCTTTTCATTTAGTTTCTTCATTGTTTCAGTCAATCGATCTCGATGTATACTCTTTTCTAAACTGAAAATTTCATTTGGATTACTTTTCTTTTTCAACCAATCTAATCTTTTATTTCTTCTTTCGATGTCTTGTTTTCTCTCTTCACCAGCTTCAGTTTCTTTCGCCCACTTCTTTCGTCTCTTTATCATGGCTTTCTTTTGTTTACTTGTTAACGTCTTATCATTTCTGATATCTTCGATTGTTAATTTGATCTTAGGTCTTCCTGGATTTGCTTTTTCACTAAGACCAATCTCTTCATTGATCTCATTGGATTTCGTTATGGGAGCTGAAAAAGGGCCTCTTTCTGCTTCCAAAACGTCATCCCAATCAACTGTTAATCTACCAACTCGAGCGGCGACGGCTGGTACATTCCATGATCCCCACTCAGGTTCTTTTTCGATTTCCATTTGAGTTGATGTTGATGGTTGAGGATCACTTTGTTGAATTGAAACTGATGATGTTGACTGTTGATGTTCACTTTGTTGAATGGAGACTTGTGATGATGTCGATTGGCTTGACTTCTCAAGACTAGAGTAAATAAGCTGTTCGTCTGGTTGATACCAAAATGGTTCGATCGCTTTAGAAGCTGAGGAGGTACGAGGTCCTTGTACTTCCTTCGCTTTTAATCGCTTATTAATTGGATCATCCGTTGATCGTTTTCTCTTTCCACTAATCAACGTAACTAGATCAGGGTATGGACCATTAATCGAGCATCAAATGCTTTGGCAAATTCAGGAACTGTTTTAAAGGATTCTCAGGGCCTTCTAGCGGTGGAATCACCGCAACTCTATCATTGTTTTCAATTAGTTCCTTATTAGATTTGATGAAATTCAAGATAGAATTAACTTTGAATTGATCACTTGAACAAATTTTTAGATGTTTCATCATATCGTAATATGTTAGAGTTTCAACACAGAAATAGTTACGACAATGCACTTTGAATTCACTGAATATTTTCATCTCATCACTGTTTAAACATTGGATTCGGGAAAGTTATTACCTAAACATGAAACACAATCGAACTTTTTGTTTTCAATATCGTTCATATCAGGATCTTTGTTACCATTTCTTAGGTTGTAGATGAGGAATAAAACTTTCGTACAGTAAAGGCAATAATACTCTTTACATTGATCGCATTTAAATGGATTCACTGGGACATGGTCACAGAACTTGCAAAATTGCGATCAAGTACCTTTGTATCATATTTTGGAAGTTCTGAGAAAATTAGACCATGTAGATATTGTAACAACGGAATATCTTTCCAAGATTTACCAAAACGTTTCTCAATCTTTTCTCTGATCAGTAGTTCCAATGATGACTTTGAAACCTTCCAATACTGTTCTTTATCTTCCATTTTGATTGAGCGTTTTAAGAGCTTATAAAAGCTTTGAATTGGTAGGAAAAGGAATATTGATCTATTAAGAGAAAAGGTCCTCTTCTCTTAATTAGAAACAATTAGCTTTACAACAATGGGAATTATAATTGTGATGGGATAAGAAATTACAATTTGAGTTTTGTTAAATTGTAGAAATTTCGAATCAATTGTTGTTTTCTTTGAGAAAAAGGGCCTCTTTCTCTTAGAATCGACAACAATTTGTTGAATCAAAATTTCGATGGTAAATTAAACAATCAGTCAAAAGTTGACTGTAGATGTTAACAATCAAATTAAACAGTTCAATTGTCTCGAGAAAAAGGTCCTCTTTCTCTTGACAATGATGATTAATTGATTCAAGATGGTGGACAAAACAAGCTATTTTCAATGACAAAGGGTTAACAATTTAAAGATGGTGAGTTTTGATTACGATTTTTGGGGTTAATTTGGGTGAAATTTGAATAAAATTTGATTTGATTTCAAATCAAATTGAGTTGGCAAAAGGTCCTCTTGCCTTCTCAATTTTGATCAAAAGAAAAATCAATAATTGATTTAATCAAAACATAATTAATTAACGAGACAATTTGTGACACAAAAAAAACTCTAAACTTAACCTAAAGGGTGAACTTAAAACAATGGCGACTCAATCCTTTATGGTCGAGGGAGCACGTTAGTGAGTTTCCATAGTTACAGTTCGAGGTACGACCACTTGGGGTGTAATTAGCTATTCTCTTTTGTTACTTTTGGTGTTTAAACAATTTGTCATCAAATTTTGTCTTTGTTTTAATTAATTAATTAATTAATTTAGTTGATTGATTTGGTTGTTCCAATGGTCAGAGGTCCTTTGACCATTAAGAACAATCATCTCAATGAAGGGATAAGTGGAACCAATTCAAGTGTTTTTGTGCTATTCATCTGGGATCTGGTAAGAAAAGAATGTTTATAAAATTCTAAATAGAACAAAATGTTAATAAGGAAAAGAATATAAAATGTTAGTTGATGATTTTGGTGATATTGGTGAGCGATGAATTGGGATAAGGTCCTCATCCCTTTTCATTTGCTCTTTTTCTTGTCACCATTTCATGTGACTTCACATATTCTTTCTTCTTGTATTTACGCTTTTTCTCTTTCGTAGTATTCGTTGATGTTGGTTCATTGTTTTCACTTAGGTTTTCACTTTCTTCGCTTTCTTTTTGAAGATCAATCACTTCTTCTGTTGATTTAATTTGTTGTGGTTGCTGTTGATTTGTCTCACTTGATACACTTTCACTTTCTTTAACAATTATTGTTTGATTGTCTTCATTGTCTGAGTATAGTTCAGTTTCAGCGTCACTTTCACACCAATTTGTCATCTCTGGAATCTCTTCATCTTTCTTTTGGGTGTTGATGTTTGTTGTTGTTGATGAGAGGAAGAAGGTCCTCCTTCCTCTTTATCAACAACTACCTCATCTTCAGTTGATCTGATTGATGGATATTTGTTGAGTATTGTTTGGTAGTTGGTGGGTAGTTTTCCAATGATTTTCTTTATCCTTTCGTAGTTATACATTTTAATTTTCTTCGTATACACACAAATGAGTCTCGCTGTTGATTCAAACGTATCAAGAACAATGTACTTTCCCGTAAACTTTTGCTTCATGAATGAAGGTCCAGTTGTGTACGGTACTGGTTTAACTCGAGCTAAATCTCCTCTTTTCAGAGTAGGTTCTTTTTGAGTTAAATTCTTTTCATTTGCTGATTGTTGAGACTTTTCATCTAAAGTTGCTTTAGCCTCTTGACGAGCTTTCTGAATATCAGTTTCCTTATATAAAGGAGTTATCTGGAATCTATTGTGTAGAATTGATCGAGGTTCATAGTTGTACAAAAGTTGGAAAGGTGATTTCCCAATATCGTTTTTGATTGAATTATTATAACTAAAGATTAGAGTTTGTAGATAAATGTCCCATTCGTGAGCCCTTTCGGTGTATATTCCCAATCTTGTCTTAATCTCTCGATTAAGTCTTTCCACCAAACCATTTGTTTGTGGATGATAGGGAGACGAATTAATTAACTTAATTTGATTTAACTCGGCGAATCTTTTGATTTCTGTGGAGGTGAAAATTTTTCCGTTATCAGACTGAAGAATTTTCATTCTTCCATATTGATTGATGATTGATTCTAGGAAGTTGATTACGTCCTTACTGTTACCCTTTTTGAATGCCTTTGCCATTCCAAATCTTGTTAATGTATCGGCAGCAACTAGAACCACTGTGTTTCCAGTTGTTGATGGTGGAAACGGTCCAATCATGTCTATTTGGATTCTTTCCATTGGAAAGTTTGCAACTTTCATGCCCTTAGCTTTACCTTCTTTAAACGTTTTTGGTTTAAATTTTTGACATTTCGAACAGGCAGCAACCTTTTGTTTTATTATTTCTTCCATTTCCGGAAACCAGAAATCTTGTTTAATCTTTTGGAATGTTGGTTTAAATCCGAAGTGACCCGCTTCCATAGCTTCATGATATTGTTCAAATACTTGATCTATGAGCGAATCAGGTAAATAGAATCGAGCAGATCCCTTTTTTGTTAACCAATACAAGATACTATCTCTTATCTCATATCGACGCTTCATTTTTCCTTGATTGATTTCTTCCTTAATCATTCTCACTCTTGTATCTTTATCTTGTTCAATTTTTAGTTCACTTTCTTTTGTTGTTGAAGCTTTGGTGTTTTCACTGCAGCGATGAATCTCTTCTGTTGTTGAGCATCTAGATAGTCGAATTCACGGATGATACTCAAGAGGACCTTTTGAGTTTCATCCTGAACGAGCTTATTTTCTTCTTTAAGATCCATATCTTCGATGATAATATCATCTTTATCACAGTTCACAAAATTTAAATACTTGTCGAAATGATCATCGGTCATTTCTCCTTTTTGTCGATGAGCCCACTCATTAGAGCGAGAAAAACAATCTGCTGGGTGATTTTCACCTTTCAGATATTGAACTTCGAAGTCGAATTCCGACAAATCATGTTGCCATCGCATGATTCGTGGCACTTTAAATTGAGTATTTTTGAGTTCACATAACGCATGATGATCTGTTTTAACGATAAATTTCTTATGTCGTAGATAGTGAGCAAACTTTCTACACGCAAAACGACGGCAGCACATTCTTTTTCTGTCGTTTGCCAACTGTACATGTATTTCTGTAGTTTACATCCAAAGAAGTAGACAGGATTAATGTTGTTTTCTTCATCTTTCTGAGCCAGTATTCCACCAATTGCGACAGCTGATGCGTCAACCAGCACAATTGTTTCCGTTCATGATAGAAATGCGTTAACATACATTTCTTTGTCAATTCCTTTTTCAGTTGATTCCAATTTTCTAACACTTCTCCTTCGAATACGATTTTAACACCTTTGTATTTCTTTTTGATTAGTTCTTGTATGGGGGCAGCAATTTTCGCATAGTTTTCGATAAACCTAGAAAAATAATTGAATAACCCTAGGTGTGACCGTATTTGGTTCTGAGAAGTCGGAGGATTGAGGGCCTTAATCCTCTCGATTTTCTTAGGATCAGGTCGAATCGTTTTGCCAGAGACAAGGTGGCCTAGACAAACAATTTCTGTCGCTCCAGCTTGTAATTTTTCAACACGGTTTTTAAAACCGAAAATCTTTAGAGCACCGATAACTTTCTTCATGTTATCACACAATTGATCAATTGATTTACCATAGATGACAATGTCATCGAAATACCCGAAACAGCAAGTGTATTTGAGTTCTCCAAGAACTTTATTAATAACTTCTTGAAAATACGAGGGTGCATCAGCCAATCCCATTGGTAACCTTTTGTAACGGTAACAACCATCTTCTGTTACAAAACTTGTCTTATCTCTTCTTCTTCAGGAATTTCCAATTGATAATATCCTTGGGCGAGATCTAAGGTTGTAAAGTATTTGTTACCTTTAATTGGTTTATTGCGTCATCGATGTTAGGCATAGGAAATTTTCTCTTTTGCACTAATTTGTTTAATTCGACATATGAAGTGACCATTCGCCACGTTCCATTGGGTTTCGGGACGACAAATGCTGGAGCTCCTCCACCAATGTCCGAATCTTCGATAATACCATTTTCTTTAAAATCTTTGATTATTTTTCTTATTTCACTTCTCATCTTTTCGCTTGAACGAAAAGGTCTACATTTAGGAATTGGTTTATTTCCAATGTCGATTTTGAACTTTGTAAATTCGGCAGGAACACAACCTAAATCAAATTTAGTTGAGGAAAAAGAGCCTCTTTCCTCCATCAATATTTGATGAATTTTCAATTTATCACTTTCACATAGTTCTTTGTTGATTTGTTGATACAGTTTATGATCTAAATTTGAGATTTCTTCTGGAAAATCAATTGTTGAATCTTGAAATTCTTCAATTTTGTTGATTAGTAATGAAGCATCTTCATTGTAATGCTCACGGAAGAAATTAACATAATTAATCCTTAAATGATTAATTTGTAGCAACTTGACCTTTGATTGTTGGTTGATTTGGTGATCACATTGTTAATTTGTTGTTTGTTGAGTTGATTGATGATTAATTTGTTGATTTTCATTATCAATTTGTTGAGTTGTTGACTGAATTGGTGAATGAGTCAAGAGGTCCTTTTGACTCATTCTTACCAATCTACTCATATCATAGTTTGTTTTATACCATTTTTGTAACATCAATTCAATTTCTTTCAAATCAGGAATTTCCATTTTTAATCTGTATTCACTATTCAGATTTTGGTGTTTTAACTCATAAGGTTTATCCAAGCCCTTAGATACAATGATTAGATGAGTAGCTTTTATAATGTTTTCACCTAATAAGATGTCATTTGAAAGGTCATCTATCACATAGGCTGCAATAAGCTTAGGTTCATCTCCATTGTAAACTTTCAGCGGCACAAACCAATTACAGTCTATCACATTCTGATTTGCTGATTGAAATTTCAGTTTGTAGGGATAAGCATATAGCTTCAGTCTAACAGCGAGGTCCTTGCTTATTAGACTGGTACAAGCACCAGTATCGAACATCCCTCAATGGTAATATTGTTAATTTTAAATGTTATCATTGGATGTCTTACCTTTTCAGACGATCCATTTTTTTTTTATTCGCTATAAGACGCGTTGTGTTCACGCTTCCTTCGCTTAATTGTTCTTCCACCTCAACGTTGTTGGCTTTATTTTGATTATCCCTTTTGGGTCGTTTTTCAGGATATTTAAGCCAACAATCGTCTTCTGAATGGGAAGGAGATTTACAATGATTGCATTTAGGTTTAACCTGGTTACTTGGGGTTGTTTTAGGTGAATTGGATTGGTCTTGGTTTCTTGACCTCCAATTTGAACTTGACTCTTGACCTTGCGAAGGTCGTGACTTTCTACCATCCATCCTTAATTTATTCTTTTGCCAATGGCCAATAATTTTACTTTGATTCTCTCGACATCCAAGTCGACGACTTCAGGAATTATCTCATTTTGGAGATAATATGGTAAGGATGAGAGCATTAACAGCGCCAAGGTTTTATTTGTAGCCTCAGGGTAAATTACTTTTAAAGATGTTTCAATTTTCTTGAAGTGATCCCTTGGATCAAATCTTGTATCGTACCTTTTTGAACGGTATTATACATGGCTTCAGCTCTTTCACTTGAAGTAATTGTTGAGTTGATCAATTTTCTTTCCATTCATCATATTGTATGAACGGATATTCATTCAATTTCTCAGCAAATTCACGAGCTTCATTTTCGAGTAACACTGTTGTGTGTTCAACCCATGAGCTCTTGGAAGGATCTAAGGTCCTCAGATCATATTCCAAGGCTTTGATGAAGTCCGTGAAGGACTGTTTATCTTTATTCGGCCAACGCCTTTTCTCAATTCTTCTTAAGGCTTGTTGTTGGGCGAAATTCAGTTGTTTTTCTTGATTTCCTTGAAAGTTCAGCCTTTCTAAGTTTTCTAATAAGGAATGGTTTTCCATTGTAGAATATTTATTTGCTAACAATGTAGCCACCGCTGGAGAGAGATCCAAATCCTCTTCGATTTGTTTCTTTGTATATACTTTAAAACGTTCAATGTTGTAAATTTTAGCTGTAATTAGAGTTACCAATGAATTGAAATCTAAACCAATCTTTCTCAGCTCGATTCCATCCATCCATTTGATTTCAAATTTTCTTCTTGAATCTATTGGAACTGCTTCTGGAATTTCTTCTCCATCTAGCGTATATAGCATTTGAATTATTTGTGCTTCCCAAATTTCTTTTTGGAGCATTTCATTTGTTTTCTGGACGGGGTTATTAATTCCCCACTCTAAGGCGATACCAATTAGTTCATTTCTTGATATCTCTTCACGTTGACTTTTAGGGTAATTGATGTTTATCTTGTTTGGAGTTAAAGACATTTTAAATTTTCACTTATCACTAATCACTTAGATTCACAAACACTTTCACCAATCACTTCACTTTATTTAACACTTTTTACAGTTATATGTGTACAGACACCAAAAAAAAACAGGTAAGGTAAATTGTTGAGGGTGAAAGGTCCTCTCACCCAGCAACAATGAGACCTTGAAGTGCTTTTATCAGGAAACGGAAGCGATAGCTTTTTGGTTAGACCGAAGCTATTGCTTATTGGTTGTTTCTTTTCTGACAGTTTTGTAGCTACTATTGGAAGTTTTCTCAACTTAAAATTAGCAGAGGCATCTCCACCAATGTGTAAGTATTTTGTCAAAGAGAACCCTACTAGGGAATCCGAGAAAGACTAATTTGAAAGAGAGAAGGAACTTCTTATTGAAATAGCACTTTTAATGTTTTATAAATTGGGTATTAGTTGAACACGAACTGAGGTTAAATGTAATTTGAAGGGGGTTTAAAGGTTACAAAGATTAATTAAGCATAAAGTAAAGTTGAATTTAAACATAAATAGAAGTTAATGAGAGGGAGAAAGCTCAACACATTAGACTTAGGTCCTTGGTCCGATGTGTTGGCTTTTTATATCTAATGGGTAAACCCTGGGGTAATTTCTGGAAGTTAATATATCACATGATTTAAAGGAATTTAAAGGGGGAAGATAAATAAGGTTGCGTAATCATGGTTAATCCCCTTACAATAATAATAAAACAACAATAACGTCTAAGAGATATGATCCATTGAGTTCTCAGAATTTTCAAAATTCTGAATAACTATTAATACTTTCATCTTTTCTTACTATCAATATTTTCATAATATCAGAATGAAAATCATCTCAATTAATGATAATCAAATAAAAGTAAATCACAAAGTTAACACAAACAAAAGTTCAATTGATCGTCAAACCAAAACGACATCATCATCATCTTAATCATCTTAATGATCACCATTAGCACGAATACGAATATAAATAAAAAGTTACTGATAAAATCACTTCGAATCTCTTATAACAAACCACCCTAATGTTCAGGATTCAAGGTAAGGTTTTTTTTTCCTTTTCCATGATTAATGTTTCCTTTTTTTCTGCATACATAAACACAAACATTTTACTCATCAGAGTTTTCACTTTCATCTTCCTCCTCCTCATCATCATCCTATTGTTATTATCAAATGTTGCTGAACAAAAAGCTAAAAACTACATCATGATAACTTTTCATTTTCCAGGGTAACTGAAAAAAAAGATGAAAAAAAAATTCACTTCTACTTTTATCCTGTGATATATTTTTTCTTGGATCATTAACAATACTAATAATCATGATAATCATCAGGGTAACAACAACATTATGATTAACACTAATAATCATGATAATATTTACTTTCCAATTCCATGGGCTCATATATTTGAATATATGAATACTCAAATTTTAGTAATATGGATTTTATCATCTCTGAATTAGGAAGAAACTTTTTTCTATTCTTATTCTCATCTAATCAATAACCAATTTCAATGTTAAATCTCATCATTTTTTCCCCTGAAATTGTAAAATGTAAAATTCTGCCACCAATCGAATCATCAGATTAGAAGAAAAGTAAAATAAAACTTTTTCTTCTTTTTTCTAGATGAACTCAAGATGTTTTCCTTTCTCCCTGAACAGGTAATTTCATTGATTATGGAATATTTCAAACAGAAATAAACCGATCATGAGAAAAGAATAAAATTCTAATGAAAATGTTGCAGAATTTTCCCTTGTATATATTTTAGACTCATTAATTATTTCCTTTTCTTAGAAAAATTTTATCTGATTAATTCAGCCCACAGATTCTGGTGGAAATTGAATTTCAATTTAAAACTTTTTCTCCTGAAACCTGAATATGTTTCATATAATATTTTTATCATGATTTCGTCCTGAAACCATTTCAGCTTTATATCTGATATATTCTGATACTGTCATAACTTTATTTCATGTTATCATGATGATAATGCTGATGATGATGATAACTGAATATGTACAAATATAAACAAAAGAAGGAAGATAATATTATTGTTCTAGAGAACACAAAATTCAAAAAGAGAAGTAAAAAAAATAGTAAAATACAATTGACTGAATTTCGTAGGCATAAAAGACGATAACATGATTTTCTGATGTTACCTCTTTTGTTGCTTCTATGATTATATGTTTTTGACATTCACCAAGCAAAATGTTACTCAATTCATGGATATGCATTCATTTACTATCACGAAGATGCATATAAATGTATATGGATATTGTATTCATCAAGCGGATTTTTTTCTCTACTCAAATACTTTCAGAATGTTTAGAATTCCCAATTGAGAGAAAAACAAAGAAAAAGAGAGAAAGTTTATGATAGAATATCAATATTGGGCTCGAACAATGTGATGTGGGATTAGAACTTTTCGAAAAGTTCTGATTAAAGAAATGCTTCTTGTCTTTTTATTTGCTCTCTCTCTCTCTCTCTCTCTCTCTCTCTCTCTCTCTCTCTCTCTCTCTCTCTCTCTCTCTCTCTCTCTCTCTCTCTCTTATTCATTGATTTCTGATCCATTGTGTTGATCATAAGAATCATTCTTGTGATATTTATACTGATGTAAACTTTTAGGTCCATCATGATAATCATAATCTTTCAAGGTATTGAATGTCATCATGTATACTTAAGATATGCTAATGAATCAACCTGATGAAACATTTTCCTGGAATTAAATATAAAACCAAAAGAGGAGTATGTAAAATAGAGCAAGGAAAAAACTCTATCCATCAGAATTAAAATCAGAATTTGTTTTTTGTATTGAAAAGAGAAAATTGAACGAAGACAATATTTCAGAAATATCACTTTTCGTCTCATGAATACACCCAATCCTATTTGTATATACTCTTGTTGTTTCTACTTGATTTCTTTACTCTGAATACTTACATTCATACCCTTCTAATGTATTCTGGTTAATATCTTTCAATTTCTTTCTTTTTCTTTCTCTCTCTTTAGCTCTTTTTCCTCTCAAAGCATTTTTAGTTTCGCATTCTCCTAATAAGAATCCAATGATTCTTATACATGAACAAATGATGATAATAATCTCAAAGATTCTCTCTCTCTCTCTCTCTTTCTTTCAAGATTTTTTTGCCTCCATCCTCTAAATATAACATTCCACTTGGAAGATGAACCAAAAACCAACTATTTTTGTTACAACAACAGCAACTTAATTTTATCCAGAAAAACAGTAATATCATGATGATAATAATAATGATCATGATGAAGATAATTTTTTTATTTTCTTATTTAATTGGAAGAGGCAATCAAAATAATAAAAAGTAATCTAATGATAATAAAGTTAATGATGATATTCAATTGTAAGCCAATAATATTTGGGGAAAAAGAAAATCAGAAATAACATTTAATTTATCAGATATTATTTACCACAAACAGACCAACAATATATATACCAAGGAAAAAAGTATTAAAGTTAATAAGTGAAAACTTACCAAAGAAAATGTGTCTCAATAGAAGATGAAAATTTCTGTACATTCTCACATTTATTTCTTTATTAAATATATACTAATTCTTAGCACTTGGATCAGATATTAATGTTCAATATTTGATCAGAAAGTATTTTCGATAAAGTAAATATAAACATTCTGTACATAGGAAAACATCGCATCGTCTTTAGTATATATCATAATATTATCTTTCTTCATGTACAGTCGATAGATTTGAATCGACGAAAGATTTTCATCTTATCGTTGATACATGAGTCTGATTGAATTCTGTTTGGTAAATATTTTTGCAACGATGTTCATTTCTTCACAATACAAAACATATAATGTCATAAATTTCATTATAACTTTGAAACCTTCTTTATGTAAATTCTAGAATACATGTTGTATAAAATACATTATATGATACACTTTCTTTGGTCAATGAATTTTGAGAAACTGCCAAAATAAATGTTACAGAAAAATAGATAAATATGAAGGAATCAAAA